GTGGGGGGGGTGGGGGCGAGATATCTGAGGTTGCCCGAATTTCTAACTTAGTTATGAGAGTTTTGCAAACACTATTGTTATTGGCAGAAGATTTTCACTCTTTCTAGAACAGATGATACTACCCCCCTTAGGAGATCCACAAGTATTCAGTTTAATTTACGGGGTGTACAGTTTTCACCCGATGTTGGGTGAGATTTTCGGCTAATGGATATGTTATGACAATCGGGCAGTGATTTCGATCCTTAAATAATATAAATTATGAAATATTATTATAGGAGAATACAATCAGGCTATCAATTTTAAAAAATACAGTTATAGTATAGGATATTCGGGCAAAGATATGATTTCATTTTCAAATTCCAAAAAAATAAATAAAATCGGGCCGTTCAGAAGAAAATTCTTCAATAACAGCATCTCTGATATAAGTGGACCTACAGTTGTGTTGTGGATGTCGCTAGTTAAGACAAGCGTATCCTCCCAGTAAATGATGTCACAAGAATTCCATATCTCTATATCTTCACATAATGTAACTCTTCTTTTCAGAAATGACGTCGACTTTACGAAGGATCGATCTGGGAACTAAAATTCTGGCACCAATAGCTACTGGCCAGATAATGACGTATCTTGGCCTAGAATACGGTGCTGTATTTATTGGTGGGTGGAATTTAGTCACAGTTTTTATTGAATATTACCTGATCTGGAAAGTATACCAGACGGTTCCTGCTTTAAGAAAGAAAAAAGGAGTTGCTAAATGTGATGACGGTAAGATATTACAAATCTGTCTTCATCCCGTTTTTATTTTAAGCAATTTTAATTTAAGCAATTTACTTAAAATTTGCTGCCATTTACTATTACAGATCATTTGAAGTACGACAACAGCACGGCTGTAGCACTGGGACAGAGTCTGAAAACATTGTCACCTCCCGATACATGTTTCCCTCATGACGTTTTTCCAGCATTGTTGACAGTTCTAGACATTTTTTCCAGTACCGACAGTGAAAACAGAAGAAGTTGAATTGGGAACAGATGTCGAGGGTGCTTCTGACGCAGTCGATAATATTAAAGTTAGTAATGATACAGGAAATAATATCCAGACTGAAAACAAAGGTCTCGAACACAATGATTCTGATAACAGCGCAGTGGAAGAAAGATCGGAAGAAGGTTCAGAAAAGAAGGATCCAGAGAAGCCCTTCAGTGATTTAGCTCCATCAAACAAGAACGCTCAAACCGAGTCAAATGATCCAGTATCTAAGACCAACACCGCCGAAATTAAAAAATCTGGCGGATGTAAATTTGGAAAAGGATTTATTACTCTGTATAAAGGTTGGAGAACATATTTACGGTATAATGTGTGTAATGCTGGATTGGGTCTTGCTTTTCTTTATATGACTGTTCTAGGATTTGATAACATTACTGTGGGTAAGTAGATTTATTTTCATGTAGATTTATGAAATAAAAATTTCAGGTCAGACGAACGCAGCGATGTAAAACTACTGCAACTTTCAGTCTTATCTTTAGCAATTGCAACCGTGACACAATAAATGATTGTAAAGCTGAAAAGCAATAAATTTCCAAATACAGATGTTTCATTAAGCATATAATAGCACCCAATATTACATCATGCTTGTAAATGTAGTTTCTGTGCTGTGCTTGATGGGGTAATTATGATCGTTTTAAGTGATCAAGTCGGTTTGGATATCTGACAAACGAGACTACAGTTATTTTTCTCTGGAACTCAGCAACACGATCTCTGAACATCATGAATTTTTACTTATTCTAACTAGCAATGTATTCTATTCTTCCAGGTTATGCCTATTCTCAACATATATCAGAATCAATTCTGGGATTTCTAATGGCAGGAGCAGCAATTATTGGTATTATAGGAACCATTACATATCCCATGATCCGTAAACGTATTGGATTAGAACGCACTGGACTCTTTGCTCTAAGTTCACAAATCGCATGTCTAGTGTTGTGTGTAGTGTCCGTTTTTATGCCTGGAAGTCCCTTTGACATCCTGTACCGCACTCGAGAACATGTTGATACTAAAGTCAACTGCACTAGTGCTGCGAATGTCAGCTCAATGTCTGATTACATGCTTAATGACACAAATTCTCTGAACGTTTCTTTATTATACGGATCATTTGCTAATTCTTCTTCTTGTGGTGAGGACTCGGGGTCCTTCAATTATACTTCCATCATTATGCTAATGGCTGGAATCATTACTGCCAGATTTGGTAAGTATTTCTTTTTATAATGTCAAAAGTGCCAACCATGTGATCTCTCAAAGAAAAAGACCCCGTAGAGTGGCAGCGGGATAATCTACCAAGATACTTTACGACACGGTGGAGCGCAAATTCAAAATATTAAAGTCATAACCTCATACTTTGGATACTGTTAGATTCATTGCAATGCTAAATCACTGAAGGTTGTTGTCTTGTTTGTTTGTATGCATTTTGTTTAAGATAACCAGAAATTGCTTGGACTGCCCTGCCATGTGGTTGTTACTTAAATTCTACAATAACATAATCAGAAAATATCCACCAGTGTCTGTATAGTATATGTGTCAGATCTGGCTGTTTTTGGTGTATGGTTTATTGAAATGGGCATTGGTAGCTAACGAATATGAAATATTACGTTTTATACCTCCAGGTTTATGGACAGCCGATTTAGCCATAACTCAACTGTTTCTGGAGACTGTTGAGGAGGAGGAAAGAGGAAAAGTAAATGGAGTTCAGCAATCATTAAACAGACTCATGGACTTGTTAAAATTCGCTATGGTGGTCGCGGCACCAGATCCCCAATTATTTGGCGTTTTAGTGTTCATATCGTTTGCCTTTGTGTGTTTAGGTGCGGTTTTATATGCCAGTTATTCGAGAAGAGCTAGAGGTCATTTATTCCATTTTGATAAAATAGTCAAGTGTACCAATAACAATCACCAAATACCTACAGATAATCCAAAAGTTTGAGTATATACTCAATTATTACTTTGATTCAATTCCAGAGAATTCCATAATTTTATCTTCATGGGCAGTATTCTGGACAAACGATTAAAAGAAGAGGGTACTATAGGCGAAAGCTTGTTCCCTAATCCTATTATGTAAATAAATATTGTTTATACAAAAAAAACCTATTAAAATTTCCGTGCATAATAGACAATGACACAAATTTGGGTGATTATGTGACGAGACCCAGTCACCAAATATTGGTCTTTATACATCATAACATAATTCCCAAGATCAATTGATTAACTTGTAGATGCTTCAAACAAAGCATGGAAGAATCATGTTATTATAACAGCTTGTGTAATGCTTAAACTTACATTTTGTTTTTTTTATCAACTCGCTCAAAGGCTTGACAATGAAATTGTGAAACTCATTTTATAAATACATTATCATGAATGGTTTGTCAGAATATCATGTGCCTTCATGTTTTTGAATGTTGATATTTATTTTGATATTATATAATAAACTATATTTAATTTTTATCATGATGTTAGACACTGGAATGGCTTAACTAAAGGTCAACAGAGGTTGAGATAATACATTTGTATTTTTCACCCTTTTTTCCTCTTAAAGGCCATAGTTGATTCTTCAGAAGTACTAGAACTGCACAAAAACGCACAATCTCTTTAAATTAGGTTCCATTTCTGTATTTGCCTATTAAATATATGACGTAGTCTCAAGAAAAGACAAGTCATCATTTTAACTTTCAATTTATTATGGCAAATTATGGATTTGATGGCACAAATTTTCGACCTGTGAAACAAATGGAGAGTCTGCCCCTTTAACCCTTAAATAATGTAGACCAGAGGCATTGTAATTAAGATATCCCTTAAAAATAGCATGAGAGTAGGGCTATGTTGTGAGAGAGATGTGTCCTTTCCAAGTTTCCCCTTGTAAGTAAGAAAAGTGTCTAGGCATTTGATGAAATTTTAAGCCAAGACATTTGTGATACCTGACTCATATAAATCACAGATTATTTGATCATGTCACTTTATAATTAATTACCACAAGTAATTTTGTTATCACATATCACCTTGGATTAAGTCACACATTTATATTTGATTAGCACTACAACAAAGTTCAATATGGTATGATTTGCTCATATCACTTTGTCACTTGAAAATCTTGCTGAAAATGGAATCTAGCTGTAATGCCACCTTTCTTTATTATATTTGTTTCTCAAATTACATTTTTGACTTGGTTAACCAAAAGAAGTCCTGAAAAAGAAAAAAAACTCTCAATTATACCCAATTATAAAGTGTGGCCAACTGATGTTGATATTTTCAGAGACTTTGAAATATTACTCCTATTAATAGTGCTTACTGTCTATAACCCTTCACCATTAATGACCCCATATTTTAGGAATATGTATCTGACTGAGTGACCGGTGAAGCAGTAATCACTTGGTGTCAAATGAATCAACATCATAATGCTTTCAGTTCTATAATGGAGATCAGGGTATATGATGTCAGTGGCATCGCAGCCCCAAAGGCTAGTTTTTCATGCAAGGCATTAAAAAAAATTTTTTTTTTGAACGGCCTGATTTGATTTTTTTTTTTTGGGAATTTAAAAATGAAATCATATCTTTGCCCGAATATCCTATACTATAACTGTATTTTTTTAAATTGATAGCCTGATTGTATTCTCCTATAATATTTCATAATTTATATTATTTAAGGATCGAAATCACTGCCAGAATGTCATTCGTATGATTATATTTTACATATTTCAAAAATTGAAATCGCAGCCCGAAAGTAGAGTTTAGAACTTTTTTTTACACAACCAAAAAAAGGCAATTCGGGCACAGATTTCAATTTTTTGCAATAAATATTGTAGGACATACAAAAAAAAATGAAATCTGTGCCCGAATTGTCTTAAATTAACACTCATAACTGAGTTAGAAATTCGTGCAACCTCAAATATCTCGCCCCCCCCCCCTGGGACATAAACCTGGCTCCGCCACTGTATGATGTTTTATCTTATATAGACTAAGTGTCTCACCTTTCAATTAAAATTAGACCCAACTTTCAATTCGTTTTTTTTAATAAATTTTATTTTTTGTTTAGCCACTTCACAGTAGGGTTTTAACAACCGCAGTCTTAAACATTCGTCAAATTCAATTGTAGATTTGTATAGAAGGTAGATATTATACATTACATAGATAAAATCTTGTAACTTAAGAATTAAATCATGGATTATTGAACTCATGAAAATATTATTGAAAGTCAAGGGCAATAACCTAAATACTTACCTGAGGTTTACGTTGTGCTAATGGATTGATAGCTACAGTAATTAATGATGATTGGTTGGTATGATTCAATGCATCTTTTAAACTATGCTGTAAACTGTGTATGGTCTGTACAGCATAGCCCCGCCCACCAAAGCCTGCCATCATTTTTTCATATGGTGTATTGGGTTTCAATGAAGTTGGTGGTGTCCTAAAAATAAAAACAAAAGCAACAAAGAGTACCTGACATAACAAAAGGTGAGCTGCATCAATTGAACTCATCATCCGAAAAACTCAGTAACTCTGAAATAGTGATCAATTCTACTATCCAAGACTGAACAAAAGGTGATTGGTAAGCTTATTTTGTACTTACATTAAAGTTAAATCACCTGCTGACTCGAGACTCGACCAAGACTCTTCATCAATACCAAATGATATACCATTGTTATTGAGGATGATTAGAATAATTGGTAGGTTATATCTACATCAAATATATCAAATTCATTGAGAAATTTATAACCGAATTGAAATATTTCATACACATAAGTGAGTTAATAACATTGCTTAAAAATCCTGTTATCATGAAACATGGCTTGTTGCTTATATCAAATCTTACCTTTGTAATGTTTCAATTTCCATTCCTGAAAAGCCAAAAGCACTATCTCCTTGGACACAGACCACTCTTTTATTGGGAGCATGATCTCGACACCAGATGGCAGCAGCCACTGTGAACCCTAATCCTACACCCATAGTTCCGAATGTCCCAGCATCAAGTCTGAAATGAGAGTACAATGATATGATTAACTTAAAATCCTTTAGACTTAAGAGTGAGATTAATTGAAGTATGTTGCTATCACTTAATGAGGACAATAATTCAAACATGACTGTAAAGTTTAAGGTTTTGATCCTGGCAAAAGTAAAAAATGCTTTATGAATAGTGCTAGTCAACTGATAAGGAAAACAAATATGGAGCTCCCCTCTATCTCTAATTTCTTATCTTTTTGAAAAGGGAAGAATTGTCAAATCTCTGGCACTACTGGACCACCAAGCAGCACTTCCTACTTCACAGTAGTGAATCTCCCAGTTTCCAGGTAACAACTACAGTATTATGATATTGATGCACAACAAATTTTCTTTTATTCTTATAACATACCTATGTCTGGGTAAATGATTTAACAACATGACACGTCCTATATCCATTGTATTAGCTCCTTCATTAATAATAATACTGTTATCTGGTATCATATTGTTTATCTATAAATACATGTATTAGGTCATCATATTGTTTATACTGCAATATCTTTCATTATTGTAGGCATTAAATCAATCTAATTGAGAAACTGATCTAGATGTTGGGTGTGGTATTTATCCCCTGGGTGCAGCACATGTCCTAAGTCAATAAGATATTTAATCTCAAAAGGATTTAATTGTTTAATGATCAATTCATATTTGAGGAATTCAAGCAGATTGAATATACAACCTTTAAATCATTTCTTACTTACTTCATTTAAAACAGCATAATAATTTAACGGACTGCTCTTATCACTGATCATTTTCTACAAAAAATTAAATAACTCAGAGTTAGAATCTCAAGGAGAAAATGACTCAATCAAGAAGGTCATGAGTTGACAAAATAATATGGTAGACACAAAATAAGTTCTATCTTGTCAATCAAGTTCTTCTGATATAGGTCTTGTAATTTTTCTACTTTTGAGGAAAATGAGAAAATATTGGGTATAAATGAGAAAATTAACAGTACAAACTTTAAATTAGAATGGTTTTAGCTTAAATGAGAACATTCAAATGTTTTCAAATTATAAATGAGATACAGGTAGGAAATATTTTAAGCTCAACTAAGAAAACATTAAGCTTCAAAATTACCTGAAATGTATTTTGGTTTGTTTTCATTTTATTTTTTAAGAATTTCCACCAAGAGCTAGAGCAATTAATTTCAAATTTTCCTGGTCTTTTTTCAGTCTCTTTTATCAACTAACAAAATAAAATCTCTTATATATTCACATTGAAACAGATAAATCATTTAGAATAACGAACATTGGAAATTAATTGAATTCTCATGAATTGGCTGTTGAAGATATTTGTTACAGGATATAACCATCTAAAAATATCATTTTAACACTTACCTGATGTACAACATGTGATATATTACCAACTAATCCTAACCATTTATATACATTATTACCTAGCTCTTCTACACAAATATCTACCTATAATAAAATACAACATGTAATATATTACCAACTAATCCTAGCCATTTATATACATTATTACCTAGCTCTTCTACACAAATATCTACCTATTATAATATACAACATGTAATATATTACCAACTAATCCTAACCATTTATATACATTATTACCTAGCTCTTCTACACAAATATCTATCTATTATAATATACAACATGTGATATATTACCAACTAATCATAGCCATTTATATACATTATTACCTAGCTCTTCTACACAAATATCTACCTATTATAATATACATGTAATATATTACCAACTAATCCTAACCATTTATATACATTATTACCTAGCTCTTCTACACAAATATCTACCTATTATAATATACAACATGTAATATATTACCAACTAATCCTAACCATTTATATACATTATTACCTAGCTCTTCTACACAAATATCTACCTATTATAATATACAACATGTAATATATTACCAACTAATCCTAACCATTTATATACATTATTACCTAGCTCTTCTACACAAATATCTACCTATTATAATATACAACATGTAATATATTACCAACTAATCCTAACCATTTATATACATTATTACCTAGCTCTTCTACACAAATATCTACCTATTATAATATACAACATGTAATATATTACCAACTAATCCTAACCATTTATATACATTATTACCTAGCTCTTCTACACAAATATCTACCTATTATAATATACAACATGTAATATATTACCAACTAATCCTAACCATTTATATACATTATTACCTAGCTCTTCTACACAAATATCTACCTATTATAATATACAACATGTAATATATTACCAACTAATCCTAACCATTTATATACATTATTACCTAGCTCTTCTACACAAATATCTACCTATTATAATATACAACATGTAATATATTACCAACTAATCCTAACCATTTATATACATTATTACCTAGCTCTTCTACACAAATATCTACCTATTATAATATACAACATGTAATATATTACCAACTAATCCTAACCATTTATATACATTATTACCTAGCTCTTCTACACAAATATCTACCTATTATAATATACAACATGTAATATATTACCAACTAATCCTAACCATTTATATACATTATTACCTAGCTCTTGTACACAAATATCTACCTATTATAATATACAACATGTAATATATTACCAACTAATCCTAACCATTTATATACATTATTACCTAGCTCTTCTACACAAATATCTATCTATTATAATATACAACATGTGATATATTACCAACTAATCCTAGCCATTTATATACATTATTACCTAGCTCTTCTACACAAATATCTACCTATTATGATATACAACATGTAATATATTACCAACTAATCATAACCATTTATATACATTATTACCTAGCTCTTCTACACAAATATCTACCTATTATAATATACAACATGTAATATATTACCAACTAATCCTAACCATTTATATACATTATTACCTAGCTCTTCTACACAAATATCTACCTATTATAATATACAACATGTAATATATTACCAACTAATCCTAACCATTTATATACATTATTACCTAGCTCTTCTACACAAATATCTATCTATTATAATATACAACATGTGATATATTACCAACTAATCCTAGCCATTTATATACATTATTACCTAGCTCTTCTACACAAATATCTACCTATTATAATATACAACATGTAATATATTACCAACTAATCCTAACCATTTATATACATTATTACCTAGCTCTTCTACACAAATATCTACCTATTATAATATACAACATGTAATATATTACCAACTAATCCTAACCATTTATATACATTATTACCTAGCTCTTCTACACAAATATCTATCTATTATAATATACAACATGTCATATATTACCAACAAGGTGTTTTTTTTTCAAATCAAATCTAAAGCCAACAGAATTTCTTGTAAGTCTTATACTTCTAAAGTGAAACAGCATTGATTGAATTATTCTTCAAAGCTAAAGAAGGATTGTAAGAATATGTTAAAATTTAAATTCATTGATTGAAGAATCAAGAATTTATGAATCACTGACCTGGACAATTTGGATATCTTTGTGAAATCTCGGAGGTAAACCAAAGTGTAGGATCCAGTTCAATCTTGCTCCAAGCAGTATTATCACGTCTGCTTCTTGTAGAGCTCTGAAATGCAATATGAAAATGAATTAAATGAAATTGTGTTTTTGCATCTTATTGGACTTATAAAGATGGGCAACACCATGCAATACAATGTGCAATAAAGGAAATCTCCGTCATAAAAGCCAGTATTTCTCTTACTTGGACCTGGTAGAAGAAACACATAGTGGATGATCATCTGGTAAAACTCCTTTACCCATTGGAGTCGGTAAAAATGGTAGATTCCAGGATGTTATAAATTCTCTAACAGCTCTTTCTGCTCTTCCATATGCTGCACCTGACAATGTTTGTAAAGATAAAGAAAATAAATATAGCTTTATAATATAAAATGTCAAGAAAGTAAGGAAATCTAACCCGTTCAGTAACATTAGAGGAAGACAGATATCTGAATGGTTACCTATCTATTGCTGTGTCAGCCGAATCAACCTGTATCACTGGTAGATGGAATCAAATTGAAAAAAAAGTAATAATTTCAAACCCCAGATCCCAACCTAGTGAGCAAATGTGTAAGCCCCACCCCTTCTCCCCCCTTAGCACAGCTCGTTGTTCTGAAATAAAGGTGCAATAGTAACTATCTTACAATACCTTTAAAACAAGCTTTCACTTACCTTTTCCTACAATGACTAGAGGTCTAGAACTGTTGGATAGTAAATCTATGGTCTTCTTGATTGAGGAAGGATCTGCTAACATAACTGGAGCATCTGGGCACCTTTTTACCGAACTGACAAATAAATTTTTAGAAATCTAAACAAACAGCACAGATCAAATCCAGCTAGCGTTTGAAATTTACTTAATTACCATAAACAGAAATTATAATTTGATATATCAGTTTACTGAACTTATTAGATCTACATGAATTGATATGATGGTAGTTTAGCTGTTATCTTTTCACCCAGTAAATCTACAGAACAAGCTTACATGAAAGGTAACCTACCTGACATGTGATAATGGTATTTTATCTGTTATCATGTCACCAGGTAAATCTATATAACAGCATCCTGGTCTACCATATATACTCTGTCTTACTGCCTGTAAACATGCATATTTTATACTGATCAAGTTTAATGTACAGAAAAACATAGTACAGAATCATATGATCTTATACTACCCTAACACAATAATCTGAATGGAAATTCTTTTATAGTTTGATGATGGTCATTTAGTGTTGTCACTGCAGCCTTTAAGAGGAAATACAGATTGAGGTCAGTCTTTGATTTTTAATAGTGAAACAGATAACTTAAATTGAACTTTTTGGCTTGGAAGTTTCTCAAATTTGGACACAAAGTAAATAATAATTTATCAAGTTATGAATTTACCTTTTCCACAAAGAAAGGAATTCTGTCTACACTGCTGGGTCTAGCTGAATACTTGCAGAATGGTTTTGCAGTGAAAACTTGTGGGTACTCTTGGAAGCCTCCCATACCCTCTTGATTGGAATCACAAGATCCCCCTACAACTATCAGTGGCCTGAAAGGAACCATACAACAAGCATTATGAAGTATTGTTAATCTTTTTATTTTAACCAGTCTAAGGTTGTGATCAGTAATAGCTTCACTATCACCTGTGTGGAACTCTGGGACATTTCATCTCATATTTACACAATATGAATGAAATTACATATCTGGAGCTGTATTTCAAATACACCCTATAAGGTGGCAAGATTGTAAGATTACTGACATGTTTATGTTTACTGATCTGATAACACTCACCAGCAATTTTCCATGGCATTTGACATTCCAGCAAAAGCATGAACTAAACCAGGTCCTGAAACTACTAGACATACTGCTGGCCTATAATAAGCAAAGACTATAGATCAAACGTAGATCAGACTGTCATAGCTTCCAGGCCATTTACAACATTTCTGTGTGCAGTTATTAGAGTGTTATGGACAGAGAAAATTAAAATATTTTAGCTGAAAGATATTTCACTGACAATATCTACTAAAGAAGAGTAAGAGGGTGGTATTTTGAAATTTATTCCCTTAATTTTCTTATGACTAAATATCACCTATATTATAAAACATACTACCTTCCAGTCATATAACCAATAGCTGATGCTGCATATGATGCCTACAAATAAAATTATTAATCTAAGATATACATCTAGGCACGATAGCAACCAAATTACCATCTTGAATCAGTATGGTAATGAATATATACAATATATAATTAATCAAACCCAATTCTCATCAATATTCAAAGTTTTACATTCAAATCTTTCTAATAAAATCAAATCAAGATCCAAATTTCCATATTTCTTTACAAGCATATGAAATAAACAAAAGCTTTGAGTAAAATTTTATGTCTATATAACATCTATGCTAAAAATATAACTACATGTATATAATAAGTGTATACTTACAGCTTGTTCATTCCTCATACCAACATATTTTATACCTTCAGCCTGTGCTGCTACTGCCACCTCAATAACTGGTACCCCTACTATACCAAACATATACTCAACTCCCTAGAATATACAAGTAAATATACAGTCAAGTAACCTAATTTCGTGGAAACCTATTTTTCGTGGATTTACAGAAATGATTAATAATTCACATGAGCGACCTTGCGCGACCTCCGCATTAGCTTGTTTTGATAAACACTGGTTGTCTCTACAATGTCAGCTAGTAGAATGAATCCAGTAGTTTCAAGCAAGGTAAAATGTACTAATATATACTTTGACAAATACAAAATGGCGGATTTCACTTATTACCAAACGTCACCATTTTTTATCGGCCGAATTTCCTTATTATCCCAAGCGGTAATCGGAATTCCAAGAGTCGTCTGCTAGAATGTAGTCCAACGAATGAAGTCACGTGATCAACTAGCGGATTCCATGTCAGCAGAAAATTTCTATGGAACACAAAGTGGACCATATTCTTATGTTGTTTCAGTGACTTTTAGCAATAAATCACGCTACGTATCTTATTTTGTCAGTCACTAAATTTTTTTAAAATCGTGGTTCTTTGAAGGAATTGTCACTAGTTATAATGAACTGATATTAAAGATAAATACTAAGAAAAGTAAATTATACCACCCGGTATCCATACAACGTGTTTTTCTTGCCTTATTTATAGATCAAATATTGTACACGAAAATAGGTGATGCATTCTGCCGTCGTTGCCGAGTTGGTTGCTCAAGAAATATGGGTCAAAGGGAAGGATTCATAAAGAAAATAGAAATGAACCAATTTTAATTATTTTGTAGAATATCTGAGGAAACATTTAAGACATAAAAAAAAAAATTAGTTTTTTTTAACTTTGACGAAATTCGGTGATGAATCCTTATATCCACGAAAATAGGTCACACTACTGTAATTGCAGGGCGTTGGTAAGCGAACGCCCTGCTTTGTTTTCGTATTGATTTTTTTTTTTTTTTTGGTCTACGGCAGGCCGGTTTTCTCGGCAACGGCAACAGGTACGGGAAAACGGACTTCATGGCGTTTTGTAACTCGTGGCTAATCACAGTTTAAATGTAAAACGAAATTTTCTGAACAACATTATGCAAAATTGCAACAAACGGAAAATAGACTCTAGAGGGCGTGTTTATCAACTGATTTTGATCGGGTTTTCTGCATCGTATTTCTTGTAACAAAGGACAAATGATAGCAGTTGAAAATTTTCGATTTTCGAAAATTCGTTGCATACTTTTTTTTGCCGAAATTAATCGAAAAATACTATTTCGGTTGTTGTCGGACGGATTGACTTGAAACTTACTTGGTGTAGACCGTCAGCATAGACACGTAAAAGTACACGTTCAAATTTTTTTGATCACTTCCGGTTTCGATGTTAGTACTTCCGGTGTTATCACTTCCGGTGGAATTGAGTTATGTCAAAAATAACATATGCATTATATTACCAGCCTTAATACAAACTTATTAAACTAAAAAAATCCGCACCGGAAGTAACATGTTGGCCGCCATTTTGGTTTGCCTCATTTTGCAAAAATTGCTATTCAGAGGCCATTTTTCATCCGATTTGCATAACATTTGTGTCAAACGATACGTTTAATGTCTGTCTACAATCCTTAGGCAGCATAATTTTGATTTTCGGTTTTGCCTTTTTTGTATGACCGGATTGTTTTTTTTCAAAGTTTGAAGGCATATATCTCATGACCTTGACCTTTGATGACCTTCATATTTACTGTGATGATAATTTGTGACCTTGTCTATCTGATGACCTTTTGACCTTTGGGGTCAGATACCTATTTCCGATTTTACAGGGGTCTAAATATGGACCATTTTGAGCCTTTAAAGTGCTCTATCTCGGTCCCTAATAGAGATATGGCAATAATTCTTTCGATTTTGTAATGTAGAGATTCTCAGCTTTCCATAGATATATAACATGCATACCTTACATGCAAATTCAAAACTCCATTCACTTAACATGGGGTTATTATTAGATAAATCGGCTAATTAGATTAACCTGGCTGTCAACCCCAAGAGAAATCAAATTTTAAGTTGTTTTAAAGATACCCTGCCTTTTATATTTCTTAAAAATTATCTTTGTCCAGTTATGGTATAAAATTAAGCTCTCAGGTGGATTGAATCATGTCATATTTTAGTTTAAGCTCACGGCAGCATATTGAAGGTATACCTCCACTTAATTTACCAACTTTCTCATTTCTTATCCGATTTTCATCAAACTTGGTATGTATGTGTATAATCAAATTCTAAATTTGATGGAATTATCGAATTTGCGTAGTGCGCATGCGCATTGCCAACTTTCTTATTTACTATCCGATTTTCATCAAACTTGGTATGTATGTGTATAATCAAATTCTAAATTTGATAGAAATATCGAATTTGCGTAGTGCGCATGCGCATTGCCAACTTTCTTATTTACTATCCAATTTTCATCAAACTTGGTATGTATGTGTATAAACAAATTCTAAATTTGATGGAATTATCGAATTTGCGTAGTGTGCATGCACATTGCCAACTTTCTTATTTACTATCTGATTTTCATCAAACTTGGTATGTATGTGTATTAACAAATTCTAAATTTGATAGAAATATCGAATTTGCGTAGTGCGCATGCGCATTGCCAACTTTCTTATTTACTATCCGATTTTCATCAAACTTGGTATGTATGTGTATAATCAAATTCTAAATTTGATGGAATTATCGAATTTGCGTAGTGCGCATGCGCATTACCAACTTTCTTATTTACTATCCGATTTTCATCAAACTTGGTATGTATGTGTATAATCAAATTCTAAATTTGATAGAAATATCGAATTTGCGTAGTGCGCATGCGCATTGCCAACTTTCTTATTTACTATCCAATTTTCATCAAACTTGGTATGTATGTGTATAAACAAATTCTAAATTTGATGGAATTATCGAATTTGCGTAGTGTGCATGCACATTGCCAACTTTCTTATTTACTATCTGATTTTCATCAAACTTGGTATGTATGTGTATTAACAAATTCTAAATTTGATAGAAATATCGAATTTGCGTAGTGCGCATGCGCATTGCCAACTTTCTTATTTACTATCCGATTTTCATCAAACTTGGTATGTATGTGTATAATCAAATTCTAAATTTGATGGAATTATCGAATTTGCGTAGTGCGCATGCGCATTACCAACTTTCTTATTTCTTATCCGATTTTCACCAACTTGGTATGTACGTGTATAAACAAATTCTAAATTTGATGGAATTATCGAATTTGCGAAGTGCGCATGAGCATTGCCAACTGTCTTATTTATTATCCGATTTTCATCAAACTTGGTATTTATGTGTATAAAGAAATTCTAAATTTGATAGAATTATCGAATTTGCGTAGTGCGCATGCGCTTTTTATTATCCGATTTTCATCAAACTTGGTATGTATGTGTATAATCAAACTCTAAATTTAATGGAATTATCGAATTTTTGTTGAGCGCATGCACATTACCAACTTTCTTATTTCTTATCTGAATTTCATCAAACTTATTCTTTATTAATTGACAAATATTCTTTTATTCCTAGTAAATATACTTTAAACTTCAGACACTTTTGGATATTTGCATTTAGAGATGCAGAAAGGTATTTACATAAAGTAATTGCAATAGACCATCTTCGTATGTACCTGAATGTCGTAACCCGCCCTGCATCAGTACTGTTATTAGAACAGTTCTAGTTCAAATTGTAACTATTGTCTGAGCAAAAGACTTGGAACATCAGCCTTAAAAAAGTATTATTAATCTTTTTTGTAAGTTTTTATTGAAAAGAAACACATTCCCTCTTAACAATTTTAAACCGAAAAAGTCCCGTATTTTGGCTGGAAATTGTCCTCTGTAAAAAGAAAAAAAAAAAAGAAAATGAAGACGTAAAGTGCGCACATGCTAATATTTTTATCAACACAAAGACATTCTATGACTAACAGTACTATTTTGAGGCTTCTATTCAAATTCTTATAAAAAGGATGTAAAAATGTAAAAAAAACTTTTTACTTTACTCAGACAATAGGACTTTGAACTGGAGTTGGACTGGACTCTGGAGTGAACACAAAACTACAAACAAATTTTGGCTGATCTCAATCATAGATATCGATATTTCATGTGCCTTGTCAAAAAGCAAAGTAATGAATTTCTGAAACACCATCGTTTTTGACAGATGACTTACTCATTTAAACCAATTCTCTTTACCTGAGATTTCAACGATTTGGCTAAAATAGCTGCACCGTCAACTTCTTCATTTTCAGACGCCATTTTGAAACATCACGTGATCACTAATATTGCAAGAGGTTACGTCCAGGTAAAACATAAATGAGAGATTCATTACGGTTGAGAAGAATAAATGAAATGTAGCACCACAAGTCAGAATGTTCACCTGTTTTAAAAACTGGTTTGATTTTAGCTTTTCAGAACAATATTGATAATCTGATTTCTTTAGGATTTTTCAGTTTGACATGAATAAATTTCTGTCAGGCCATTTCCACCTTTACAGAACCTCACAGGGAGCAATTATTTTTTTGTTCGCCTAAAACTTAAAATTTTGAAATTCTATAGCCATATTTGGATTTCATAAACATTTTAATATGTATAGATACAAAGAAAAAAATACATTATGGTGTACAAAATCAAACGTTTCTCAAGAGAAGAAATTTTTCTATAATATTCATATTGATTCATCTAAGATCCCTCACATTTATTACATCGCCATTCAGAACTTAGTGAAGCGTGAAGAAAAATGTTCTGCTGCTAATCAGCTGAGCGACCGTTATTCTGTTGTCATAATTTACCGTTACGTAGTTAATGATTGCCTTCTAGTTCCAGAAGTCAAAATAATAAGATGTCTAACAAGTTTCCAGAAGCTAATGGACTACCTCTGAATGACAAAGATAATCTGAACAAACGTGGAGCAGCAGCTGGTAAGAATATAAAGAAAATTTAATTTTTTCTAGATAAATTTTTGACTTCTGTTAAAATCTGCTTGTTAAGTTTTTACAAAAATAACTAACTGAATGAGGCTGGTTGAGATCTTTAAAAAAATCCCGAAGTATTGTAGTACAGAAGTCATGTTTTTTTTCTGTATGTTTTAAAGCTTATATAACTGTTAATGGGTCCAGTCATTCAAATTTTGTCAGAAATTGAGAAACTCAGTGGAGTCCAGACTCAGATGACAGAAAGTCCCCAGGAGTGAATCTGATCTCTAATCTATTAAGTAATGAGAAGTAGAGGTCATTGATGATTGAATGAAAGCATTATAGTTTCTCTTAGTTTGTCTTGAAAACCACTTTGGCATGGAAGTCACTGAAGCCGTCAATTTCCTTCAGAAAATATCTAGCCTAATTATATTACAGTGGTGTAACCTATTTTGGTGGATATAAGGATCCAACACCAAATTTCGTCAAAGTTAAAAAAACGAAACTTTTATTTTATGTCTTAGATGTTTCCTCAGATATTCTACAAAATAATTAAAATTGGTTTATTTCTATTTTCTTTATGAATCCCTCATTTTGACCCATATTTCTTGAGCAACCAACTCGGTAACGGCGGCAAAATGCGTCACCTATTTTCGTGTACAATGTTTGGTCTATAAATAAGTCTAGAAAAACACGTTATATGGATACTGGGTGGTATACTTAACTTCTCCTAGTATTTATCTTTAATATCAATTCATTATAACTAGTGACAATTCCTTCAAAGAACCACGATTTAAAAAAAAAATAGTGACTGACAAAATAAGATACGTAGCGTGATTTATTGCTTAAAGTCACTGAAACAACATAAGAATATGGTCCACTTTGTGTTCCATAGAAATTTTCTGCTGACATGGAATCCACTAGTTGATCACGTGACTTCATTCGTTGGACTACATTCTAGCAGACGACACTTGGAATTCCAATTACTGCTTGGGATTATAAGGAAATTCGGCCAATAAAAAATGGTGACATTTGGTAATAACTGAAATCCGCCATTTTGTATTTGTCAAAGTATACATTAATACATTTTACATTGTTTTAAACTACTGAATTGATTCTACTAGCTGATATTGTACAGAAAACCCATGTTTATTAAATCAAACTAATGCGGAGGTCGCGCAAGTTCGCTCATGTAATTATTAAACATTTCCGGGAATCCACGAATAATAGGTTTCCACGAAATTAGGTTACTTGACTGTATATTAAGCTAGTTCATGTGTTGTGCTCTTGATATTTGTATCAAAAGAAATTTGTGTAAAGCTTTAAAGTAATTTGTCACAGTGAATGTATGAATAGCTTATGGAAAATGATAAGTGTTTTAATATATAATAAGAGCTAAATGAGTATTGAGTGTGGTAGCTTATAGTAGTCTACTACCTGTATTACTAGTACTAAAAGTTAATCTGTTTCAAGTGTGATATAAGTGTAAAGAAAGAAAAATCTAGTCTGTGTTCTACCAGTGATACAGTAGACAGAAGTTCCATAATTCCAGTGAAACCACCTTACAAATCATAGGCTTAGTTTGAATCATTGCCAACCATAGCTTATAAATTGTATTAAAATGATTTAGCTTCTCATCAAATTAAAGTTACATCAAGGTCGAAAAAGAAACTTTCAAAACAATTTTATATAGACTTACAGTACTGTACGGTACCAGTTCAACTAAATGAACATTTGCATTCAATTATTCTTAGCCTTGCAAAATCATCAGTTCAAATCTTATTTTAAGAATTACCGGGCACTTTAGTTTGTCAAACTAAGCTTAACTTTTTGCAATCCTAATTTTGAATAAAATTTAAATTATATTCTTGTGATCAAAAACATCAGGCCACATATTCTCGAAATGATCTTTGAGCTAGGATGTCCTAGAAACAGTTTAAAATGTTAAAGATGGGTTTCCTAACTTTTAGTGTCAAATTAAGCGGACTATTTGATTGATTTGTGTTTCTAATGAATTATCATGTATTCTTAAAGGGAATGTAAAGTGGTTTTCTTAACTTTTTATATGTGGGAACTCCAGAGATATCAATACTTAGCTTCTGGTAGCTCCCCTCTAAAGACGTCATAAAAGATGTTAGTTTTAGTAGAAATGCTAGAACCACAGACGTCAGAATGAAATTTGGAATGGTGCAAATTGAAGCTATCAGTGTCCTTGATACACATAAAAGATTTAAAAAAAACATATCTACAATCCCTTTAATCATATCTCATGTATGTACAGTCTGGATAAACAACAAAAGACTTTTTGACCTTTCTTGATAGGTCACTCATTGGAATTCTCCTGGTAATTCTCATCTAATTTAGCTAATTATGAATTAATTATGGACATGTGAGACAAGCTAGTATTCTTTCAAGTCATTAGAACACCTCTACTTTCTATTCATATATATTAGCATTTTCATTTCCATAAATGAAAATAAGGGAACCTATCTTTAAGACTCTAGGATATCATAGAAACAGCAGAAGATGTTAAGACTCTAGGATATCCTAGGGCTAAGATTGTTCAAGAATATGCAGCCAGGAGATCACGGCACTGTAGTCTATCAAATTTGTGATATGTTAAATTTGCATGAATTTCCTGCCTTTTTCCCACCAAAGTATAGTGACTAACATTAGTAACATAGGTAAAACTGAAATAAAGCATTTCATTAGAATGCCTTGAAATAATAGAACTGTGCAAAATGGAATGGGAATCCTACCAATTGCTTAAGTATTTGATGAATTTATTGAAAGTAAATTAGATAAAAATCAAGCTTTCATCATGTGATAATAAATGTTTGTAATGAAATAGAAGCAAATGATTGATTGATTAAATAACAGTAAGCCATTTTTGAATTCAAATGTGCAATAGTGACATTCTCTGCTATCACAAGATTTGTGTTATCAAAATAAACTAGTGTGGCATTACAATAAATGTACTGTTGTTTTTTTTCAGAACCTGTATCTCCAGCCTTTGCACCAACAACATTAAAGTTTCCTAAACACATCCATTGTGATGTTGATGATAAACTAAATAAACTAGCAGAGAAGATTTTTACACGTAGTCAAATTGGTCCTAATCATACACATAATGAAATCTCAGCTCCCTATGAGGTCCTTCAATATCCTATAGAAGAAGAGGCTGACAGATCTTATTTTGAGAAGAAATATCATACACAGGGGTATGTATTATTTTGATAATTCATAGTATAAACTTATCATTTTAGTGACTATAACATAATGTGGCATTATTTTCTGAAAGGGTTACAGAAAACTAGAACTAAGTGACAAGTATCCAGCTGCTAAAATTGAAGTTAATATGCTCAGCATTTATATTTTAGTTAAGTTTATACGACCCATCAAAATATTTCTGTTGAGTTTATGTGCAGATAAAAGTATTTCAGTTGAGTTGAAGTGTCACGTCACATGATAATATTTCAGTTGAGTTTATGTGTCAGATCAAAATATTTCAGCTAAGTTTATGTGTCAGATCAAATTACATTAGTTGAAATCATTTGTTCTAATAAAAATATTTCAATTGAGTTTATGTGTTAGATCAAAATCTTTCAATTGAGTTTATGTGTTAGATCAAAATCTTTCAATTGAGTTTATGTGTTAGATCAAAATCTTTCAATTGAGTTTATGTGTCAGATCAGGGTATTTCACTTGAGTCATGTGTCAGATCAAAATATTCAATTGAATTTATGTGTCAGATCAAAGTATCTCAATGGAGTTTATGTGTCAATCAAAATATTTCAATTGAGTTTATGTGTCAATCAAAATATTTCAATTGAGTTTATGTGTAAGATCAAAATATTTCAATTGAGTTTATGTGTAAGATCATTGAAGTATTTCACTTGAGTTTATGTGTCAGATCAGAGTATTTCACTTGAGTTATCGATATGTGTCAGATCAAAATATTTCAATTGAATTTATGTGACAGATCAAAGCATATCAATTGAATTTATGTGACAGATCAAAGCATATCAATTGAGTTTATGTGTCAATCAAAATATTTCAATTTAGTTTATGTGTAAGATCAAAATATTTCAATTGAGTTTATGTGTCAATCAAAATATTTCAATTGAGTTTATGTGTCAATCAAAATATTTCAATTTAGTTTATGTGTTAGATCAAAATATTTCAATTGAGTTTATGTGTAAGATCAAAATATTTCAATTGAGTTTATGTGTCAATCAAAATATTTCAATTGAGTTTATGTGTCAATCAAAATATTTCAATTGAGGTTATGTGTCAATCAAAATATTTCAATTTAGTTTATGTGTAAGATCAAAATATTTCAATTGAGTTTATGTGTTAGATCAAAGTATTTCAATTGAGTTTATGTGTAAGATCAAAATATTTCAATTGAGTTTATGTGTCAATCAAAATATTTCAATTTAGTTTATGTGTTAGATCAAAATATTTCAATTGAGTTTATGTGTAAGATCAAAATATTTCAATTGAGTTTATGTGTCAATCAAAATATTTCAATTGAGTTTATGTGTCAATCAAAATATTTCAATTGAGGTTATGTGTCAATCAAAATATTTCAATTTAGTTTATGTGTAAGATCAAAATATTTCAATTGAGTTTATGTGTTAGATCAAAGTATTTCAATTGAGTTTATGTGTAAGATCAAAATATTTCAATTGAGTTTATGTGTAAGATCAAAATATTTCAATTGAGTTTATGTGTAAGATCAAAATATTTCAATTGAGTTTATGTGTCAGATCAAAGTATTTCAATTGAGTTTATGTGTAAGATCAAAATATTTCAATTGTGTTTATGTGTCAGATCAAAATATTTCAATTGAGTTTTTGTGTCAGATCAAAGTATTTCAGTTGAGGTTATGTGTCACATAATAATATTTCAATTGAGTTTATGTGTAAGATCAAAATATTTCAATTTAGTTTATGTGTAAGATCAAAATATTTCAATTGAGTTTATGTGTTAGATCAAAATATTTCAATTGAGTTTTTGTGTCAGATCAAAGTATTTCAGTTGAGGTTATGTGTCACATAATAATATTTCAGTTGAGTTTATGTGTTAGATCAAAATATTTCAATTGAGTTTTTGTGTCAGATCAAAGTATTTCAGTTGAGGTTATGTGTCACATAATAATATTTCAGTTGAGTTTATGTGTAAGATCAGTATGGTATTTCAATTGATTTATATGTATAATATCAAAATGAATGAATAAAGTTCTCTGTAAGAGATTTAAAATAAAATTGATGCTATCCTGAGGGAATATGATAATCAGGTTATTATTTGTACATTATATATAAATAATGAAATTATTGAATTATTAGACTATAAATAGATACTGGTAATCAATATTCTGACAGTATTCTAGTCGTTATCTACATGTAATAAATAGGCTGCCCGGCAGGTGTGATGAAATCACAAACTGACAAACTCGCAATGTATAAGCTTACTGCACCACCGCAAATTCATTTGACATAAATTTAAACTTTTTTTTAGTCTTGTAGGAATAATTAAATGTTACTTTTACAGGTATATAGTCATTAATACATTTGTTTTACCACATTCTGATAGAACCCAGTTTCAGTTTTGAAATCAAAATAAAATGGACAATGGCATCACTACAGCTGTAAATAAGAATTTAAACAATGTTGTGGAAGTAATAACTGTCTAAACTTCCCTGGTACTGGTACTGGTACTGGTACTAGTACTGGTTTGTAATGTTTTGGCTGAAATAAAGGAGAACTGGGTGTTGCACATCAAATATAGGACTTAGTTCAGCATCTACATCAAAACAATATGAACTTGGCTATCTAAATTAAGGTTTACCATCTTTGACACTTAATAGTGTTATAATTACTAAGGAAAGGGTACAGACTAATACACTATGCTCATATGATGCTATTTGTCACCAGAATTAAATGATCTCTCTCAGCTGGTAAAGCTTGTATATTGTACAACTAAATATATAAACTGTATCCAATTTTAATGTCATTGATGATCTGTAATTTTTATGGTAGTGCATGAAAAACTAGAACTGTAAAAATTAAGAATTATAGGCTTGCTATAAGCTGACTCTTATTTTAAAGCTACTATCCTACAAACTCTTAAAATACATAATACCACGTTTCTACTCAAAAAAACAAGAAAAGCTAAATACCTGTTTATTGTTACTTTAATTTTTATCTTTTCTTAACATTCATCATCAATATCTGAATTCAATAAAAAAAATTGTAGAAAATGGGGAAAAATACTAGATTTTCTCTCCATAGAGACTGTCTTTTATGTTTCTTAATTAGAATGTAATGATTTTTTCTGATACTGGGATTTATTGGAAGTTTTTGTCTTGTGATATATGAGGTAAATAATGGCTGTGATTTGTTAGTAATAAAGATGTATAATGCTGAGATTTTGAGAAGTTAAATGTGGTGGTAAGATGAAATGTTGTATTTGATGTTGTGTTTATTTGTGTAAAAGGGTTTACGTCTGCTGTTTATTGGTATTAAGGTCGTACAGACTATTACTAATGACTGATCTGAAACATGTTAAGACACAGAATATCATGTAGAGAAATTTTTCTTTTATTTGGGCCTGTTGTCAGAATCCTACAATACTATCAACTCTGATTGGTTCCAAGGGGAAGTTGCAGTGGTTAACCAATCAGATTTCAGTAAGTTAACTAGATGGTAACTTCTGATCATATGTCAAAATTTTCAAACTAGTGTAAGTGGTATACTTTTTTTTTTGCAAGCTTAGTTAATATACTTTTGAGGTTCACATTGCATGAACTTCATAGACTTCAACTTGCATGACAATCAGTCCCAGAGATGTTTATCTTTCATAATATAATATCAAAAACTAGCTTTTGTAATGATGATTTTATATTTGAGGCATTGAGAGGGCAGCAAGATAAAATAGATCTGGATATCACTAGGAGAAGATATTAATATTTGATTTATGGTATGATTTGATACATCTTGTTTTTCAGGAGTCAAAGTGGAGCAGGATTACTGTCTCCCACTCCCTCACCAGTGGATAGAGATAACAGTCTCAAGTCTAGTATAGGACATATTGATGCTGCTTATGACAGTGTTGAAGATGAAGAGGCAGAATTTCTCACTGCCTTTCAAAGAATTGCCATTAATGGTAATGAAATTAGTGGAGTAAGTATTTACCAACTCTTGTTAACTGTTTCAAACATAAGCTTAGGCACTGTAGTCAATACTTTCTGTTAAAGGGCAGGTAGAAGGAGGTAACATTTGGGCACAAATTTCCAAAGGTTCTACAATCTTTTGTTTTTTTTGGTGTCAGGTACCACTTAATGATCTTGAAGAAGCTTCCAAGAGTTTGGTGAAAGCCTTGATGATAAGAGAGAAGTATATGGCTGTTTCAAACCAATATTTCCCTAAAGTAACAGCTCGATTCTTACAAAGTCTAGAAGAGAAGGCTGAATTTAATAAAGTCAATTATATTGGAGAGAAAAAGAGTATCTTAGGTAAGTGACCTTATTTTATGTTTTACTAGCTTGTTGGAAACATCTTGAAGTTGCTGAATGACAAAAAAGAAATTTATGTTATTTTCTGTTTTTTTTAACACAATGTACTTTTTTCTATGCCATTATTTATTTCATTATTAGTGCGATTATTTTTATTTATGTTTTCTTGGGTAAATTCTTTAAATCATATGTAAGAAACATCTCTGAAGGGGAGCTGAAAATAGTAAAGGGGGATGAAAAATTTATCAAAGGGAGTTGAACAATTTGTTAAAGAGAGTTGAATAATTTGTCAAAGGGAGTTGAATAATTTATCAAAGGGGGCCCCGATAAGGAACACTGAAACACAACTTGAAACCCATTTTTAAAACATTTTTCATTCCTATCAATTAACTTCATTAATGTGATTTATTTCCATCCTTTTATTTTTAGGTATTATATTTTATATTTATTTTTTTCTTGAAAGTCTGATCACAGTGTTTTTTATCTGCAGTATCTGTAAAGATATGTTTTATTTAATCTTAAAGGGACAAATTGTCTAATCTTTACAAGGTGATAGAATTCAATTAGCATAAAGAAAAGAAATGTAATAATGAAAATGCGATTTCAGTTTGACTTCACTCAATCTCAATCTGAAGTTTTTATTATGTGGTCAGACTTTGTTTTTGTTATTCTGTTATTTTGTGATTGTTATTTTTATTTCTCAGTTGGGAAAGACAGTGGACAGGAGGGTGTTATGTATTACGACATGCGTCAAGGTGATCTTTCTTAGTCAAACTGTGTGCCTTACTAATATCACATTAACCAAACATGGCTGAGGGTCAGGGCTGTTTGGGTTGTTTTGTTTGAAAAGCACTATTTATAACACTGTTACAAAGACCTATTTCTTACAAATCTTGCATGACAGTTTATACTTTGCAAACAGCTCTTATACAGAAAAACTGATTGGATGAGTTTGAATTTGAAGGTGTTTAGTCAATGAGTATCAAAGTTGTGTATATTGTGACTTTAGCTAGAAATAAAACAAAAGTTGGAAAATGCGACTGTATCTCTCAATTTTAAATTCTTCTAAATCTGATGTGAAATTTGCAATTGTAAGGGTATGGGTAATGCATAAAGCAATTAATAAACAAAAAAAGTCATGTTTGGTTAGTGTGCCATATTTGTGTGGTATTTTTTATGATTTTTAACGACCCTGTGTTCTCTGACAAGTTAATCACAATCATTTCATGCTTCATTTATTTAACTAGAGTTAAATTTTTGGTTGGTAGATGACAAGTTAACGTTCGCTTCCAGCGGATGCTGATATCGCAAACTAGTTAAATTTTTGGGGAAAGCCCACTTTATTAATTACTTGCTAAAAATGATACTACCCTGTGAAAGCCATCACTAAAGTGACAAAATTCAAAATATATCTATACCAGTGCTTTTTTTATAATTTAGTTCTATTTGAAATGAATTTGATATAAGAATCATCTGTTTGGGCAATTTTTTAAATCTTTCTTCTATGAAACATAGTCATATCACCTTTTAAACAGTAATCCACATAAAAAGTAACAAAATATTTTGAAGGCTTAGTATTTACGATGCTCAATAGTAACAGATCCTGCAACATGTTATTGTATTATTACAAGAGCAGTCTATTTTATTAAAACTGACTGTGACCATTACTGATAAAACTACCTAAAATGCAGATCTAAAGTGCTGGGTTAAAGTTTAAAATAGAATATGTTCACTAGTATCTTTGCTTGCCATATATACAATTATTTAATGAATAATTTTAATTTGATATGATGAAGTAAGAGAACAGTTGTTCATTACATCATAATGTAGCTCCAGTAATATTTCCCTTACAATGCAGCCTCTTACAGATGTTGTCCTTCATGAATGAGTATGTATTGGGTTCCCTGGTTTATTTGATTAAGGGTTAATGATCCTGCTCCATATTTTATACCCAGATTTTCCCGTTCCTTGTTGTAAAACATAGCATGCACCATGGATTGGAAATGGTTTGGTTTTATTTTAGCATTGCTTCTAGAAAGCCTATATAAGCTTTTTAAGTAATTTATAAGAAGCTCTTTTGAAAATTATGACATGAAATGGTTTGCGTGTAATGGTGGCTTAAAATACTGATTGTTAGACCATTATCCAAGGTCTCTTATAATAGTGGATATAAAAGGGACTAATATGTTCATCATAGGTCAACTGAAAAAAAGTATCTTTACTTTCAGCAAGGGTCTTTATATATTTTTGGATAGGTTAGTTCTGAAAAGAACTGCATGACCTGCATATGAAGAATATTTCTACATAAAAAATATTTGCAATAGAACAATTTCAGTCTACTAAATGTTCTTTTTAGGACTTTGATCTCATCACACCCAAATTTTTGACAATGATTTAAAAGTTAACTATTCAAGTAGACTACCTTTCAGGTGAAGTATATTTGCTCTAATGAAATATAATATTATAAATAATAGATACTATCATTAGCCTAATATTTACAATATGTGTTCAGGTATCTCATATTATCCTAACTTAAAGTAGAAATCCTTGAATATTGTGGCTAACAAAAATTATGGCTAATTTGTTGATGAACTTTGCTATGTGCACATAGAGTTGAAACTGAGAAAGGAAACTGCTAGTTTGCTTTAGAATATTCTGATCATTTTAATGGTTGATACATTATGTCATGGTCTTTGAATTATCCTGACCTATAGATATTCTTTAGTGTACAATTTTCTATAGAAAAAAATCATGAGCTCAGATACAGGTCAAAATTAATTCTGTATAGGTATGGTATTTCTTTTGAGCATTGGTGTGAATATATGTGAAGTATGGGATATCCTCTTTAAGTATGAGATAAAAGCCAATAAATTATGAATGGTAAGTCACGGTTTATGGGTTAAATTGTTAACTCTATACTAGCCAAATAATTATTAGCTTTGCATTATTTAAGGTCTAAACGTTGTCATCATAACTAGGTCATGATTTTTTAGTTCATGATCTTATGATATTGAGTATACTAGTTGGAGAAACTCTGACCCTACCTACAGGCTATGACAGATGATTTTGACTGACACTGGTTTACAGTGCAGGCAGATTTTATGTGGCAGAAACTGTTTAGAAAGTATACTTTAAAACCATGCTGGTATACTCTCTCAATCATCCATTGATTTCCCAGTGTGCCTTCCATAGTGAAATAGTGATATATCATTGTCAGAAGGTTCAAACAAAGAAATATTTCTGATGCTGTAGTCTGCTTACTATTGTATGGGTAGACAAGTCAGATCAGGTGTGTTTTAGGGTAACAACAGTAATCTTTCAAAATGAAAATTTTTTAAGCATTTTCAGACAAATATTTTCTTAAATATTTGTGTTCAATACTTATTTTTATAAATATGGTACACTCCATTATATAAATTTAATTTAACATTATAATTGTATTAAATGTTAAATTTCTAATTGCAATAAAGTTACATGTATCAAGAATGAACAACATAACCTTGCTCGAGGTCAAATGTACAATATCCATAATTGTAAGCAGGCTTAATCTAATCCACAGTTCAGGTGTGTCTGTACAGTGGCTTAGGAAGGGTATTAATACCCTAGTGAATTCCTTGACTTAGATATTTGAAATTAACAGTAATTATTAAGATATAATAAAGATGGGCAACGCCATGCAGGGTGCAATGAGGGAGATTTGGCTAGGATAGCAGCATTAGTCTGCTCTTTTCGATTTCCGACTGTCGAGGAATCTTTAAAGTACACATCCTGTAGCTCACAGGGCCTTGGTTTATTTTCCCATTGGAACGACTTTTACCATGCCAGCCTCTCTTACCTGCATCACTGACAGGGGGAACCATGTTAAAAAAATCTGAAGGTTTTGTCTCGACCTATGTCAGGAATGAACCCTGGGCCTTCAGGTTAGCTAGCAAACATCTAACTCACTGAGCCACCGTGGCTCCCTTTAAGATTAGAGAACCTTACACAACATGGTGACCTGTCCTCATTATATCTGTCTTGGACTATGACATTCTGCCAATTATTACCTGCAACCATATTTGTATAGTGACCTCATAAGGCATGTAAGTTTTAGTAGAATTGCAAGAACCACAGACATCAGAATGGAAAAAGGAATTGTGCAAGTTAATGCTATCAGTGTCCCCGATACAGATACAAAATTTAAAAAACTTCTTTACATTCACTATGTTTTTAAATACTTTCAATTGGATGTTAAAATGTTGGTATATATAAATATTAGACAGAAGTGTCTTTTGGTACACTTGTTTGTGAATTTTAAAAGAAGTGTAATGTTCAATTTCGAAGTGATAAAACAAATAATTTACTCCAATTTTGACATATATGTAAGTCGTTCACCTAATTCTTGATAAAATTCCGTCCATGTTACAATATTCTTACAATTAGGTTAACGACTTACATACATCAAAATTGAAGTAAATCCTTATGAATACTAACCAGTTGTGACAATTTTGTTTCTTCTATGAATTAAATAATTTATTACATTTAGTTTCACACCCATTCATTCCCAATTATTTAAAAATAAATGATAATTCTTACACGTGTGATATTTCAAAGTGTTGATTTTGGAAAAATGAAAATATTTTCTTTGATAATTTTCATAAATATATATCTAAATGTAAACTTTTGGGGTTTGCATGAACGATTATAATTTGTTTTATCATTTAGAACTTAAAAATCACAATTCTTTTTAAAATTCACCATCAGGTGCACCAAAATCAAATTTCCGTCCATGTTACATTAAAATTTGTAAATACATTATATTTTTGAGTATATTTTTTTTCCTAGGTGAAATGTTATCTTTTAATAATTATTTTTAGTTTTATGAATTGTTGATAATAAAGAAATATACATTTTTTTGAAGAGAACTCCAATTTCATTTTTTATTATCATCAGCATTATTTTCACCTCATATCAAAGAATTAGCCATATGAAACAATAATTTATTACAGGTCAAATGATCAGGACTGTTAATTTGAGTTTATTTGCCAGTCATGTGATTACGTTTTTCATTTTGAGGTTCAAAACGATTACAGTTATTGTAACAAACAAGTTTGTTTGACCATCTAGTAGATATTTATATAAGATCTAGTCTGGTTTTGCTGACATTGTAAGTTACCTAGGTAAGATATCTAAAAGTAGCTAAGGTTGAATATAAAACCTGTAAAACATATGTTATGTTACTAGATTTATCATCAAGGTCTTGAACTCACTCACTATTAATAGTTTTATTATCTCTAGGTTCATTGCACTACTCTTAACTTCTTCCAGGTATATCTGTCAGTGTGGCTAATAGGTTTAAATATTACAGCAACTTTTAGATTAAGATATTAAGCTTAGATTAAGATATTACTGCAACTTTAAGGTTTAAATGTCAATACAACTATAGGTTCAAAAATTTGTTTGTTTCTTAACCTTGTCATGTTATTTTCAAAATGATTGCTGATTCACCCTAGTTCCTACCATACCTTTCAAAATCTTACTTGTGACAAATTACCACAATTTTAACAAAATTAAGTAACTTTTAGAGATGAAGCTTAAGGCTGTTTTTGAAAATCTGCTAAATTTCATCTCACAGCAATAAACTTTGCATTTCAAGCCTGCTATTGAGACCCTACCATGTTATTATTACCATATTATTCAACCAGTAACCCTATTTACATTCAGAATAAACCTTACTTCCCTCCGTCCACACAACCCCTGATTCCTCATATCTTATCCTGAATCCCAGAATTAAAATACTGATTAATCATTTCAGGAAATGGAAGTTTTAATGTTAGCATTGAAGGTGAATCATTCTTTTAAAACTTGATTCTAGTTATCACTCATCATTATTATTGTAGTTCTTGCTTATTGTAGCTTTCTACTAAAACCCACAATTCTCAAGTAATACCAGAGGGACTATTATATAACAGATCCTAAGTGCTTTAGCCAGACATGCTATTTCAGCGTGCACAAATGGACAACAATGCTTTTCCCCTTACATTATTATAACTAAGACTTTTTTATATTTAAATGGCAGAGCTATCATAGGAGCTGGCATAGACACTATAAAAACACATGTTGATTCATTTGAATAATGTATTGTTGCGCCAGTTTGAAAAGCGGTTTGGATCAGCTGGTCATTGTCAGAGGATGTAGTTTTTAATATTAAGTAAGTTTATACTTACTGTCTTTGCCACAAGGATTTGTTTGTTCGAAATCTGTATCCTGTATATCAATATTGCATAATTTGGACAAAAAGAAATTCAAACTCATTTACTTTGCTTTATTGGTATAAGAACTATATTGGCATCAGTACAATGACTGAATCAAACAGACCCGATACCAGAGATTATAACCATGCAGCGCCATGACCAGTAGGACAATATGATACAACAAACTTAAGTAGATTAGCACTTTCACACTGGCAAATAAAAATCCACATGTACAATAAGATTGACAATAATTTGGCATGATGTAGTTTCATCTATGATATTATTAAAGAGTAGTTTTAGATTATTCCTTGTTGAAAATTAGAAAAAAAATATTTACACTAACTCATTTATTCATAACACTCATACACTCCTAATTTTATGTCAAAGTTCACCATCACTTTAAAATGAACATGATGGACAATGAAGTGCACATAAGTAATTGTGGACTGAACCACTCTGTTCTGTTAGGCTGACATGGTTTTTTGTCCAGAGCATAGAATTAAATTTTTTTATTGGAATGTAATTTTCTTAATTTTAAGGCTTTTTAAATAAAATATATATATGAAGAATAGCTGATAATGAAAGATATGGGCTCAGATTTTCAATCTGGCCTGTCCATTGATTTGATTAATTGCAGCTAAACTATTGAAATGTTACTAGATTAACCCATTGAACCTCTCATATCACAAATTTTAGAATGTAAACTTTTTATATAAACTAATGTTGTCCCTAATTTGTTTAAATTACTTAAATCCCTGTAATTTACAAATAAATTGAATTATTTACATATTTAAACTAAAACTAGTTAGCTATTTTCAATTTGTATATATTCTTTTATATTTATGTACAAATTCAAACATGCTAGCTATTTTCAAATTACATTTCCTGTACGAAATAATTTTATTCTGCTTGTATGTGGGTGTACCCTGAATTTAGAAATGGTGTGAGATAGAGAATTAATTTTGAAGTTGGAATGTTATTGTGACATGTTTTGAAAAGGTGTGTGGAATATTTGGCATGCCCTGTTTTATTAACAAATTCTGAATATTGATATTTATAAAATTGTATTAAATTGGCATCAATGTTATATTACATATGTCAATAAAATTGTTGGCATATATATATATTGATACGTTTTTGTTGAAAATTATCACCATTATCGTACTTAGTTAAAAAATTGTTATGTTCCCCACTTCTCTCTAGTAAGCTCACTACTGATCCCCAACAGTCTTCAGTAATAGAGACAGAAAATGTCCTGAATCATTCAGAAAATGTGACCAAAAAGCTTGCTTTATCCCTAAATAATGTACACATGTAATGTTCTACATGTCAGTATATTGCTAGCCCTGCTTACCCTCCTGTTAAGGTACTCAAAAGATGTTTTCTAGCCTATGTATTTGTATTTTGGATACTTATATTATAGATAATTTGACTTGTGTAGTTTTTGTGTGATCATTGATAATTTGAAATGCTGCTTTTTTAAGTTTCCCAATATACATGTAAAGGCTAAAAAATATCTTCTGGATCACTTTTACCTACAACTTACAACTCCTTATAACCTGACAATTTTGATTTTTAAATTCATAACAGGTTTTGTGATATTTAGATATTGAATGTTTACTTGCTAGTGCCAGTGATCCTCATCTGAAAATATAAATTCTAAGAATACAGTCATATTTACATGTAAAAGTGATTTGATAAAATTAATGATGTTTTGTTTTATATTAATGTGTGATTTAACAGACTAATTTTAATTAATATATGTTTTCTCTTTAAAATAATTCATTACCGGTACTCAAACTTTGTAGAAATTGGCAGGAATTCATTTTAGCTTCCCACTAGATCTTTACTTTCTAAGCCCATTGTTATCAACTCTTAAGAGAATTTTTCACAGATGTTGGTTAGCTTGAGTCATGACATATTCTTAATCTTTATAATCATTCAGAATTAAACCCATCCCACTTATGATTTGAAAGAAATTTTACTTTTCTAACACCTTGTATTTTTGGTGTCCTGAATCATCAGTGACTTCCAATCCCAACTACTGCCTAAATACCATTTATATTATGTTGATTCACCCACTAATTCAGTGAAACTGAAATCATGGACTCACCACCATGAAATAATTTTATGAGCTGCTCTTTGAGACAAATGTCATGTCATTATGTAACTATTTCATTGTGCCCAATATTAAATACTATTAAACAAACTAGCAGACAATATTTCTCTGTTTTTCAGATCATCCAATTCATGCTCCACCTACAGCTGGGGATCCTTTTAATGTTCCACTACAGGAGAGCGTTCACTGCTCTCTAAAAATGAAACAAGGAATAGTATATGTTTATAAAGATGAAGAAAACTTGATGGAAAATAAACCAATTGACTTCCCCTATGTTGATTTGAAATCTTTCCTAGCAGACCAAAATCTCATGTATGCCTTTATTAGTGATGGGCCTTTGTAAGTTACAATAATTTTTAAGTTATGAATGTTTTTTTTAGGACATTGTTTGTCAATTTAACTATGATGGTTTTTCAACTTGGCTGAACTTAAGTTCTAAGCTGATCATCAGTAAGCCTATGTCTTCAATTTAAACTTTTATTTTCAGGAAATCTTTCTGTTACCGACGTCTTTCTTTTCTTTCTGCCAAATTTCAACTTCATTTGTTACTTAATGAGTTGAAGGAATCCGCTCTACAAAAAACAGTACCTCATAGAGATTTCTATAATATCAGGAAGGTAAATTCTTGTTCTTTAAACATATTCTAAATCAAATGCAAGCTCATTTTACAGTAGAAAGAAATGACAGGTAACAGTCAATTCTCATAAAGAGTATTTACAGTACAACTTGTGTTAATTCAATTGAGTGTTGAAAATACTATGGCTTTTAATTCACTAGTAAAAAAACTCAAACTCATTCTTTTTACTTAAAAAAGAAAACGAAACAAACCGATCCATGTGAGCCCAAGGGAAATTGTTTTCCTAATAATTGTTAACTAATAGGGCACATAGCAAATAACAACATAACTTGTCATGAACAAAGGGAAATGGTTCTATTTCAGGTAGACACTCATGTCCATGCCTCATCCTGTATGAATCAGAAACATTTATTAAGATTTATCAAAAAGAAGATGAAGATGGAACCCAATGTTAAAGTTTGTAAAACTAAAGACGGTAAAGAAATGACATTACAAGAGGTAAGATGTCTTCTGTTGTCAAACTATTAACATTTCTTTAAGTTATAATATTTCTAATAATCCCTTAATTATTTTTGTGTATATCTTTTAGCTATCTGTAGCAATATAATAAGAATGAATATTCAATGATTTGTGCTTTTACTCTTACTAGTGGTTGCAATAGACAAAACAGTTTTGATGGATTCCAATTGAAACTGAAATATGGTTCAATGGAAATCAGATTTAAGCAGGTGGATCTGTCATGAGATTGCCATAACACAATAAAATAAAACAATGTTTCTATTGAGAGATGGCCATATGTTAAGGTTACAGGGCTTTATTTACCTGAGAATCCTGAAGATATTTTCTATGAGCATACAATGAAAGTTAATTCTTTGTCATGTTTTCTAGGTGTTCCAATCATTTAATATGTCAACATATGAACTGAGTGTGGATGTTTTAGATGTTCATGCAGTAAGTTCTATTTTATATCAGATTTTGAGTCCTTTTTTCATCAAAATGTTTGTAAAACAAGTTGTATGCTAAAAAAATAATTATATATATGATTGAAGAAAATGTCATAATTTATTTGCATTATATTTGAATGAATTGGAGAAATGAAATTGATTTTGTTATGGTTTGTTGTTAGGCTTTATGCAATTTAACAAACATAAAGCTGTGTTTCCTTTAGTACGGATCCGGTGCGGATCCAGTCCAGATCAGGTCCGGGTGCGGACAAGGCACACGGCAGGTTGTGTTTCCTTATGCGGTTATTCATGCGGAAGGCTTCTCTTTTCGACATGGCACCGATATTGTCACATGTCGAAGAAAGAGCGAACTTTGGAATTCCTTTACCTATTTTTAGCTTTGTTACGTGCGGGCTGCCCAAACTGTGTTTCCATATGTGTGTTTCAGGACACGGTTTTTGCTGTATCCGCATCAGGACCAGATCTGTACTAAAGGAAACGCAGCTTTAATCATTATTTGATTACACTAGTGTACATGTTATGATGTAACAGTATTTTCACTTATTGTTATCACCTTATTCATTTTAGGATCGTAATACGTTTCACAGATTTGATAAGTTCAATGCTAAATATAATCCAATTGGTGAGAGCAGGTTACGTGAAATATTTATTAAAACTGATAATTTCATTGAAGGCAGATATTTTGCTCATATACTCAAGGTATGTGGTAATGTGTTAACACAATTAGCATTTTTCCCAAGTCTGATAATAGCTTTGTTTAGCTTGGACTAGTTGATCTATATTTGTCATTCATATGTTGACAAGCATGTGTATTGACAAAAGTATACGTAAAGACACATTACAAGTAGAGAAAACTTGTGTTCATATCTCGAGCATGCAAGCCTCTTACAGTGATCTTAAGGTATCCCCATTCATAGAGATAGCAATAGTCTTTCAGTTTACTCATAAAATGACAATGAATAATAAAACACTATACACGTTCTGTTGTCCACATGGTTATTGATGTGTATAGCTGAACAAATGTAAAAACAGACTCACTTTATAATCAGCTCCACTGGGCAATGATTGTATTGCTCAGCTCTTCTTCTCAAGATTTTTTAAAGTTATTTTCTATTTGGTAATACAGGAAGTAATGAGTGATTTAGAAGAAAGTAAATATCAGAATGCTGAGTATCGTTTGTCCATATATGGTCGTAGTCGAGATGAATGGGATAAACTAGCCAATTGGGCAGCCAATCATAAGGTTTACAGTGATAATGTTAGATGGTTAATACAAATACCTCGTCTATAGTAAGTATAATCAGTTTGTGTCTATTTGAAAGAAAATCCATCATGATGGCACAAAAATATTCCACTTTGGAGAGTCTTTGTACTGTCGCATTCGTGTTCCACAAATTTTTCATTTTTATACGCCCACATTTAAGATGGGCGTATATTGTAGTCCGTCCATCCGTTCACATTTGGCTCATGCTCACTCTACAGGCTACAGTTCTTTATGGATTCTTTTGATTTTTATTTTGTATGTCAATGTTGTTATGAAGATGATCCCTATTGATTTTCGTGATGATCGGATAATTTTTCACCAAAATATCGTGTCTGACCTGACGTTTTACTCTATTAGCTATATTGTGCAACTCGTGCTCACTCTACAGGCTACAATTCTTTACAGATTCTTTTGATTTTTATACGCCCACACGTAACATGGGCGTATATTGTAATCACCCCGTGGGTCCGTCCGTCCACATTTGGCTCGTGCTCACTCTACAGGCTACAGTTCTTTATGGATTCTTTTGATTTTTATTGTGTGTGTCAATGTCATTATGAAGATGATCCCTATCGATTTTCATGATGATCGGATAATTTTTCACCGAAATATCGTGTCTGACCTGATGTTTACTCTATTAGCTATATTGTGCAACTCGTGCTCACTCTACAGGCTTCAATTTTTTACAGATTCTTTTGATTTTTATTTTGTGTGTCAATGTCATTATGAAGATGATCCCTATTGATTTTCGTGATGATCGGATAATTTTTCACCGAAATATCGTGTCTGACTTGACGTTTTTCTCTATTAGCTATATTGTGCAACTCGTGCTCACTCTATAGGCTACAATTCTTTACAGATTCTTTTGATTTTTATTTTGTATGTCTATGTCGTTATGAAGATGATCCCTATTGATTTTCATGATGATCTATCGATTTTCATGATGATCGGATAATTTTTCACCGAAATATCGTGTCTGACCTGATGTTTACTCTATTAGCTATATTGTGCAACTCGTGCTCACTCTACAGGCTACAATTCTTTACAGATTCTTTTGATTTTTATTTTGTATGTCAATGTCATTATGAAGATGATCCCTATCGATTTTCGCGATGATCGGATAATATTTCACCGAAATATCGTGTCTGACTTGATGTTTCACTCTTTTAGCTATATTGTGCAACCCTGTAGTCACTAAAGACTGTTTAATAATTTCTGACAGCTGCCTATGTTACCTTGCCTGGCAAGCTATCTTTACTCATACAAATCAAGTCTAAATTTTGGAAAGTAGGCCTGCAATTCCAGAAATTATTGTCCTGATGAGGGTCTAAGGATTTTGTGATCAAGGGTAAGAATGTTATTCTGGTAGTGTATAATTTGCAGTTATGATTTAGCTAATATTGAATATTTTGTATTTCAGTGATGTCTATAAGAGTAATAAATTAGTGACATGTTTTCAAGATTTATTAGAGAATCTATTTTTACCATTATTTGAAGTTACCAATGATCCTAGCTCTCACCCAGAACTACATTCATTCTTACAACATGTAAGTTGGCATTTTACATACACCATTCATTTATCTACAACTAGTATGTATACAAAAATGAAGCTTCACAGAGCAAGAGATTTTTTTCTCAATTTAATCATCACTGATATCATTATGACCCAATATATACCGTCGTGATACTAAGGGAGATCAACTATACTGATGGTATTGTGCTATGATGATTCAACAATATATTGTAGTGTAACTGTAAATCATGATTTCAGAAAAGATACATCTATGTTAATACATAGGGAAAAAATGTAGATTATAATGTTAATATATTGTTAATTTTCCAAAAAGTGAACAAGTTTCTTGAATATTAAATATTATAGCTCTCTGTAAATAATTAATATTGTTTATAACAGATTAGTGGGTTTGATTCAGTAGATGACGAGTCTAAGTCTGAACATATACAATTTGATGCTGCATCACCTCAACCTGAAGACTGGACTAATGACACTAACCCACCTTACACTTACTATTTATATTATATGTACGCAAACATTACTGTACTTAATCATTTTCGAAGGTAGGTACTTTATCATCTTTCTCTGCTCAACTTACTTGATAAATGATGATATGAACAATTTTGGTTTTGGGAGCTTGTGTTAACTGAAAATACCTGATTGTGACTTGCCTGGATTAATTTGTAATGATTCTTTGAATCAACCATGGCTTTGGCCTATGTTTCAGGTATTAAATTCAGAACAGCTAGCTTGGATAGTGTTTTCAATATATTGAGACCTATGGGCAAACTAAGGAACCTTTTTTAACAGCAGCGAGAAGTTGACTCATCTTTTCATTCGAAGCTTATCTTGCGCTGCAGAAGGTACATTACGTACTATGTGAATTGTTTGGTATTTCATAACTATGTACGTGTGAATTATTAGTATGTCAAAAATGTGACTTGATCATAAAACGATTTCTTCTACATTGTAGGGAGAGAGGATTTTCAACATTTACTCTACGACCTCACTGTGGTGAAGCTGGTAATGTCACACATTTAGTAGCTGGTTTTATGTTAGCAGAGAGTATCTCACATGGTCTAGTTTTACGCAAGGTAGGTAATCCTGAATAATTCTTGAACTCATGCACGTCATGTTGGTATTTTATAAACTATTGTGAGCTCTGCTAGAGGTATTATGAAAAGATATGATAAACCTAGTAGAAAATTGGCATTAGGTGTTCCTGAAGTTTCAATCCATCCTCCATTCCTTTCAAACTTTTGAAGAAAAAAAATTGTATAAAAATGAGTTTTTGAAGTCTTTTGATGTCTTTTACATTTCTACTACGTAGTTACTATTTCTTTAATAAATCTTGATTGGATATCTTTGTTCTTCAAAAGACATTTATTTTGTTTGTAGGTTCCAGTGTTACAGTACCTATATTATTTAGCTAAAGTTGGTATTGCTATGTCTCCACTGAGTAACAATTCTTTATTTTTGAATTATCAACGTAATCCTTTACCTGAATATTTTGCTCGAGGATTAAATGTCTCTCTGTCTACAGATGATCCAATGCAGTTCCATTTCACAAAGGTGAGTTTTATAGCTATTCAGTATAACTGTCACTCAATCGAAAATTCTGAATTAAATCTATATACTATGAAAGCATTCATGTTGTTGCTGTCTAGTATTGTTAATCTGAAACAAGACCTTGTAATGTGTAAAAAGCTGGTTTTTTAAATGGGATGTTATATTTTCCACCTCAAGCAAAGGAATATGATAAAAGTTTTTGTGAATTCCATGTTATATTTTGTGCTAATACTCTGTATATTTGTTATAGGAACCTTTAATGGAAGAGTACAGTATAGCAGTACAGGTATGGAAGTTTAGTAGCTGTGATATGTGTGAGATAGCTATGAATAGTGTTCTACAAAGTGGCTTTGATCATGCTGTAAGTATGGCTTGATTTCTGCCAATAACGTGAGGTATATGTCTCTGACTGTCTGCTCTGGGTGTTAATTTGTTTACAAAAGGAAAAAAGCATTCACATTTCACTACTGGGTAGAATAGAATACCAAGGAAAATGATTAGCATTGTGACAAAAAAGTTTAGAACCTATGACCAATATCTTGACTTAAAATAGCAAATGACTAAGTTACAGTAAAAAAAAAAAGATATAAATTACTGAACAAATATACTATCGGTTTTAAAAATCATATTCACATTTACAGTGTAGCTAAAGGTGGTTCCATAACAGAATGTATATTTCATATAATATTGCTTTTATTTCACTCAACAGCATTATGTATTTTACAGGTGAAGCAGCATTGGTTAGGACCAAACTACACAAAAGAAGGCGTGGCAGGAAATGATACTACACGAACCAATATACCAGATGTCCGAGCAGCTTATCGCTATGAAACTTTGGTAGAGGAACTCCAGAGTATCTGCCTAGGAGCCAAATCATTTGATTATGAACACACAAAGAAAGAATCTTAAACTCTTAACACTACACAATCAAATACACATTTGAAAACTCCTAACCATACTTGTGATAAGCTTTATATCATTATATTATCTGAAATCTAAAGTTATAGTCTCAGTTAATACTCAAGTCAGGTGGCTTGCTGAGAAGATCATTTGCAGACAACTTATCTTTGCTTTTATATATATACTTTGCGAGAAGGTTTAGAAGTTTTAAATTAGAGATATCACAGGTATATGTGCTGATATTCTATTTATAAAAGCGATTTTTAAAGCTGGAGTTTTGGGGTTCCAATGAACAATAAGTTTTTTCTGGTTTATTGTATAGATGAAAAATTTCAGTTGAATGTTTCAGCATAATTTAAGAGTTGATGTATATATAAGCAACAAATGGTTAAGATCTGGATATGTCTTTGAGTGTAAAAATTTACGAGATTGTGATCTGAATTAATATAATTTAAATACATCGAGCAGATTTTGTCAAATAATTGTATTTGCCTTTTGTTATTTTTATGATATTTGTCAAATCAGTAAAGCAAAATTATTATATTTCTCTATTATTCAATTATGGGATTAGTGATCCTGTAAATTGTTTAGAATTTCTAATCCTTTTCATGTGAGAAATATTGAAACATTTCTTACAAGTAAAAATACATATTAATTATGGTTGGAATTGATTTAAAAGGCTATAGTGATCTGAATATTAGTTTCACCGGCTGATACAGTCGAATTTCAACTACCAACAGCAAACTGTGACATCTGGTTAACCAGCATTGGCTACTGATTACTGAATCTAAATATTATAATAAGGTACTCATAGAATGATTTCCGGTTTGTTATATATAGATTTATATGTTTTGTATATAATATTGTTTCTGTTTTTTGTTTATACTGATGAAATATTGTAATACTTAATTTCATGTAGTGTATTTGTTAAGATGTTCATATCCGCAAGTGATAAACAGTGAATTTGATTGTTTGTTATCTGTAAGTCATGTAAGACTATAGTTACTATAGAGCTGGCAAGTCTTCTCAGACTTGTTTTATTGCCTCTTGGTTTGTATAGTGTATTTAGCTATTTTCAATAACACTTATCTTGAAATGCAAATGCCTTAGTTAAACATGAATAATATAAATCAATAACCCTTGATGTCATTCCCTTAGTCAAACATTTATAAACCTAGCCTTGTAACAGTAAATTAGAGAAGAGAAGCCTTATTTGAATTGTGAAAACAATATATATTTAGATGTGAATAGACAAGGTACAGAAAATAGAAGAAATGAATCATTTCCAGACCCATTCTGAATGTATCAATTTCTATTAACTTTCTGTATTGATCCTGCATGAATCAAAGAACCCGATATGGTACCTTGTATATTGACATCCTAACACAGGGTGCTGTGTATTGTAATATAGAAATAATTATATCAATTGATTGTATATTAAAATGTTTCATGTTATAAATTAATTGTATATTTTACCAAAGATTGTTATATTAAGCTTATTGTTATGTATATAGCATTGAAACAAAAGTAGATTTTGAAATAATGTCCAATTCACATGCTCAATATGTGCATTTTGATTTTTAGCACTTTTTCTTATGCATTTATTTCTCCTCCGTGGGTTAAATAAATACATATGAGATGGGTTTTTTCTTGATATAAATCTTTTATTTCTAACAAAATAAGCTAATAATTCAGCAAGTTAGTATGTAACATAACTTTATATTCAATAATACAGCAGTTTCTGACTGGTCAATTTTTTTCACTGAATAGACCAATCAAATTTCTTCATCAGATTATGTTATTTTTTTTTTCATTTTAAACATCATTTCCATTTGTAATTTTGAAGAGTTATACAGATAGTGGAAATTGAAATCACATCTCTCGTGATGATGGTTATAGAATAGAGCCTTATCATTAAAGGAAAGAGATTGATATGTGATATTATTTATGTTATGGTCATGTTATTTATTTTATAGCTATGTTATTGATGGTGTGTGATGATATATTTTGTTTGTATAAATCTGTGATGCAGTTTATAATATTATTTTAAGAATTATATTTCTGTTCCAAAGTTTTTTATTCATTCTACCGAAAATGTTCAGTAGTAACCTCAGTCACTTTACCTTCGCTCTAAATTTCTTAAAAGAGGGAATATGCACTGGTTCATTTTGTACATGTTGTAATATATTATCTAATAGTGTGTAAAAGTAGAGTTAAAACTAAATGTTATGGTAAAAAAATTGTGAAAATCAGACTATTCTTGGAAATGTTAAAAGCAGAAAACAAAGATAACACAATCTGTGTACATTAATGGAAATACCAAGTATGACTATAAAATGTTTTCACAATTGGATAAATATGTGCACAAAGGGAGACAGTTTGTTGTTATTTTGAACTTGGCACATACTGTCCCTTTAAGATGATGAAGATGGATGCAATTTTGCAAGATAGATAAGAAACATGTCAAAATGTTAGATGAGAATAAAGATAGATATAAAATTGATCAAAGGTATGAAATTATTACTCAATTTTTATTTGTATATTTGTTTGATGTATATGAAATGGATTAAATTTTGTTTGATTTCTTAAAAAAGAAATATTTTATTTTTGTGTTATTATTAAGCAGAACAGTAGCCTTAAATCTTAACTTTAAATTTTTCTTTCTTTCATCTATTTAAAGGAATTGAATCCTCTTTTTTTCTTATCTGTTTTTGAATGTTTGAATGGGTTCTACAGTGCTTCTTAACTCACTTACTATCTGACATGAATAAAGGATAAAGGTTTGTTATAATATTAGCAAAGAAATTCACTAGAGGATACAATCCTTTGAAATATCTAATATAGTTAAAAAGTTAAAATATACAAATTACTAACCTGTAAGTTGTGTTTTTATTTGTGTGAAAAATTCATTTAATATGAAAAATAAAATCAATTTATGGTTTTTAAATGTGTTTTTTGTTAATTGTGATTTGAACGGTTAACTTCCTGTTATTTTATTGAAATAAATGTGGTCAGAATCAAATCTGTTACAAACTTTATTTCTAATTTTCTGGAATCCTAGAGTTTTCAGATATGCCCTGAACTAATTGCAATGTCAGGAAAATGTGCTGTAAATGAATTGCACGCACCATGTAGTTCAAAATTAAAATCTGATGTAACATTATTGAGCAATGAAACAAAAACAAACAATAGAATATTACACTACATTATTTATATTTTACTTCAACTTTTCCAACTACATCATAAATGACTGGAAGCGAAAAATGATTTTCAAGCACGGAATTGAATTTATCTATAGTAACTTCAAAGTGTAACTAGCTTTAAAACGCAATAATAATACCAAAAAAAATTTTTTTTTTTTAAATTTCTCTGGGCCTATGCCTTTAAAGTGGAAATAAATTAGATATCAACCCTATCTTAATCACAAGCACTGCAAACGTACACATTAATATTTAGAGAGAGAAAGTAAAATTCACACACAATTGCCTTCCATAAAATGTAGTGCTGTATCATTTAGCCAAATTTGCTGTCCATACATAACAGTTGCGCGTCGCATTGTGGGTAATATACGTCGGCCATATTATTAAAGATGTCGGCTCCAACAACTCGAGAAGGTTTGTATTCTTATTTTAAATTTCATGTATTTTTTAATGGGGACCATGGTTCACTTTGTCAATACATCGGTCACATTTCAGGAAATTTAGTGGCTCATAGTCGATGCTTGATATTTCACAGTAAGGTCGAAAATGGAATTCGAATCTGATGCTATTGTCTGACCACATTTTCTAATTTCATTTCTAGGCACAATCGAAATAACTACAGAATTGTGTTTCGGCAATTTGTATGAATTGAAATATCAATCTATATTTTTTAGTACCGTACCTAGGGCTAGATTGTCTTTTGGGGCACTGTTGCTGTTTCGCCCCCTTCCCTTTCAAAATTCAAATTTGTAACATCTGTAGCTGCAATCAGTAAAGTGCTATGACAATTTTGAGAGCACTAGTGAAAATGATTCAGTTGTTTGAAAAATTGATAATTTGGTTGAAATGACTTGAGACTGAATGATTTGGCAAAACAAGTACGACTAAATACAAGTCACCCTGCTTTTGTTATAATTATCAGAAAAAAATAAGGCTAGTCCTTCCCAACTTTCAAGCATTTATTACCAAAAGTATTTCCATTTTTCCAAGCAGTTTTGTTGCAATTATCAGTTCATTCCAATGACATTCATATCTGCACGGATGTAAAGTTTTCAAGAAACAAACTTGCTTTCTTTGAAGGTATAGAATGTATACTGACTGGTAGTTGAAGTTGATCTTTTATTAAACAGCAAATCTGTAGCCAACTTGATCAAGCCTACCTACATTCCTTTTCTTTGTTTTCTAAGATTTATTTTTCAAATCTTGATTTTAAGCTTTTATCATTATAGATATAGAGGAGCAAGTGAGAAATATCCAAGCTAAAAAAGTATCATTGAAAGATGAAACAGAAAAAGTTGGTTTAGGAGCCTTAGGAAGCTATGATTTAGATATCTATGGTGGACAAGATAACAGATTTACTGGATATGTTACTTCTATTGCCCCTAATGATGAAGTTGATGTAAGTTAAAGAACTGTTTGAACTATGGTCAAAATGGTGATTGTATTGTAACATTTAAGCTTTAACTTCCGCAATAAGCTAGGAACCACACTTATTGATTATTGTTTATTATTTCCCAGTGATGAAGCATATTGATATTTATAAAAATCTAAAAAGCATTTAATATGAGTTATTGCCCTCATGATCTCGTTTTAGGCACAATTCTCGACAGATTTTTAAGAAACTTGGTTGAATCACCTAAGGATAAACCCTATTAAAAAGCAAAAAAATTGAAATATATTTGTTATGGGTTATTGCCTTTGTTCTTAAAAACTTGTTCAATACACCTCAGAAGACAAAATTCTTGACTGATTAAACGAAACCTAAGGATGAAACCAATGGAAAATCAAAAAGAAAAGAGAAAAAGGCTGTGAATAAAGCTCTTGCAGTATGAAAATGTTATTCTCAACCTCCCGGATGACTTGGCTGCTATTCATCGCTATCTTTAAATTTTATTTTTATATACAAATCTCACATAGAATTTTAGTACCTAGGATATTTTGTTTACTCTGTTTTTTTCTTTATTTTACAGGAAGATGAAGATGTATCAGCTTCATTTCCCAAAAGGTCGTCTTATACAGCACCGCTCAATTTTTTACATGAAACAGCCAACGATAAGGTTAGTGTTAAAATATTATTTGATGCAATAATAGTAATGCTCATTTCATATATTTTTTTTTAATTTCAATCTGAATTCCTCATTAATATTGAGGCTTTCAAATTAAATATAACTGAATTTTGATACAATGTTTAAAATTCTTATTGTCTTCCTAAGATTGTGCAGCAGAAGAAACTTTGTGCATAAAGCGAGCCAATTGATTCAGAAAATCTTGTATGTTTCCAGGACTATGATCCAATGGCAGAACACAGAGTGCCCAAAATCACAGATCGTGAAGATGCTTATCAAGCTCGTAGACGTCAGATGATTATCTCCCCTGAAAGATATGATCCCTTTGCTGATGGTGGGTATTCTTTTGTTTCTCTTTGAATTGAATGTGTGAATGATTTGGAATGAAATGAAGTGAAAAAAAGACTGAACTGGAAAATTGAATGAATGTCGAAATAGGAATATGAAATGTTTTCTTACTCTCAAAAAGTTAATTAATGATATATTTGAATTGATTGTTCCTGCATTCTGTTGATTTTATTATCCTGTTTAACTTTTTGAGAATAAGATAAGCTAATGTTGACATTGGAAGGTTGAAGGAATGCAATTTCTATGGGATGGTATCATAAAACCACAGTATTCACTACAGGAAGTGTGGCAAATGGGGTTTGGATCGCGAATTAAAAAGAAATCAAAGCAAAATACTAATATAAAAAATCTTTCCTTTCTAGCACTGTAACACCAGAATATTGTGGAGATGGCTTGCCAACGGGAAACAAGTTGTTTGCTAAAAAAAGTGGTCATTTTTGAAAGAATTTAATTTCAAAATTAATGAAAAGAGTTCTCTTCTGATTTGAAAAAGCAATTGAGTTTGAAACTAGATGCATTTAAATAGCTTATGAATATAAAATCAGTATAGATTTTTCTCCTTTTGCGTTTCTGTATTTTTACTTCTGTGGTGAAAACTTAATATTATAAGACTAATTTTAGGACGGTGCTAATTTTTGTGGCATCAATTGTGATGCGATGGAGAGATACCAAGCAGTCACAGTACGTATTTATTGCCATATGGCAACCCACTTCAACCATGAACCACTTCTTAATATGCACCAAGTAATGATAAGCTCCTCAGAAATTTAGATGAGAAGCTTTTATATTTTGACGGAAACCAACACCCTTATAATTTTGCTTTGAAATTAATTAGAGTATATCTTCCAGATGTTGGTTACCAAAAAATAAGATGAAAAGTATAATCAATTACCAAATTATTTGTATCAAAGAAGTGATTCTTGGTTGCTAGAATCTATCCAACCCTCTACATGATAATGTGTTTCATTATGAAATTTTGTTCGTAGTTATTGAAATAATTTTAAACAAAACAATGATGAAGCACAAAGAAAAGATACAAAAGGTGTATGACCTACTTTCTGGTAATTTTCGATATTCTTCACATAATCATATTGAACTTGATTATGTAGATGGTTGGATGGTAGTTCAGTCTATATCACATTCTATTTATTTGAACCCCTGACTAATTGATGGTATTGTCACGGCCATGTGTCGTGACATCTTCTGTTTTCTATTAAAGGTGGTAAAACTCCCGATCCTAAATTGGCTGCCAGAACATATGCTGATGTTATGACTGAGTTGCAGATCGATAAAGAACAGGTAGGGAAGTCTGCTTAATACTCTAAAAGGGGTATTTCGCTTTTTTGTAAAAAGGTTTTATTATCAAAAACATCATCAATTATACATGAAAATAGTTTAAGAACATTATTTATATCTATGTATCTTCTTGATCAAATTGAATTTATTTTAAAAGGGTTAATTATAAACGGCAAGTACTTATTGTATATTAACCAGTTTGACCTAGTTGTTGTATATGGCTTTATAATGGATTTGTAGGAGACATATTTCTCTACAATTTGGTGTTTATTTCACTCAAATCTGTACAGTTGTTTTCTAACAGCTTCCAATTAGCATAACTAACTTAAAAACCTTACGTAACGTTATTAAATATTTTTGGCATTAAAAATAAACGACCAGATTTTTTTAACTTTTCAGATACATTAAAGGGCAAATTTCTCTAAATTTTGGTGTATAATTTTTACGAATTGGGAGCAAAAAGAATTTAGACATACAAAAAAAAAAGCGGAATCTCCCTTTAACTCACTATCAACATATCATATATGCAGTAATTGGATTGTAATTCTTTCCATTTTTCAGGCTGGTCTGCGAAAACAAATGACAGAGAAAGCCAAAACTGGTGATTTACAACCAATAGCCAATGGCAATAAAGAATCACAGAAGAAGGTGCCAGCTAAAAGACGACGTTGGGATCAGTCGGCAGGTGGTGATGAAACACCAGCCAAGAAAAAATCTTCAACATGGGATGCTGCAGAAGCAGGAGGCACCCCATCAAATAGTCGTTGGGATGAAACTCCTGGAAGAAGTAAAGGATCAGAAACACCTGGTGCCACTCCGGGAGCCAGCACACGAATGTGGGATTCAACACCTGGTCATGCTACACCTGGAGCTGCCACACCTGGTAGAGATACACCTGGAAATCAGCCCACACCAAGTGCTAGACGAAATAGATGGGATGAAACACCCAAAACTGAAAGAGGTATGTTGTAGTATGTAAAAAATATAGAAAACTAAAAACTATTTTCTATTGGGTTGGTAAATCCATATGATTGATGTATATTCAACATTTGTATTTCCTTATCAAAATATTATTATTATTTTTTCCAGGAACCCCAGGCCATGGTAGTGGATGGGCAGAAACTCCTAAAACAGATAGAGGTGGTGACCTTATAGAAGACACACCTACACCTGGAGCCAGTAAACGTAGGTCAAGATGGGACGAAACTCCTGGAGCTAACACACCTGGTGGTATGACTCCAAGCATGACTCCAGGTGGAATGACTCCTACCATGACTCCAGGTGGAATGACTCCATCAGGTACTCCTAGTGGAATGACTCCAGGGGGTGCTACACCACAGATGACTCCTAGTGGTACCACACCTACTGGCCAGAAAGCTATGGCTATGGCCACACCAACACCTGGTCATTTGATGTCCATGACTCCAGAACAGATGCAGGCTTATTCCTGGCAGAGAGAAATTGATGAAAGAAATAGACCATTGCCTGATGATGAACTGGATGCGATGTTGCCACCTGGTTATAAGGTAAGCTTAATTTTTCTATGAAATTCAACAACATTGAATATTAATGTATTTGTTATTATTATAATTTGAAGAGTGATTAATGATTTCAACATATATTAATGATGACAAATGGAACAAGTTTTCTTGAATTTAAACAATTGTATGATGTTCTGAATTATTTAATTATATAGGTTATTCAACCACCAGCAGGCTATATACCAATCCGTACACCAGCTCGTAAACTGATAGCTACACCTACTCCCATGGCTGGTACTCCAGTAGGTTTTAGGATGCAGACACCAGACAGTAAAACACAGATTGTAGACATGCAACCTAAAGGCAATCTACCCATGATGAAACCAGACGACATGCAGTATTTTGATAAATTATTAGTAAGTAGCCCTTTATTGCTCTGATAGTATTTTACTGTTCTATTTATTTGAAGTAGCAATTCCTCTTCAAAGCATGTCTTAATGTATTAGAAAGCTTAATGCTCATTTGATGGATCTGTAATATGTTTTCATTTCTTTATGTTTTGTATAATTAGGTTGATGTTGATGAAGAAACATTGAGTCCAGAAGAACAGAAAGAAAGAAAGATTATGAAATTATTGTTGAAGATTAAGAATGGTACTCCCCCGATGAGAAAGGTAATATCATTTACATTTTAAGGAGACATCCCAGTTCCAGCTCATGGCCTAACTTAGAGTGAATCTAGAGTGAGTCACTTAGAGTGACTAAAATATCTCTCCAAGAAAAATACATGGTGCTCATATGTTATAATTCTACTTTGTCTTATTTCTAGGCTGCCTTACGTGTGGTGACAGAAAAAGCTAGAGAATTTGGAGCTGGACCATTGTTTAATCAGATTCTACCATTACTGATGTCCCCATCATTAGAAGATCAGGAGAGACATTTACTAGTCAAAGTTATTGATCGTATCCTATATAAGCTAGATGATCTGGTTCGACCCTACGTACATAAAATATTGGTGGTTATTGAACCTCTGTTGATTGATGAGGACTACTTCGCTCGTGTTGAAGGCAGAGAAATTATATCTAATTTAGCTAAGGTAAGTTAATATCAATACTTTGCGCTATGATACATGCATGCCATGTGATTAAATTGAGCTGTACTGTAGAGACTTTTTGTACATAAAACACCAATCAAGGCATATTATTACTACATTGAGATCAAGGATGGCTCAGTTATATTGTATTGCATTCTGCACAAATATTTTGGCCACACTACCATCTTACGGTCAAAGGAGTAGTCTCATAATGTGCAATAGAGTGATGGTGGTTTTTATAATGAATTTCTAAATCTGTTTTCAGGCTGCTGGCCTAGCTACTATGATCTCTACAATGAGACCTGATATTGATAACATGGATGAATATGTCCGTAACACTACAGCAAGAGCCTTTGCTGTTGTGGCCTCTGCACTTGGTATACCAGCTCTCCTGCCCTTTCTAAAAGCTGTGTGCAAGAGTAAGAAATCTTGGCAAGCTAGACATACTGGTATCAAGATTGTACAACAGATAGCTATTCTGATGGGCTGTGCTATTTTACCACATTTAAAGAATTTGGTCGAAATTATTGAACATGGTATGTTATTCTATATCCTATACAAATTGCTTATTTGTCAAAGTAATGTTTTATCTGATCAGTCAAACAATAGTCAGTTTAAGAGAATCATGGGTCAACTAGCATACAAGTTATTAAATTACCATTATTTGTAATGAGCAGTCCTTGAAGAAAATAACAAATCAGCCGTGGAATATTGGAAAGGAACCCCTAAGGGAATTCTACTCATAGTCATAAACAGCATACAACCCAATTTGAAATGGTTATAGTAACTTCAAAACTGTCTTCTTTTAGGTTTGGTTGATGAGCAACAAAAAGTACGAACTATCACAGCCTTAGCCCTGGCTGCACTTGCTGAGGCAGCTACACCTTATGGCATTGAATCTTTTGATAGTGTTCTCAAACCATTGTGGAAGGGTATTCGACAACATAGAGGAAAGGTAAATTCTTTTTTTTTTTTTTTTTTTTTTTTTTTCCAAACAGTTTATTTAATAACAAAGGTACATAATATATATATATAGTTTGCATAATAAATAAGTTATAATTGCATTACATTTTATTTTATCCACGAGACTCTATGAATATTTCATTACTGTTGTATAGTTTTCCAGACATTTATAAATTCTAATTGAATTTTAGTTTTGTACCTTATATTTTTAAGAATGGATGCATATTTTGTAATTTTTATAATTTATGATTGGTAGTTCCAAAAATGATATTCACATCATTGAGTTCTATAAATATATCAGCTTTAAACATTAGGGTTTCAAGGTCAATCCATAGGGAGTCACAAATGGACAGGAGCTGAATAGATGGATATAACTTTCTACATGATTTTTACAAAAAGTACAAAGGTCACAGTCACTAACACATATTAATTTCAGATACGACTTTAAAGGTAATATTCTGTGGATCAATCTATATTGAAACCATTGTAATTTCGAATCTCTGGTTGTTCTAAATATATTACTGAAAATATTTTTCCACATTAAATTCTCATCTGGTAAGTTCTGATTCCATTTGACAGTACCTTTAGGAATGATATTATGATTAATCAAAGAGTTAAAAATATCGGCACACCCCTTTTGATTTTTTAGTATACAGATTAAACTGGTCGGCATAAAAGGTCTGACAACTTCAGATTTAGTTTTATCAATAATTATATTTTCTCGCTTTATAAAAAGTTTTACACAGTTTATAAACCCTTGATATTTTAAAAATGAGATACCGGTATTTAGAATTTAAATTTTTTCTTCAAAGTCAAATTTTGATAGAAAATTACCTTTAGTGTCTAGAACATCATCTAATATTACTACTCCCTTACATCTTTCCAAAATTTGTTTTTGGTATCTTTTTGTAATTGAACAATGAATTGACTTCCACAATTAGATAAATAATTTAAGAAATTATCACCATAATCAGCATTTATATTAATCCAAGGTTGTGATGGTTTAAATAATTTTCTTATCCACGTGCATTTTAGAGCAGCTATAAAATTGCTGATATCTGTCATTTTTAAGCCACCATCTGAATATGGTTGAGTTATAATGCTGCGTTTTATCTTATCAATATTTGAAGAAATAAATGTACCAACTTTGGAATTTTAAGCGTTTTTATTACTGTTACTTTATCTATGGGAATTAAATGTCTTTGTTTCCATAGCGATAGTAAAATGCCTATCTTGGAATATTGTTTGTTATAATTAAGAAGAATCATATCATCAAGGTTTATACAAAAATCAAGTCCTAGTAATGAAAAAGATAAATTTCCCCATTCCAATTTCCAGCGGTCGTGATGATAGACTACTTTGCTATATTTTTTGCTTCCGATCCATATTGGCTTTTGAACTATATATTTTAAGACCCAAGAGTTTAGAGAAAAAAATCAAGCATGTCGAGAGAAGCAAACAGTGATTGTTTAGAGCCATCAAGAAATAAAGTTGTATCATCAGCAAACTGTGATATTTTATGCTCCTGATTTATAAATATTCCGCATATATTTTTATTGTTTTTTTTATTAAAATGGTCAAAATCTCTGCACATAAAATAAAGATGTACGGTGAAATGGGGTCACCCTGACGGCAACCTCTCAATAAATTGAAATAGTCCGAACAATGGCCATTTTGTATTACGTCAGCTTGCATATTAGAGTTCAGAACTTTAATCCAGTTTTGTATAACCTTTCCAAATTTGAAAAATTTTATTACTTTATATATGAAGGACCATGCAACTGAATCAAAGGCCTTTTCAAAATCAATAAGAACTAATAAACCAGATATATTATTGCGCTCAGTATGATCCATTAAATCATATACTAGTTGTGTATTTTCACTCATACATCTACCACTTATAAACCCTGTTTGAGAATTTGAAATCAAGACTTTCAGGACAGACTTAATTTTAGATGCTATACTGCCTGATAATAGTTTATAATACACATTTAATAGTGTTATTGGCCTCCAATTTTTTTAGAAAATGTCTTGGCTTATTGCCCTTTGGAATACATGTTATTATGCCTAGTCTTTGATCAATTGGAAACATTTTATTATCAAATGATTCATGGATGGACCGCAAAAGAAAATGATTGATATGAACCCAAAAACACTTACAAAATTCTTAATAATGAAATTTACATGCTTTGAACAAAGCATAAATTTACGTGAGAACTCTTAAATATAAAAGTCTTTTGGAAGTATATATACTTAACACTATATCATAAGCTCTCTGATACTAAGAACATAAGCTCGTAACAATTAAAGTTTACTAGTTATATCAAACAAATATTAGTTTGTCACATGTCACAAGAGTTATGCTTTATTGAATAGGCCAACTGCCATCTGCATTTCTTTTGATTCAAACACTTTTGATAAGTGAGGGTCTCTTTGTGAGCTCTTATCTCAATGCTGTTATAAACTGATTATTTCATTTCCAGGGTTTAGCTGCGTTTTTGAAAGCTATTGGTTACCTTATTCCGTTGATGGATGCTGAGTATGCTAATTATTATACTAGAGAAGTCATGTTGATCTTAATTCGAGAGTTTCAATCTCCTGATGAAGAAATGAAGAAAATTGTCTTAAAGGTATGTATTTAAGATAGCAATGGTTGACATTTTGATTCTTTCTGAAAATTTTGATCCTTACAGTTTCAAAGCATAATTTTGATTACAGAGTTGAAATTAACTCAAATGTAACAAATACATATGAGACATATTTACTTCATGCATGATAACTTTTGATGATATTGTCTAAACATGTTATTTACAGGTAGTAAAGCAGTGTTGTGCCACTGATGGTGTAGAACCACAATATATTAAAGATGAGATTCTTCCTCCATTCTTTAAACATTTCTGGAACCAACGTATGGCATTGGATCGTAGGAATTACAGACAGGTATAATTTTTTTATATTAAATCAGATCACAGATAGTAGATAGATATATTGATTGCTAAACTGTAGATCTTATTTTTGTGTGATTTTTGCATTAATGAATATATCTGGTACAGTAGGGATATGTTCAAAGTTGATGAGTTGTCAATGCAATGTCTGTTTTCACCAAAAAAGTTCAGTATTGAATGAGAATAAACTAGATATAATTTGTGTTTTAGTTGGTAGACACAACAGTAGAGATAGCTAATAAAGTTGGAGCAGCAGAGATTACAGGTCGAGTAGTAGATGATTTAAAAGATGAAGCTGAACAGTATCGTAAAATGGTAATGGAGACTATAGAGAAGATTATGGGAAATTTAGGAGCTACTGATATAGATTCTAGGCTAGAAGAACAACTTATTGATGGTATCTTATATGCTTTTCAAGAACAGACAACAGAGGTTTGTTGTTTACATTTTACATGATTTATTGGCTTCCATAACTAAAATATATATGGCATAGGGGTCAATATGAAGAAATATTAAGATTATTTAGCCAGAAGGTATTGCTTCATTCTTGAAGAATTAGACTTTTCATTTTGAGTGATGTAAGTGATTAATTACATTGTCGTAATTGAGCATAGTTCCTTATAATATATTGTGAGCATTATTTTGAATTATGTATTTAAAGTACCAGTAGTTAATGTTCTGGTCTTTGTATTTTAGGATGTGGTAATGTTAAATGGTTTTGGTACTGTAGTTAATGCTCTAGGTAAGCGTGTCAAACCCTACCTACCTCAGATATGTGGTACAATATTATGGAGGTTAAATAATAAATCCGCTAAAGTACGTCAACAAGCAGCAGATTTGATCTCACGTATTGCTGTTGTTATGAAAACATGTCAAGAGGTAAATCAAATTTTCAATTTCTGTATTTAAACCTTTTATAAGTGATCATCTTTTGAATGTAAATATGAACATGATTTTTTGTCTGAAGAAACTATGATTACAATTAGTCATACATGTTGAGCTAACAACATGGCAGGAGGAGTATACTGAGTTAATATTTGTATTTACAGGAGAAATTAATGGGTCATCTGGGTGTTGTACTATATGAATACCTAGGAGAAGAATATCCTGAAGTATTAGGTAGTATACTAGGAGCTCTAAAAGGTATTGTGAATGTAATTGGGATGACTAAAATGACACCACCAATTAAAGATTTACTACCAAGATTAACCCCTATTCTTAAAAACAGGTAAGTCAATCAACAATCAAATGCCAATCAGCCCTATTTTAATTCACTTTTTTTTTATTGCTGAGGATAATTTATGACAACTTTTAATGCCTCTTGGCCAAAATTTACTAAGCATCGAGACTACGTTTGTGATACAGTAGATTAGGAAAATATATTAGGCACAAAATTGGTTTAAGAGTTGAGTAATTTACTTGATTAATAAACTTTAAAATAAATTGTATTTCAGACATGAGAAAGTACAAGAGAATTGTATAGATTTAGTAGGACGTATAGCTGATAGAGGGGCTGAGTTTGTTTCTGCCAGGGAATGGATGAGGATATGCTTTGAATTATTAGAATTATTGAAAGCTCACAAAAAGGCTATCAGAAGAGCTACTGTTAATACTTTTGGTTACATTGCTAAAGCTATTGGGTAAGATAAAGTTACAACACATTTTATGAGAAAGAATCAGATGACTTAATCAACAGAAAAGATTTCAAAACCATTTTGTCATATATTTGATATCTGAAAGTAGTATGAACCTACCAAAAGGGCAGGAAAAAAATGACATGTCCCATGTAGTTAGCTGTTTTCAGCATTGCTTAAGTCTTTATTGTAAAGATATTAGAATACATCTGTCATAAGATTTGGTTTATTTTCAGTCCACATGATGTCCTGGCTACATTACTTAATAATTTGAAGGTACAAGAACGTCAGAATCGTGTCTGCACTACTGTAGCTATTGCTATTGTAGCTGAAACATGTTCACCATTTACTGTCCTGCCTGCCTTGATGAATGAATACCGTGTTCCAGAACTCAATGTTCAGAATGGTGTTCTCAAGTCTTTATCATTCATGTTTGAATATATCGGTGAAATGGGAAAAGATTATATTTATGCTGTTACTCCACTTTTAGAAGATGCTCTTATGGACAGGTAAACACTGATTTTATTCAAAGCAATTTCTTCATAGCACTTTCTGTTTGGTCTTACATTGGGGGTGGTGTCAAAAGAAAAAATAAAAAATGTTATGCCTTTCATGACCTGGAGCCAATCTATGATGAAGATTTTTTGACAGTTAATAAATGGCTATTTAATTTTTAACTTTATTTTTTTTTTACAGAGATTTGGTACACAGACAAACTGGTATGGCTGCTATACAACACATGGCCCTGGGTGTTTATGGTTTTGGATGTGAAGATGCCCTGACACATTTATTGAATTATGTTTGGCCAAATGTTTTTGAAACATCTCCCCATGTTGTACAAGCATTTATGGGAGCAGTAGAAGGTATTAGAGTAGCGATTGGTCCTTCAAAAATACTACAGTATGTCTTACAGGTAAGCAAATCATTCTTTCACCAATTAATACACATGTTTAGTCTTGCTATAGACCCACCATCTTCAAGTGAACAGCTCTTTCATTGTTGTGTAATAGGCCAATTTTCTATCAAATGTCTTTTATTGTTTTCAGTTACTTATTTCTTGGAATTATCTTTCTACTTTCAGGGATTATTCCATCCAGCTCGTAAAGTAAGAGATGTTTATTGGAAGGTATATAATACAGTTTATATTGGTGCCCAGGATGGAATGATACCAGCCTATCCTAGAATTCCTAATGATGCTAAAAATCAATATCTTCGTTATGAACTGGATTATATTTTATAGATAAAAATATCAACCAATATTATTTTTATTCCACAAATTTGGTATCATGTTATGTTTGGATTGTATCATATAGATTTGTTTAGCAAAAAATTAAGGCTGTAAAACTCCATTTCATTTCATACCATTTCAAGCAATGTTCCAGTTTTGTCAATCCCATTAAAGGTTATATGCACATTCAGCAGGGTTTAAGATTCAAAGCACAGGAGTTTTCAATTCTGCCTTCATTTTGAAATTTTACCACAAAAGTTTCAGGATGCATTCTTTTGAAGTCATTTTTTCATTCATATTATGTATATATTGTGTAAATATAATTTTCAAAAAAATACTTTAATAGTTGCTTGTTTCATTGTCATATTTCATTTATAAGTTGTACTCTGATAATCATGCAGGCAAGACTGCTGGCAAGAAATATTTGGATTATTTGGTCTTGTAAAGAAAAAGTCTAGTTTTTTTTTAAAATGTCAATAGTAATCAACGAAACATGTACTTTGTCCATCAGAAATTATGTGAAAGAGCGTCTTATTGTTGCAATAGATATACAACTTATAACTATTATTTCAGTTATGCTTTTATAGTGCTAATATTTGTTGTAATCAAGAACTATGTGTGTAAATAAATCTTGTACAGGGAAATGAATAGACTTATCTCTGGGTGAATTAATGTCCTTATGTGCTATTGAATATCCTTGACAGTTAGAAATTGTCCTTCCTTGAAAATAATCCTGGAGCAATAGAAGCTAGAGATTTACTCGCTGTATAATAATGATTGCCTTTGAAAGAAACCTTTGGAACATTTAATGCCTGTATTCAGTACCTCTGCTACCAGCATACAATAATACTGCATTTGCTTGACAAAGGACTAGCATTACTGGCTTGTTAACTGGGTGCCAACATATAACATTTTGGTTATTTCTTGAAGCCCACTGAAGTGTCCGTAGAATTCAACACTTTTGAAAACAATATATTCTTTATTTACAAAACAATTACAAAAAACATTGCATAAAGCAATGAAGAGTAAAAAGCACCGTAAAGCACTTTAAATATAAAACAAAATATCATTAATACTAAAAAAATACTAACATACTGCATGAGAAAATAAGAATTAGTGATAAATGCTTAAAACAATTTTTTTATCGATGTTTTACCATTTTGATAACATAACAAGTACAATCTAAGAAAATGTCTGCCAATGAGCACACTGTTAATTAAAGTTACATAGATGTGTTTATAGAGATACTACTGGTAGATACGAGCCCAAAGAAACAGTGCTATGTGAATATACAAGCTTCACAATTTCTATACACAGCAAATCATGTCTTAAAATTTTCCAATTTTTTGGCCTTTGATATCGATAATTTATATAGTTTAAATAAATCACTTTGCACAAATACAGATATCTGTTTGCTTCCTATTACAAAAATGGAAGTCTCAATATTTTTTGTAAAGGTTTGAAATAGAGTTTTATGTCCTACTGCTCCAATTGAGCCAAATATTGTCCAATCCACAGGTTCAGTATTCTTTCCAACATTAATAAAAGTTTCAGTTTTAAATCTCCGAATTCCAGCTATTCAATGGATAAGTTTATTGTTGGTGTAGAGAAGGCATGCCTCTTGGATCAGATCCTTCAACTCCTGCTGTAGAATCTAAATTTTGTTGTAACTGCACCAACCAACGTTTCAAAGACTTGTCATCTTTTAAACAATTAGCAAATGTAGAATCCTTCAACTGATCTGGTAGACAATGCTGTAAAGCTTCTCGTGCTCTGCAAGTGAAAATTTATTGTACAACTTTCAAATGTCAAGGGAATTCCAAACAATCCAGTTTAAAATATATTGAAATATACTTCTTCTACAATAATGCGAATCATGTTTTGATATTATAGATTCTTTATCTTTTATCTACATATCTACTTAATCAGAAAATAGTACTCATGCATAAGAGATACTTTAATAAAATAAATACTTACCTCACATTATCTGATAATCGTAAATAACATCTAACAATATGTTTTAATAATCTGGTGGAGGGTTCTTTAGATAAATGTAACACCATTTTACCCTAAAAATATCAATTAACACCATTGTTCTACTGTTTCAATATTAACAAGAATTCTGTTTTTATTATATACACAGATACTTTTTGACTTTCTATCTAAGTATTCTTCTTTCATTTGGGATACAACATTGAACTATCGAGGCCAATACCGTGTAAAATACCACATGTATTTTAAAGCAAAATATAGAATATCTCTGAATATATCAAAGAAAGAACTATGTTTTACAAGAATATAACTTTGGGTTCTCAAGGATCATATCAACCAGCTAGTCCTAAACAAAGTATTTCCTTAGTTATCTGTACTGATGTCATGATTCAAGGTTTTCAACATGAAAACAGATTAGAACCCACAACCAATATTTGTTTGATGTTAAACTAGCAATGCTTCAAATGATAAGATATGAAGCCAGTCCTCAAATATTTTTTTTTCATTGAAATAGTAAGTTTATAGAATTATTTAGTGTAACAGCATACATATATATTATAAATATGATATAAATTACATTTATACAAATAGAACTTGTTATATTAATATGTATGAAGAACACCTGAGTTTCTATACTATTGTTTATGAAAAAGTTGATAGAAGAAAAAGATAGAAATAGAGAAGGTGGCCATCATAGGAAAAGTTAAAGAAAGGTGAAAGAAATATGAACGTCACACTGTCTTGTACTTCATAAGATTTATAATTAAGGTTAGTCAAATATTCTTTATCTGCTATTACTATTGCATAAAAATCGAAAAATCAGGACACTTACTAAGATCATGGCAACATGAGAAAATCTTTCATATGTTAAACAAATATAAGATAACCCTATTTCATCTATCAATATCTTCTGTAATATAAATGTGGCTACCTGAAAAACAACAAACAGAAAAGTTGACTTTTTCGGATTGCTCTTTCACATCTCCAATCAAACAAGACTGGCAAATACAGCGAATTATTTGACCTGGTTCTAGCAAGTCTTCTACCAAATCAGCTAAGCACCTAGTACATAAACATCAAATCCTAAATACTTACTGTTTTAGATAGTTCTGAACCAGATTCCATAATACGTAAACAGAGTGGAATAATTTCTGTATTCAGTAAAAAATTTATAACCTCTTCTTCATCCGTCTGTAAATAACAACAAATATGAATAAATTGTCATTACAAAATACACAGCAGTTAATGAGATATAGTCACCTAAATATTTTACTTCCAACGTGATCGAGCTAAATTTCAGCTGTCTGTATCACACTTCAAAATAAACATCTGACAACATTTCTTAATCTGAAAACTGCTATAGATAACAAGTCAATAAAGTTAAAATTGAAGAAGAAAATCAGTGCAAAAGATTAAAATAAAAGCATGTTCAACATGGATTTAAATGGAATATTTCATGTTTAGTCAGAATATCATCTAATGCTTACCTTGACTAGAGCACCTATAACACCTAAACTAGTTAATCGTAAATATTCAAATGGTCTTGTTTTAGTAACAGTCAGTAGAAATGGATATAGAAATAGGGGAATGTGTGCTGAAAAAAAAAATCCAAAGAAACATTTAAACTAAATATAGCTATGGCAAAGTAAGAAATTAGTGCCTTAAATTTACTGATCTAACAATCTTCTATTGTAAAAAATTTCTAAAAATATTACAATATTTACGCAATTAGCAATATGCGCTCCAGCCATGGGATGATTACAATATCTGTTTCAATATAATCAATTTTACTTACTTTGTAGAAAAGCTGATCTAGTTTCAGAGTGGGCCGCTACACATTGTAATAGTGCTAAAGCATTACATACACGATTAGATTGAGAAGCCTGAAATATACCAGAAGAAAAATACTTTATTCTTAACATTGTTTTGATGTTTGGACTTAGCCATTGTTCAGGCTTTTTCATACAAGAACTAAACGAAATATAATAATACTTTGAACTGAAACTTTATTGAAAGGTCAATTAGATTATAGATAATCTCCATGTTGTAAAAACAAAACAAATGCTGAAGGATCTGAATGATAAAAAGTAAACACTAACTTACTGTTAAATTAGGAGGATTTATGGCAGGATAAACTGTGACTATTTCTTGTAATAAAGCAGCTATGGTACCAAATGAATGCCATAACATTGGTGATAAATCTGGTATGAATTCTCTCTTTTTACTGAAAATATACAAAAAATCATACAGTGGTGTAACCTATTTTCGTGGATATAAGGATTCAACACCGAATTTCGTCGAGGTTAAAGAAACGAAAAAAAATTTTTATGTCTTAGATGTTTCCTCAGATATTCTACAAAATAATTAAAATTGGTTTATTTCTATTTTCTTTATGAATCCTTCACTTTGACCCATATTTCGTGAGCAAACAACTCGGCAATGGCGTCACCTATTTTCGTGTACAATGTTTGATCTATAAATAAGTCTAGAAAAACACGTTGTATGGATACCCAGTGGTATAATTAACTTCTCTTAGTATTTATCTTTAATATCAATTCATCATAACTAGTGACAATTCCTTAAAAGAACCACGATTTTAAAAAAAAAATAGTGACTGACAAATTTAGATACGTAGCGTGATCTATTGATAAAAGTCACTGAAACAACATAAGAATATGGTTCACTTTGTGTTCCATATAAATTTTCTGCTGACACGGAATCTGCTAGTTGATCAAGTGACTTCATTCGTTGGACTACATTCTAGCAGACAACACTTGGAATTCCGATTACCGCTTGGGATTATAAGGAAATTCGGGCGATAAAAAATGGTGACTTTTGGTAATAAGTGAAATCTGCCATTTTGTATTTGTCAAAGTATACATTAATACATTTTACCTCGCTCGAAACTACTGGATTCATTCTACTAGCTGATATTGTAGAGAAAACCCATGTTTATCAAAACAAACTAATGCAGAGGTCGCGCAAGGTCGCTCATGTAAATTATTAAACATTTCCGAAAATCCACGAATAATAGGTTTTAACGAAATTAGGTTACTTGACTGTACTTGTAATGACCCATCTGATTTTGAGTTTTAATGTGCTTAAATGAATGTCTAAGATCGATTGATTCAAGATGCATTTACTCATTTCTGGTATTGATAATTCAAGTGAGTCTGTTAGATGAAATCAACCCGTAGATATTTATTCTACTATCAAGTTAGTAAATTTATTCATGTGCCTCACCTTAATTCTAGTAAAGCATTTTCTCGTGTATCTGGACTAGTTAATTCATTGATCCACTGATATATTTTTTCTCTATCTACTGGTGGTAAAGACAAGGGAGCTTGCTGTTGTTGTGGTGGTTGTTGGGGTGTTGGAAGACGAGGCTACAATAACAATTATTTTTTGACTAGGACAAAAGTTGACAATGTAGATGAGTTATTCAATTCAACTGCAGTTGACTCAGCAAAAAGGCCTTTTGTAGACAGTATGTAAATGTCCAACAAAATTTTATCAATATTCTTCCTTGCAGAGTAAATGTTGACTACACCTTCCTTGCATGAAGAAGCACTTTGGGTTCAGAGGAAGGGTGCAAAATAAAATGAGAAAGAAGCTGAAGCCTACGAGAAAAAGAGGCCAAAAATGAACCGGCTTTTCTCGCGTCTCATCATTAGAAACTATTGCAATACTATCTATGTGTTATTGATATCATCAGAAAAATCGGGGGCGAGACAAAGATAATGCTATCTTACTTGCTGGTTTGGCAGGTTCATGTTGCTCCCTAAACCTGCCATTTTCAGATCACTTTGTAAAATATGTAATTTGCTATTTTTACAGGTTAGATTAACTTCCCAGCAGATGGCGATAATGCATTGGTGGTGTTTGATTACTAAAATACTATATCCGAACATTTACTAAATTGTCCACTTAGATTGGAAGCTTTATCATAAGTAGCCAATGAAAATGCAGAAAGACATCACTAAACTTGTTGTGTGTTAAACAGAATCAAATTTTACTGCTGAAGTATGGCTTTATAGATAAACTTTTTTATCATTATTTCTCAAATAAAACTGTTTTCTTGAAAAGTTGTAAAGCTGAATTTTATTGAAAATATTGAAAATGCACAAAGATTCATTTTATTTCGTAAAACTCGTCTTTGTTATTGTTTTGGAAACTGTCCAATCGTTGTGGATGTAAACAAAGAGTCCATGACAGAATTACAACTTCCTTCGAAAGTAAAATTTATTTATAAGCAGAAGACAAAAGTTCTCAGAGAAAATAGGCATATAATTCAGTAAATTTATATTCATGAATTTCTAGAAATACCATAAACCGAATACAAATGAGGTAATTCAACGATTGTGGTTATAACACGAAAATAAGATTCTATTTTCAGTTGCAGACTGAAAATGGGTCTAATGTTAAATGAAGGAATAAAAGATAAGTTCATAGACATAGGCTTGATCGAACAAATGAACATAAAAAAACAAACAAATAAACAAACGAAAAATTAACAGCTGATCAAGTCTTTACTAGGCTTGGACCTCTCTCAAATTAAGCCCACCAAGTTAAGACTCTTAACAAATAATAGAGAATAGACTTCCAAATCTTCAGATTGTCAGTGGAACAGAAATTCTAAATTATTTTGTTATTATTTGCATGATTTGATATATATGACTTGCATGTTTTGATAATTATAGGATGTCCTTACAATATAGGCCTATCTAGTTGGATTTGTTTCAAGCAAAGATGAGATTTTTCATTCAAAATTCTAACATAAAACAAAAATTACCAAATGCTACTATGTTTTTAAATGTCAATCAAATTTCCTTATAATACCAAGCTGCAATGCGAAATTCCTTGTGTTGTCTTTTGTCTGACAAATTCTTCTAAATATCTGTCACCTCAAAGTGGCATGGAAATTTAACTTAAACAAATTCAATGACATAATACTTTTTAGGAGAAAAAGGAGTCAGTATGGCAGGGTTTCAGAGACAGAAGGATTATAATTCAATTGGTTCATATTATGAAGATAAACAAGATAATACAATGGATGCAGAACCTCCTCAGTTTGAAACTGAAATGATTCATATGGTTCCAGAGAGAAGCAATTGTAAGTGCCAATGTGCTCTAATTGTAAAGTTTACTTTCTGAATGATTGCTATCTCTTGTGGCAAACTTTCAATCATTGCACAATGCATTGTTTGAAACATCGGTGGATTCACCCAAATATAGGAAGTGAAACTTTTTGAGTCAAATTGGTGCAATTTAATAAAGACAGAATCTGACTGATGACAGTCCAAGGGGTCATGAAGGTTTTATTTCACATGCAGTCTTTAGGATGGCATCTCAAGGACAACACACTCTGTATAGGAGAATTGTGTGGATACCAATATATATTAAAGTGGAATTATATTTGTGTTTACAGCTCGCTGGAATCATATTGAAAATTTAGATGATTTTTTCACCCGAGTTTATCAATATCATCAACGTTCAGGTTTTATGTGTATGGTTGCTGAAGAAATATTTCAATTAGTGTAAGTTTATCAAGGTTTATTTATAATATCTATTTTCAGATGGTTTTTCAGAGTAGACTTATAGAATAATGTCTGAATATATAAAGAATTGTGTTCATCCTCAGTTACACTTGACTTTGATGTTTAACTGATCTTATGATTAATTTTCTATACTAGAGCTGTGTATGATAATGTTAAATAAATGCTTGTTAAGACCATTATTCAAGTTGTTCATATCAACAAATTAGATCATTGAAGTTTTATAATCTTTTTCAGGCAATTTATATTTGTTGTGGTATTTTCATCATTTTTATTGAAGTGTGTGAATTACGATGTTTTATTTGCCAATGTATATTATAATACTACACATAAAGTTACTATTGAAGAGGCAGTCTATTCTACAGATCAGTGCTTGGATAGGTAAAAGTTTATTTATTTCATAAACTTTTAGAACAATATGTTTTATAAGTCTGGAGTATATAGATTCAATTCTAACCAAACTTAAGTAGACTCTTTGTTTTAATCTTTTGATTCTGATTCGGAATGTTCACAAATATCATTTCACAGTGTAAGCTTATCTAAGCCATTAGATTAGGAATATGAGCCTAGATATTATACATATAGTTTAAGATTTAGGCTAGCCTATATTTATGTTAGAAATTTTGTCTTTTCAGATTTGACTTCACCTTGATAGTGTGTCTCATTATAGCTAGTGTTTTTTGGTTGTTACGTTTAGTGAAAGTTATTTATAATGTATTTAAATATTCAGAAATACGCTCCTTCTTCCTCTCAGCACTCAATATATCAGCTGTGAGTTTATATTTTATTATTATTTTAAATCTCATGTAAACATGAGTTATTGGCTATTGGCTGTGGCTTTGAGGTGGAAATGAAATAGATGCTTAAAAAATGTATTATTACGAAGATTGAAGTGAGTCATTTTAATCCAAAGACTTGGAATAACAAAGCCTGTAAACTTCCTGATGCCATTCTCTTATTTGATGATTTATTGAAACTACAACAAAATTCCAATACCAAGCAGGATGTCATTATTATATTTTTCAGGTAGATTTACCAAACATGACCTGGCATGAAGTACAGAGAAGGTTATTAGAGGTACAGAAAGAACAACAGATGTGTGTACATAAATCAGAATTAACAGAATTAGGTAAGTTTACCTTTTGATAATCAGAAAAAAAGATTGTGTTGGTATTTGAGGCCTATAGCTATTAGATACTGAATGATTCTTAAACAAAAATAATCTCTCTTTTGAATGGATATCCTACAATTTGGACTTTGAGATATGGTAGAATTTGAAGTAATCATCTTAAAAACAGTTTTTGTTACAAATCATTTGTAACAAGTCTCTACCTTAGCATTTGACATATGTACTATAAATATAAGGCTCTTGGTTTAAACCATACACAGCCAGATTTGAAAAATATGACCAAAAGACTAGTATTTATCTTATACATGTGGCCTTGGTTTCATATGGAGAAGCAGACACCATTGTTTTTTCACTAAATTATATCAAGACCAGTATAATTATGTATACCTTTGTTATTCTAGATATCTATCACAGGATATTACGTTTCAAGAATTATTTCATAGCTATGGTTAATAAAGATGTTCTACCAGTCAAATATAATGTACCCTTAATTGGACCGTGGTACGTTTTGTTCAAATATTTCATTATTTCATTTTTTTTCATTTGCTGTATGTTTTTTCAAATGGAAACATGAAGAGTATGAAACAGTATTTTTAAGCTTTGATGTTAGTATATTGTATGGGTTATATTAGAATAGGTAGATATATTACCTATATTGGTGCTTATTAGTTCAATTTTTTAAATATTTTGCAGTGCCTTTTTGAGTACTGGATTGAAGTATAATCTAGAGCTGATACTATTTTGTAAGTTATTTTCTTTTTTAATGTTTTCTTTCTATTAATAATGAAAAATGCTTGATTTTTTTCTTTCAATGTCTTTAAATTGTTTGCTTGCACTTTGATGCAAATATAGATTTTCATTATACTTGACTTAATTGGACTTGGTTGTCAAGATTTGAACAAGTCTGCTGTTTTGGTGTGTGTTACCCTTGTTTGCAACTCACAATTTCATAAAAAACTATTAAAATCTTTAATTCTGTTTTAAGGGGGTCCATGGTCACCATTTCAAAATAATTGGCATTTAAGAGATGATTATAAAAACACTAATAGAAGAAAACAGCTTGGACAAGAGTAAGTTTAACTTTATCAAAATTATTATGAAATACTGGAAAAGTAAGGTTGCAATAATTGGTACTTTTCTCATCTTATTTCATCAATTTCAAAAAGTCCAAATCTTCAGCCTTCAATGGCTACTTGTAGAGCATGTTAAAGACAGAAATATTTTTCTTCAAAGACATACATCTATTGAGTTTCATGAAAATGTATATGTGTTTCTAATATTTGTTAATAATAACTATAGTTGCTTGTTTTATTAAGATAGTGATGATGATCTGTTAAAGTAATACTGTTAAGTTTACATGGGTTATAATGAGATTTTATTGTGTATTATGGTCTTTCATAATTCAGCCTATTTTGGGTGACTTATAGTTTTTGATTCTCTTTATTTTCATTTATGGTTCTAGCAAATTATATTTTTCTTCTATAGGTTAAGTACAAGGTTTTTTTGGCATGGTATAGCTAACTTATTTTTGTTACCAGTGATATTTTTATGGCAGATTTTATATTTCTTCTTTAGATATGGCGAGGTCAGTAACATTTTTGTTTTATTGGGGACAATATATCTATTTCCAATTTTCTTTTATTTAATGAGTAATATTTCCACATTTTCATTCAAATATTAAATTTTTAAATGGACATGTAAGGGAGCTAAGTTGATAAAGAAATATTTAAATGGGTGTGCCCATTTTAAATTTATTCTGTTAAATTAACAGCTAGACGGATGTATTTGATCTTTATGTCAGTTGATGCAAGAAAGTAGGATGTAAAACTTCATTAATTTCATTTCAAAGTTTTATTTTATTTCAGTTGATCAAAAGACAGCCAGGTGCACTGGGAGCTAGAAGATGGTAAGTTTTGTGAGTTTACCAAACTCACAGTTGTTTATAATCAAACCCAACTTTAGTCTGGATTTTCTACCTGAAAATTAAGTTATCACACCAAAATGTTGAAAATCAGTTCAATTTAACCTGGTGCCTGGTTAGACTTTTTTTCTATATAGACTCTTAAAATGTTTTTTGTTCAAACATATTTCAGGTCTAACTATTCAAGAAATTACTTACGTCATTTCAATGAAGTTGATCATGAATTTGATGCCAGGTTGGTACTTGAATTAAAAGAAAAGAACTAAGCATTCCAGAAGAGCTTCTACCCAAATAGTTCCATTTATTTATTCGTCCCTTATATATACCTTTTAGAAAACTCCATGTGTATTAATACTTTTTACAAGTAATGCAAGTTCCTAATTGTATAGTGCCATTAAGATATGTTCACATTCCACCAGAGTATTTGAAGAATTAACACACATATATGATATGCACTGTTTTGATCAAGGAAATGACAATAGGTCATATTTGGTTCCAGCTAAAGCAATCAGGGCTATTGAACATGTTTTGTTACAATATTTCAGATTAAGTAGAGCTTATAGTTTATCAAACCATTATATGAATATATTTACTACACCTATTCTTGTTATCATAGCCAAGTAAGTCCTTTCAAATTACTTTCTTTAATTATATTTTAGCAGTGGGTTCGTTTTGCCGCATTGCCTAACTTGCACAAAAACGACTTGTAAAACGAAACTAAAGGTTTCTGATAAAATCAGGAATGGCCATTTGTTTCACATGAAATGAAATATTTTAATATGGTGTCCCGCATCGATTTTTATACGCCCACATCTCTCTATGTGGACGTATATTGTCGGCACCCCCGTCCATCGGTCCTTCCGTCCATCCATCCGTCAACATTTGCTTGTAAACGCTCTAAAAACAAACAAACAAACAAGTTATTACCAAATTTATTTATTGCACTTGTTTCGTTTTATGGATTTATGTATTTTGTATTACGGTTCTGATTGTTTGTACTTGGTATTTATTTTATTAGAGATTTTACCATAAAACTATAGTTTCGATTTCCCATACAGGTCCAAATTATACATAATAAAAAAAAAAGATGCGGGACAACAGATTATAATATTTCGTTTCATGTAAAAAATGGCCATTCCGGATTTTCTCAGAAACCTTTAGTTTCGTTTTACATGTCGTTTTTGTGCAGTTGGGCACGATGCGGCAAGTTGGGCAACGCGGCAAAATCAACCCACCGATATTTTAGTTGTTTGAACTCTTTATTTCTGTATTTATTACAGGAATATAGCTTTCTTTGCTGGCTCTGTATTAGCTATATTAGTTGTTTTAACTGTTATTTCTGTATTTATTACAGGAATATAGCTTTCTTTGCTGGCTCTGTATTAGCTATATTAGTTGTTTTAACTGTTATTTCTGTATTTATTACAGGAATATAGCTTTCTTTGCTGGCTCTGTATTAGCTATATTAGTTGTTTTAACTGTTATTCCTGTATTTATTACAGGAATATAGCTTTCTTTGCTGGCTCTGTATTAGCTATATTAGTTGTTTTTACTGTTATTTCTGTATATATGACAGGAATATAGCTTTCTTTAGTGACTCTGTATTAGCTATATTAGTTGTTTTAACTGTTATTTCTGTATTTATTACAGGAATATAGCTTTCTTTGCTGGCTCTGTATTAGCTATATTAGTTGTTTTAACTGTTATTTCTGTATATATTACAGGAATATCGCTTTCTTTGCTGGCTCTGTATTAGCTATATTAGTTGATTTAACTGTTATTTCTGTATTTATGACAGGAATATAGCTTTCTTTAGTGACTCTGTATTAGCTATATTAGTTGTTTAACTGTTATTTCTGTATATATTACAGGAATATAGCTTTCTTTGCTGGCTCTGTATTAGCAGTATTAGTTGTTTTAACTGTTATTTCTGTATTTATTACAGGAATATAGCTTTCTTTGCTGGCTCGGTATTAGCTATATTAGTTGTTTTAACTGTTATTTCTGTATTTATTACAGGAATATAGCTTTCTTTGCTGGCTCGGTATTAGCTATATTAGTTGTTTTAACTGTTATTTCTGTATTTATTACAGGAATATAGCTTTCTTTGTGGCTCTGTATTAGCTATATTAGTTGTTTTAACTGTTATTTCTGTATTTATTACAGGAATATAGCTTTCTTTGCTGGCTCGGTATTAGCTGTATTAGTTGTTTTAACTGTTATTTCTGTATTTATGACAGGAATATAGCTTTCTTTGCTGGCTCGGTATTAGCTATATTAGTTGTTTTAACTGTTATTTCTGTATATATTACAGGAATATAGCTTTCTTTGCTGGCTCGGTATTAGCTGTATTAGTTGTTTTAACTGTTATTGATGAAGATGTTCTGAGTGTTCAACATATGTTAACTACTATGACTGTAGCAGGTAGGTTTTTAAATTTTTGTATGCTTTTAAAAACTTTCATTTTATTAGCTGACATTCAGAAAAAAAGATTGAGTTCAAGTTCTAGTATTCTTGTATTAGAAGACATGTTGTATGAATTGTTTTCTGTAATGTTTACTACTTTCAGGTGTTATTGTTACTGTTTGTAGTAGTTTGATTCCAGAAGAGGTAGGTTGATATAAATTTGTTGTTAATTTAGCTGGATAATGCTTCTGCAAATGGCTGGCATAGCCATATGACACAATATTATAGGGAAAACAACCATTTTTTCTTGGAAAAGTTATATGTTACGAACTGCTCCTTGAATAATCAACATGTATTTTTTTCTGATAACAGCATACAGTACATTGTCCTGAGAGATTAATGAAGAATATATTAGCTCATATACATTATATGCCTGAACAGTGGAAGGGTGTAGCTCATACTTATAAAGTTAGAGATGAATTCTCTCTTTTATTTCAATATAAAGCTGTAAGTCTGAAACCACTTATTCTCTATTTCAATATTCTCATATTTTCAAAAATTTTCAGTAGTTTTTAGCAGAGTCTCGAATAAGTTTCAATTGGTTAATCATAAAATGAAAAGTTTCTTATGTATAACAACATACTGAAATGAGCTGGTGTTGGTCCACTTTGTTCATTTTACATCATATTAAAATAATGTTAAAAAAACAAAATGTTTATTTGATTAAGCTTATTATTTTTTTTCAGTCCTACCTGATAGAAGAATTATTGAGTCCCATTATAACACCATTTTTGTTGTGTTTCTGCTTTAGTCAACGTTCATTAGCTATAGTAGATTTTTTCCGTAATTTTACCGTGCAAGTTGTAGGTGTGGGTGATGTTTGTTCATTTGCTCAGATGGACGTCAAGAAACATGGTAATCCTGAGGTAGGCATAGATTCATAATTAAATTCTTAGTTAACATCACGTTGACACACAGTTTATAAAGGATGACATTTGTCAGGTTTATTGAGTCTTGAAATATATTTTTTTACAACTGCCTATCTTTGGAAATGATCATTTGTATTGATGATTGTCAAATACATTTTCTGTAGGTACAGGTAATGAAAAATGATTTTAATTGATATTATTTTAGTGGGGAACAGAAACACAACCAGATTCTGATCAATATCATCAAGCAGAAGATGGTAAAACAGAGTTATCTCTCATGCATTTCCATGTAAGTTTGTCTTATACTTACTTTTTCAAAAGACTTCTTTTATTCTTGGAAGTTAGCAGTCAAAATCCAGTAAAATTGTCACTTCAGCTTGTAGATAGTTTGTAAAGGTTTTACTGTATTTGATAATCAATAATGTTTGCAAAATAAAGATGTGATTCCATTTCCTTTCTTAAATTGTTAGTTCTATGTAAGTGTATGTAACATAGAAGGTATCAGTTATCTGTGTATATTTCAGCTTACCAATCCAGAATGGAAACCACCAAACAACTGTAGTTTATTTATCAATAATGTTAAGGAAAATGGTAAGCTTTATTTTCAACTGAACAATAGTCAATTTCATGTGAGAATGAAGTATGTTAAATGATCTAACTACCTGATTTATAAAACATCCTGAGACATATGTATGTTTTTTTGTTGGTTTTTGTAAAGTACCTATTTTGGTTTGTATTCATTTACAGCCCATCGAGATATAGCTTCTATCAGCACTATGAATCAATTAGACAATCCAGCAGCCTCATCATTATATGGTTTATCTGTTGGTCTACCAAGTCTTGGTCCTGCTCTAGGATATGGGGTAAGTACTTCTTGTCAGTATGTGTTCTTTTATCTTCTGGCTGTGAGATAAACCCCTATCTCTTCAAAATGCATGGAAAGAGCATTAGAATAGTTTGTATGGAACTGTAAACCCAGATTCTGTGATCTTTAGGCTCTGCTAGTTATATGCAAAAAGATGTCCCTCATGGCACCCTGCAGTGCATTTCAAATGTACAGTTTCAATATTTCTCTTTGTCAGTATTCCAGTATGGTATCCAGTATAGCAGGACAGAGTACAGCCAACTTTCAATCTACAACTGGTACAATACAGTCATCAGTATCAGGCTTAAAGCTTCGGGGTGCTGTTCAAAATCTTGAAGTTCCGCCTGGTTCTACCAGTGGTATCCTCACAAGCATGACTGGTTCCTCAGAATTGCAACGTAGTAGTTTAGGATTCCCTTCTCAAGTTGGAACCTCAAAATATGTAGACGAAGGAACATTGGAACTCATGTCTGCTGATATGAGCTTTAGTGCACTGTATATGCATGAAATGCGTCATCGCAGACCAATCCGTGGTCCTTCGGGTACCTTGTTAGACACTTTTGATGAACATCGTGTGCGGATGCATAGACAAGACTCTAGTACTCCCCATACACCTTGTATGCCTGAAATCACTGAGCGATCTACAGAAGAGGAAAGAGAAAGAATAACATAATCGAGGCGTGGTTTACTGTAGCTAGTTACCAAGGCTTTTTGGTCTTATTGACCAGTCTGATTGCAGGAGCAAAATATTTTGATGTCATTTTTTTATTAGGACTTTTAAAACCAAAACCATCCTAGTTGAAGTTAAACCAAATTGAAATTCTCGAAAATATTTTGCTGCAATTATTGAAATGTGAAAAAGCCTGTTAGTAATTTATGTTGAATTAAATTTTAGATTTTACCTTAATTACCAGTCTCATTCAACTCATAGCAGTTAAATGTCAGACAGGATATATTTTTTGTCTGTTCTAGAGTTAGATTACAATAACGTATAGTTTATAACTTTATGGTTTCATGCTTACTTCTCTTAAACACCTATTGTCACTTGTGACTCTTGTATATTTTCTATCCCTATCTAAAAGCATTATTTTTGTATATTGATTGTAGTATTGATGTAATACTCTTCCCCACTTCACTGTGTTTTATTATCATTGGAAATTAGAGTCAAACTGAACAATCAGCACTCATTTCAACCAAGAGTTTAATGCAAGCCACATTTTAAACGTTCTAGTCTGTAATATATTTTCTTCTATTTATTTTGATATGTAAATAGTTCATTTGTTAATCTTATGCACAATTTCATTATGCTGTAAGTGAACTTAAATAATAATATGGTGAAGAAATGGATCTTAAACCTAAAGTCTATGCACTGCCATTAGTTACACAAAAAATAACTTGGTGTTACTGGTATGTCCAGTGGCGGTGCCAGTCTTCTGAGGCTGGGGGTACAAATACTGGATAGACTAACCTAATGGGGGAACAGGTCAAGGTCAAGATTCAAAATGTGACATCTCTGTGGAAGTGCCAAGAAATGCAGAAGGAGTACAATTTTATGCGTATTTGTAAGCATGCTAGTTGATGTTCTCAATGTTTTGCTAAAATTTTATAAATATGAGCCATTCCAATTTTCAATCAGATGTCTGTGGCTTCTGCAATTCTACTAAAACTAAGTGCATAAGGTGTCACTACTAATCACGAAGGGCCTTAGTTTTAGTAGAATTGCAGGATCCACAGACATCTGATTGGAATTGGAATGATGCAAATTGATGCTAAAAGTGTCCCATGATACACATTTTTACAATCCCTTTAAGATTGCTTGGCTTGCAACAATTATATTATAACAAAAACACAAGACAATATTATGGAATATAACACACTTCTTTAATAAGTTTTTGTTATATGTGCTCCTCGCTTCTATATGTCATTCAAATCTTACAACAATTATATTGATTAAATGTTTGTTGACAAAGAATGTGACACAAGCATTCTATATAAGGATTAATTTTGTCAGATATGTCTGAGTGAAGGGTTGTTGATAATGCTTAATTATTCAGTTACAGTATGTTAGGTTGAATCTCCAAATGTTTGGTTGTAGTCCTGATCATAGGAATATTTTTCATTATATAATCACACCAATAATTGATTTAAGAAGCCAAACTTATGAAATAACTTTAATGCTTCCATTGTATTGCTTGTATAATAACCGGTGTTATTATGATGCCTTTAACGTATTTAGTTAGTATTTAGTTAAAACGTGATTAACATACTATTATATAACTGTGAATCCTGTATAATTATTATACTTACTACTTTTTCAAAATATTTAAATGATTTCTGCAACTAGAAATATATTGAATTTTGGTAGATGGAAATCAAGGAATTGTCTTGTTTGATGCATAATTAGTTATTTCATTGAATGGAACAAATGAAAATTGATAAACAAAGAAATTTACACACATCCATAAAGATTGTGACCACGAACATGAGCTGTCTATAAAAGCTAGACCAATGTTTATCTACATCCACGAGAATTTGTGCAAATACACTTTGTATATTTTTGCAGATTTTAACATAGCTTAACATGAAAGGCAAAGATATCTTTATTAAGACAGAAAGAGAAAAACATATCTATCAATATTATCAGTCCGAAAACCACAGTCTTACAACACAATGCAGCTATGGACTTTTTCAAAAAAATCCACTACTTATATTGTGTTAGGAGTGTCCATCATAGGAATACATAGTTTGAGATATTTAGTACAAATGATCAAAGAATTTTCTTCTTTTACAAAGGTGAGAACTGTCGACTTCTTATCTCCAACAACTAAAGCCTTCTAGAACCATTTTAAAGCTTGGCTGATATTTAAAATCAGACAAATTTGTTTAGTAATACCCATTTAAATGTTTCATAATTTTATCATATTATTAGACTGTGATACACTTGTTGTTTGTAAATAAAACCAAACCAATTTGATTTTTAGTTTGTCAGAATGCTGTGATGTTTATATACAGAATGAGCAAGTACTTTTTTTCTCTTGTCCAATGTTTTTGATTTGAAACATAAAGAAAGAATAAATTGGTGTGTTAGATAGATTGTAATATAATATACATGTTTTAATTGCATTGTATTTTGTCCCCACATTAAACTTATTGATATGTCATGTTGACTTTTTATTTAATCAAATTGAGTGTTCATTGTGTATTTAAGATCTGATTTCAAAGTAGATGTATAAGCATAAATAAGTGTTTTCTCCCTCTGAGCTTAAGGATAACATCACTTGTATGATGGGGTTAACATAACCAGGAAACCAGAATAAGGTAGTGCTTTCTATCTTTGAGACTGGTGTTGGCATCATGTAGACAGCTCTCTTAGAATGCAAAGTGGAATGAAGAAGGAACAGTTGTTTCTAGATACAACAAAAGAGATTGAAATTAGTTTTTATTGTTAATTGAGCATTGCACCAATAGCAAACCTCCACCATCAATAAATTCACATAGTAGATCAAGTTGGCACAATTTAATGATATCAACAACATATATTTTGGCACTTAATAAAACATTTGTTCTCAATATAATGGTCTAGAAGTCCAGCCATGTTTTCAAAGGTTAAGCCTACTATGTTAGCTATACCAGTAGGATGTATTGTGAAATCAGTGTTAGTGATTGACTTAACAAATGAATATAACTAATGATTTTGAAACGGGGCCACCTTATTCTGACTCTTGAATTCCATGTTTTTCTTGCTGCAACATTATGACACTATTATTTTTACAATTTTATTTTACTGCACTATCAACAGACCAGTACATTAAATTGCACTGATATTCCAAATTTACTAACGAGATAACCTACTTTCAGGGATGTCGATTGAGTCTGATGTACCAGTTTTGATTAATAACAGTAGGACAAAATTAAACGATTAAAGCTATAATGTAGGAATGATAGTTTCATGAGCTGTTAATACAGCTTGCTATATATTTGCATGGAAATTTTACCAAATAAATATTAGTTAACTGAAATTCTAACAGAAATTCTTTCTCGGAATTCATATATATAATTCTAAATATAATATAGGAAAAAGGACTTGAAAATCCTTATTGTTTTTTAACTGCTTGTGGTTTAGATCACAGTGTCGTAGTTCACAAAATTAGAATTATGCATTGTTCCAAAATTTGAAAGACAAAATCTCACTCAAAACTCTAAAAAATGAATCTAAAGATCTTTGTATTTGTCTGTGGCATCAAGTAATTTGGTCTGAGTTCCTGATTCTTTAGCAGAATGTCCAGCATCCTGTATAATATGAAGTTCAGCTTCTGGCCATGCCTGAAAATACACAAACAAATTTATTTAATATATGTTTTTTAGATTTTCTGCAGAGGATTACAGCTAAGCTTCAAACAGAAACCTGTCATGTCTGAGAACATTTATAGAGTCTCTCTTAACAAACTTAATGCATATGCTGTCAAATCTTTCTCAAGTGCTGTCAACTTTTACAATGATGGTTGTAATTGCATTGAATGAAGTCTTTTCCTGACTTGCGTCATTGTCTAATTGAAAAATCAGAAGATATTATATGGAGATAACAATAATTCACCTTATGTAGTTTCCAAGCTGTTTCTGTGGGGCAAACTATATCATATCGTCCTTGCACTATAGTAGCTGGTATATGCCTGATTTTATCTACATTCTTTAATAGATAACCATCTTCCATAAACCCACCATGTACAAAATAGTGACTGAAATAAGATTAAGAATAAGGTAGTCACAAACCCAGAAGAGACAACACAGTCAACTTACAGAGTTGTACAAAGAAGGAAAGATAGCTTGCCAGGCAAGGTAACATACGCCCACTGGCAGCTGTCAGAAATGATTAAACAGTCTTTAGTGACTACAGGGTTGCACAATATACCTAATAGAGTGAAACGTCAGGTCAGACATGATATTTCGGTGAAAAAATATCCAATCATCATGAAAATCGATAGATCATCATGAAAATCAATAGGGATCATCTTCATAACAACATTGACATACAAAATAAAAATCAAAAGAATCTGTAAAAAATTGTAGCCTGTAGAGTGAGCACAAGTTGCACAATATAGCTAATAGAGAAAAACGTCAAGTCAGACACGATATTTCGGTGAAAAATTATCCGATCATCACGAAAATCAATAGGGATCATCTTCATAATGACATTGACACACAAAATAAATATCAAAAGAATCTGTAAAAAATTGTAGCCTGTAGAGTGAGCACGAGTTGCACAATATAGCTAATAGAGAAAAACGTCAAGTCAGACACGATATTTCGGTGAAAAATTATCCGATCATCACGAAAATCAATAGGGATCATCTTCATAACAACATTGACATACAAAATAAAAATCAAAAGAATCCACAAAGAACTGTAGCCTGTAGAGTGAGCACGAGCCAAATGTGAACGGACCGACGGACGGACCGACGGGGTGATTACAATATACACCCATCTTACGTGTGGGCGTATAAAAAACCTACCTTTCAACTTTATTGTGGTACCGTGCAGGACACAGAAACATCATAGATATCCAGAAATCAGTAATATCTTGATGCACTCAATAACCCAAAAATGAATTGGAGCAACTCCCATAAAAAAAGATTTAATGTCTGATCTGAGGAGCGGATAGGGCCAAATTTAATAGGCTTCATTCATCAGAGCCTCACGAACAAACTCACCATTCTATACGAGCGAACTGTAAACACCAGTCACCTAATTTAGTTCTTTCTAATAATTCTTCATCAGAATAAAGTCTGGAGGTTGATAATTCCCATCTACTCCAGGCTTTAGCAGCTTCTAATCTCATTTCTCTATTTTCACCAGTTAATCTTCTATAATATGCTCCTATCATATCATATCTCTCGGACTAGAAGATGAAGATGAGCAATACAAAGCAATGTGCAATGACAGATATATTTTTAAAGGACAGCAGCATAAATAAGCCTACTCTTTATTGGGGGTTTTACTATGATTTTATGAGTTATATGGAAATTTTAAATTAGGAAATTTTCTAAATAATAGGAATCTGAATTAACAAATTTACCGCTGGTATAAATTCATTGTATCTATCCCATTCATCAGGATAGATCATACAGGCACCACCATCTTCATAGAACCATTTCAATTCACGTCTGCAAAATATTTATCATTGTCAAGTAAACGTTCTTTATCCTGTTGCCATAGAATATACTTTTTTTGAAAAATTTTCATACAATCATCAAAAGTTTAGGTTTACTAAAGAGAATTGAACCTTTAATGAAAATCAAAACAACCAAACTTTACAATTCAACATTCAGTGCTGTAAGAAATTTGTCAAACCTTGGTGCAAACTTACTTGAACTTTCTATCATGTACACATTTCTAACCTTTGAAGTGTGAAGATTCCTCTGAGTACCACAGCTTTAACTCTCTCAGGATGTGTTTGACAATAGGCTAAAGATAAAGTTGAGCCCCAACTTCCACCAAACACCACCCATTTATCAATTTTTAAATGTTCTCTCAGTTTTTCAATATCTGCTACCAAATCCCATGTTGTGTTTTCCTAAAAAAAACCACTCAATATTACTTATTTTCCAGTCATTCTTGATATAAATTCTTTAATATAGAACTCATTTTCGTCCTTTAACAGAAGTTAAAGATAGCTTGCCAGGCAAGGTAACATACGCCCACTGGCAGCTGTCTTTACTGCAAGTTATTTATGCTGAGTAATTTCACCAAATTTCAATAACCGAAATACATCAAATTATCATATGAATACATGATCTCACCATGTTTCTTTAAAATCAATTGAAAACTGTAGTCTCTAATGTGTTCACAAACCAATTTTGACGCGTTTTTACTAAGTTAAGGGCAATAACTCAAAGATAGTATGTAGGTTGTTAATACAAATTTCATCAAATTTTCATACATTAATTAAATTATTGCTGACATCAAAACTATCTAGGATGGCTACTTTACATATCTTTGATTGTATGTGTTTTAAACATTCTATATAAACAGATACAGCTGTTACACCGTAATATAACATAAATATAACTAATATTTTTATATAATTTATAATCAATGTTTTATCTAGTCTATTTCTCATATTAACACAATTTAATTTGTTATTTTAAATAATCTATTTCTCTATATCTATTGAGACGACATAGAATAAAGACATCATTCAGCATTGATACATAAGAATCAACATTAAAAACACATTCCCTTTTCAATAACAAAAAAATAGTACCAAGGTTCACTTTATTCAAGTGGTGAATTTTAAACAATCAAAATATTTTTTTTGATATGAGAAGAGTTGAAATTCGAAAAGAATGTTAAAAAACTGGTGATAGCAGATTATGCTATTTCCAACAAGCAATAAGCTTATCTCTATAAATAATGGTTTTCGTACAATTTCATGGACATAAATTACTTTGCTAATTTTATAAGTAAATAAGTACCAATAAATAAAATCAAACATGACTTATAAGAGATTTATTGGTTCAAAATATTTCAAGAGCTATATAAGGTCAGAGGGATTTATGTTACCAACTCAAGTATTCATTCTCTTCTATTTTATTTTATTAATCTATTAAATTAAAGGCAAAGTAGACAAGAGTCTCAATGGAATTTTCTGTCAGTGGCTGGAAAAATATTTCAGTCACATAACATTAAAGGTTATATGGATAAATAATATCTTTTGAGATCCTACACCTATGTACAATCTCAAAACAACAGATTTTTTTAATATATTGGTTGTCCGAGAATGATAACAATAGGTCAGTATTAACATTTGACAACTAAAAACACTTACAAGTTATCATCTTTAGTCACATAGCTGCCACCCTCTGACCATGTCACTTGTATCAGAAAACAATGAAAGAATTTGAGGGCTCAATGGCACATATATTTTCTACTTTAAAAAAGGTAAAAAAGTTCTTCATCTAAATATATTACTAGACTTGAAAAGTTATCAAGACATAGAATTAACTAGTTCTAAAATACAAAAAACTTTCTCTCACCCTAAGTTCTGCAAGTGGTGTTGACTGTCCTGCTCCTCTTTGATCCAATAGAATAATTCTATAAACCTCAGGATCAAAAAATGTTCTACAGTTAGGACTGGTGCCACCTCCTGGACCACCATGCCTTCAATGTATTTTATAATAATTTCACTATTTATCTGTCTAGTCAAGCATCAAGCAGAGAAAAAAAAATTAATAGGATATTGTAACTGTCACTAGAATTATATGAGATAAAATTTTACATAACGAGCACCTAAGCTGTCACACATATTTTACGTATAAGGTATATGTATATGTATTCTCTGTGTCATATAATGAGGCCATATTACACTACTGAGAGTGTCATAAAAGTAATATATCCTGTTAAGAGAGTAGCTATCATCACATCAATATCATTGTCTTTTATACTTACACAAAAATTACAGGGTTTCCATTTTCCTTGCCTGATTCTTCATAGTATAACTTGTGTATATCAGACACTTGTAGAAATCCAGTTTTAAAGGGTTCCTTAGCGGGATAAGGCTGCCTAGGTTCGATGGATTCTGACATGTTTCTTGAAAGGTAAAAACAAATTTCGGAAAAGGTTTGATAAGAGCACTTTACTTTTCTTATCAAACTCCACATGAGTCACATGACATTAATTTACATCACGTGATAGTCACGTGGTTCTTTCTTGTATTGTCAAGATCAGATCGCTTACGCCATTTTTTGTTCCTTTGATTACTACATTATGTTTAAAATTCTCACTTTTCCGGAAAAATGACATAAAGATATGAAAAGTACAGTTGATGCGTTTTGTTTTGAATTGAGATGGACATAATCGAGATATAAGAGTTAACCTTCTGGTAGCCTAGTTCAGAAGTTTATTGCATGAGCGACATCCTAAAATTTTCGTCTGCTACAACAGTGTCAGTAATAGACTAGAATTGTATTGTTGTATCAAGAACTTACAAGTATAATAATATAGTTCGCAACCTTGAAAGCCAATGTTGCATTTATTTTATTAAGAACAAAGTTAATTGAAATTTTCCATACAGCCAGAACTACATAAGATACCGTAGCCGTCTAGGCTAGGCTTCCGCTTCGCAAATCCGATGAACGAACGAATAGTTAGGCCTACTGCAACTAATGTAGTAACGAGCGTGATCAAAGTCGCACAAACATTCGATTCATTGTAGGCTTATCCTTTTTTATTGAAAACTAATTATTGACCTACACCATCATGGGATTGGGGATATCAAGTAACTTAATTTCGTGGAAACCTATTTTTCGTGGATTTCCGGAAAGGATTAATAATTTGCATGAGCGACCTTGCGCGACCTCCGCATTAGTTTGTTTTTATAAACATGGGTTTTCTCTACAATATCAGCTAGTAGAATAAATCCAGTAGTTTCAAGCAAGGTAGAATGTATTAATGTATACTTTGACAAATACAAAATGGCAGATTTCACTTATTACCAAACGTCACCATTTTTTATCGAATTTCCTTATAATCCCAAGCGGTAATCGGAATTCCAAGTGTCGTCTGCTAGAATGTAGTCCAACGAATGAAGTCACATGATCAACTAGCGGATTCCGTGTCAGCAGAAAATTTCTATGGAACACAAAGTGGACCATATTCTTATGTTGTTTCAGTGACTTTTAGCAATAAATCACGCTACGTATCTTATTTTGTCAGTCACTATTTTTTTTTTTAAATCGTGGTTCTTTGAAGGAATTGTCACTAGTTATAATGAATTGATATTTAAAAAGATAAATACTAAGAGAAGTTAATTATACCACCCGGTATCCATATAACGTGTTTTTCTAGACTTATTTATAGATCAAACATTGTACACGAAAATAGGTGATGCATTCTGCCTCCGTTGCCGAGTTGGTTGCTCATGAAATATGGGTCAAAGGGAAGGATTCATAAAGAAAATCGAAATAAACCAATTTTAATTATTTTGTAGAGTATCTGAGGAAACATCTAAGACATAAAATTTTTTCTTCGTTTTTTTAACTTTGACGAAATTCGGTGTTGAATCCTTATATCCACGAAAATAGGTTACACCACTGTACCTGTAGTCCTGTAGTATATAGACCTTTATAAGACTAAACAAATTTCATTTACAATCCAATTCTAAATGACATATTTTGCCTTCTTTCTTACGGCAGCATGACCATCATGACATTAATTGTGCATCTTAAGACTCAGTAGGCCTAGCCCAATCAACATCATTAGGCAGACATTAGATTTTTTATTTATTTCATACAGTAGCCTCTATACTACTAGAGTCTAATGTGTAAATAGATATAGGCCTAATTTTATTCTACTTTAAATTTTCTTCAGGTTGCTTCAGGCGTTCAGAAGATCCCAGATAAGTTAGTCAGCCATTGGCCTAACAACATTGTGATTATGAACACCACTAGTTTGATATGGTTGTCAGTAACTGATAATGTTAATGTCATTGTGAAGACATTAAGGAATATTACATCTGTATCACCAGTTGATAACCCATACACTCAGTTTATTCCAGGTAGGCCTAGTAGTGTATGGCATATTAAATTCAATACTGGTAATTCTATGATATTTAAATTTAATGTTTAGCCACCTAAAAATGATTTAAGTTCTGAGGACTGTACAGCTGCAAAGATCAACTCCTAAATTCTACTGAATAATTCTGACTTTGTAGAGCAATCAACAGTCGTGGTATTTGATGAATGTCTTGTGTGCTCTATTGATTTAAAGCATTATTCTCTACCAGTCCAAAAGATAGTTTGATTCTGAGAAATATTTAGTCAACTATTATGACTGAAAAAACAATATTTTTAATATTGTTTGTTATTTTTATTTTGACAGATAATGTAATAAGCATATTAAGCCAATATGGTAAACTATTTTGTGATAGAAGATTTTCAGTTCTCATAATGGTACTGGTACCTTTATTGTTTTTCATATCTTCAAAATCATCAAGAAAACGTAAAAGAAAAACTAGTGAGTCTCGTTTGTTGAACGTTGAAAGCTTTGTTGTTGATTTGATTGTATTTGCCAGACATACTGTTGCAAGACCTCAAGACCATTTTCAGAAAATATGTTGTTTTAACATCATAGTATCACGAATACGGGTTTTCATATGCTCTTAATAACCCCTAAGAAACTAAGCCCATTACATTTTGGTTTGTGGGCATGGAAATGAGATTGGTGGCATTTAAATCTGACCAATCAGATCGAAGAACAGAAATGAGGTCATGTAAACAAAGCACATCGCTTTGATGTCGCCCGTTTGAAGAGATCAGAACATATTCTTTCCAAATAAATATTCCGAAGTAAGGTTTGATTTTCTCCCAGCTTCAATTTTTTACCTAAAATTTTACTCAATACTGTACCATCCATATATTAAATCTAAACATTTAATGACATGCTGCTTTCGTTTTGTTAACGTTCGGAAACATATGAGTTATAACAAGTGATTTGTTTTGATTGGCTGAAATTTTACTACTGAGACAGCAGGGCCAGGTTTGATTGGACAATATTTAGCTATGAATACATAATTTTTCTCACTTATATTACCACGGTCTTGAGGAAGTATGAAGAATGGGGGCATGGTTTGGGCATGTTCAATCTTAAAACAACCCATACTTATGAAGATCTTTGTAGGTGACTTGAAATAATAAGATTCAAAAGAAGATATGGTCAACTAATCAGATGCTTAGTCTTTAGAATTCACACAGCTTTCAATAAATGATAATTAGTGTTTTTATAATTATCATAACTTATGTTAATCAACAAAACTTATAGCAAATTAAGACATGAAATCATATTTCTTAAAAATTGCAAAATAATTGTCCGCTCACACAGAAATCTGCCATTTATCATACTATATACTGAAATAGTTAATGGCATATTAATAGTTTGCATGTGTTTTATCTTGTATTTTATTTCAAAACTTTTTTCAGATGAGCCTTTACCATCCTGTTTTAATGAAAACAAATCTGAAAGGTCTAATATTTTTGATGTAGCAAAGGTTGGTACTAAAAATGTTTGTTGTCTCCAACACATCATGAAGCTAATGAGCACAATGTATTTTCTTTCAAATTTTGATCAGGGTCACATGCTAAATTGTAAATACCAAACTATAATACAAATAATGTGACATTGCCTGCATCTCTCACAAAATCTGAACCAACGCACTATGCCAAATTAGGAAAACCTTGTGTTCCTGCTCATCAATTCTTGCCCCTGTGCACGAAGTAAGGGTCGAAATCTAGGTTACATACCCACAATCAAAAGCATTATAAAAATAATCATAATTCAATTTTTTGCATTCCATTGTAGACTGCCTATGAAGAGGGCCACACAGAACAAGTGATAGAAATGGTGGAATCTACAGGATATGATGTTAATTATATTCCACCATTATCAGATTTATCTCTGTTTCTAGTAGGTTCATTATATATATATTCTGTTATATTCTATAATAGAATAATTACAGTTGGTTAGATAGAGTTTATATTTGTGTTAAATACCCTATAATGTCCTCTTTAAAAGCCTTGTGTTCAGAAATCTTTTTTGGTTCGTTATGTCATCCATCTTGTTATAATAAAAAAAAATATATCTCTAAATTTTAGTGTGGATGTTTAAGTGGTTGTGAAAATCTTATAATATACCTCTTAAAGAAAGGTGAGATTGATTAATTTTATGTCAATAATTGAAAGTTTATCCTGAAATTTGATTATACTTAATTAATACGTATAATCATCCAGCAAATTGAGATCAAAGCTCTCAAATATTAATCTATCAGAAAAAAACTGATCATATTACTTTTAACATGAATTTGTTTTATATACAATTGCAATTTTATAGATGTTGCATTATTTGATCTTGGTTGGGAAGTATAAAGTACATGACAAGTATTATTTAATATTATTACCTAGTATCTATTTAGGTAAACTAAATTACAAAGGTTATATAGATTGCTACTTACAATTTGTGTCCATTATTGACCATCTTATACCTACACCATATTGTAGTGTGTGCTATTTACATCCACAATATTACAGGTGAACCAGTGGGCTCAATTGTCACACGATTTACATCAATGAGGGAACATTGTTATTTCCCAATAACAATTCATTCTCAATAAAGAGCTTGTAAGGTTAACCTTGAAGCTATTACGTATGGACAATTTTGTTCAATTGTCACATGCTTCAAATTTTATCAAAATCCATCAAGAAACCAGCTTTCTATCATGTCCAAAACACATTTTCAAATAAAAATTGAACCCGTTTTCAAGAACGAGGGCAATAACTCATATCAAATATCATTTGATTTGTGTGATTTTAAATAGGGTTCAACCTTAAGTGATAGCAAACATTCATACCAAATTTTATCAAAATCCATCCAGAAACCAGCTCTCTATCGTGTCCACAACAAATTTTCAAGAAAAAGGGTAATAACTCACTAAATATTTTTCGATTTTCAATATCAAATTTTGTCAAAATCAATGTAGAAACTACCTCTCTATCTTGTCCACAATAATTGTGGATACACGGACAGACAGATAGACGAGGGGGACAACTTTATACACCAACATTAGTGTGTGGGTTTATAAAAATGAATCTGTTTATTTTTACAGGTGGGGATGTATTAAGTACAACAGAAGATGGTGATACACCACTATATCTAGCAACATTTGGTGTTTTGAACTCAGAATCTCCTAATCTTAATGTCATTAAAATTTTACTAATAGCAGGTATTGTATTGGAGGGTTTCAAAATAGGTTTCAATGTCTTTGTTTGTCATGAAGGATACTTGTAGCTTCTATCTGCACCATTCTGATTACAAATTCCACATCCGTGGCTCATTTAATTCAAGAAAATATAGATTTTAATGTCATATTTGCATTTGGATTGAAGGTGATGGAAATAGAAATATCATATTGATGTTATAATTGAATTAAAGGTACCATAGAGGTGTTGTAATTGTGGAAATAGAAGCTATTAGTGTTCCAGATGTCTATAGGCCTACAAAGGCATGAAAACCTTTTTTTGGAATTTTCTTCTAAATAATGTTAATGATAATAATAAGTCGACTGAAATCTCTTTGATGGCATTTGTTTGGGTTGTTGTCGCAATTCAATACTACAGTTAAAAAGATCCACATTTGAATGATAAATCTGGTAGAAAAATATAAATTAACTTGTGTCTTTAAGGTTGTGAAGTTAATCAACAGAATAAGAAAGGTTTTACTCCACTACATAGAGCTGCTAGTAAAGGCAATGTTGATATTGTAAAATGTCTGCTGAAGTATGGTAAGTTTATTTACTTTTCATTTTGAAAATAGTTAATGTAATAATGAAATGTACATTTTATGATAGAAGGTAATTTTACTTATTTCAATAAAGTAATTTGGCCTTTCCGAACACTAAAGAGGTACACAGAACTTTTCATTTTGTAGGTGCTGATCCAAACATATGTAATGAAGCTGGTATATATCCTATAGATAGTGCCATCAATGCAGGTATATAGGTTTTTTAAGACATAAAGAAACATCTCTACAGCCTACAATTCTTCTTATTTTGTGGGTCAATGTCATTAAACAGATGATCCCTATCGCTTTTCAGGATGATCTGATAATTTTTCACCAAAATATCATTTTCAACTTAGTGTATTCACTCTATTAGCTATATAGTGCAACTTTTGCTCACTCTTCAAGCAACAATTCTTTATGGATTCTCTTGATACACATAGTATGGAAGCATATTGTCATTTGTCCATCTGTTCACAATTGGCTCATGCTCACTGTACAGGCTACAAACAATGATTTGTACTTGCAATCAAAGCAGCTGCTGGGCGTATGTCACCTAGCTTTGCAAGAGTATCTTTACATATTAGAGCAACTACAATTTTCAACCTACAAAAAAAGCCAATATAATGTCCCTTTTAAACATGGCCATCCACACGTAGATTTTGTTACAAATCTAAAATAGCAGGCACAGTGTTGATTATTTCTTTTTCAGGCAATTTAGAAGCAGCAGAACTACTACGTATAGATATAAACAATCCATATGAAAGAGATTTTGGTCAACCTCAAACTCCGACACATATCACTGTGGGCTTACAGAGTCCACAGAGAAAGTTATTGATGGAGTCAAGTCGACATAGGCAGAGTCATTTACTAGATCACTGATCATGTGATATTGGCATTTATAAGAGGAGAAAAGCATTGGTATGAAATTGAAAAAGACCCATTTCATATGATCTTGGCAGTTTTAGCTTTTTCTGAATCTCATGTGAGGGAGAAATCAAACGTGTGCGATACTTTTTTGCCCATCAGATCTAACTGAATGTTTAACATAATGTGATTTTCAAATTATTGTGATATTGAAAGTGGTGTAATTTGAACAAGACCTACTTAAACTTTAATATTAAAAGGGTGTCAAATGTAAATGTGTAATGACTGATCAACTACATCCACAGTTGCACAAAATCTACTGCCTCAGGATTTTTTTCAATTTAGAATTAGAGTAAATAAGGTAAAGACAGAACTGAACCATACCACACACAATTTCATTGTTTAGAACTTTTATCAGTTTTCAAATTACAACATTTAAATTATTAACATTTGTGTTTTTGTTGTTACTGTTTTATCATATGTTAAGGTTTGGGCTGCTGATGGGTTAAAAAATCTGTAGTTATTTTTTAGTCAAGACTAATTTAAATACATTTGTATTAAAATATTAAAATTCATAAGAATTGTTATTTGAAAATAATTTATTGATAATGTTATATTAAATTAAAATTTTTAAAATTTGGCTATGTTTTATTTTCTATCATTCGCTCTAAAAAGTCAACATAAACTTTTTTCTGTGGTGATGAAGCTGGTATAAAATGGCCACCTGGATGTTCCAATATCACTGGATTTTCATAATGTACTAAAAGTTCTTCACTCATTTCTACAAAGATAAAATAACATTTATCTTTTTTCGGAAAGTTTTGTAGCTTTTAAAAAACATTACTACTAATTGTTGCGTTATAATATTCCTGTGATTCAGTCAAGACAGCCTAAATCAATCGAGACTTTTATAACACATAAATATGCCAAAAAGCTAAGAAACTAAGCACTTTGTATTTACCCAATGTAAGATAACAAACCAAGAACTACCATGTTATATGTAGAATTAAACTATGTGCTTACCTTTTGGTATAACTTTATCAGTATCTCCAAACACATGTAATGTGGGTATTGTTACTTTCTTTTCATACAACTTACAATGAGGTATAGAGCGACTTTTAAATGAAGCTACCATTATGGCAAAACTAATTTTTGGACAAGCCTCTGAAAGAAAAAAATGAAGATTACCACAGAAGGTTATCAATAGTTGTCATTCTAATTTTGTTTCAACTATGTCAATAAATGGGAAACGGTATATCCTATACCAAGAATATTAATTCAGAACCTGACAAAGTTACTCAGATTCTAAGGCTAATCAATCATACTATATCTTTACATTTGATGTAGGAAGCACTATTCTAACAATGAAATATTGTGTATTTGTATCTAATATTTATGTAATATCGTTACCTGGCTCTAATTCTTGTAAACCACACAGAAGTGAAACCATAGCAGCACCTTGACTGAATCCTAATACTCCGTCGAATGGTCCCTTAAAATATGTCAATCTAATACTTTAGAATACAGCAATATAAACTTGTGTGAACAATATGTGTATAGGCATTGTATGAAACATACAACATTGTTTTAATTGGTTTAAATTGCTTATAACCTTACTCCTTTCAAATTTAGATAAGAGGCCTTAGTTTTAATGGCAATGAAGTAAAATTCAGTGAAATAAAATTTAGTATGATGCATGGTGCTCATTAAGATATTAATAGGCTGACAAGAAACGCAATTACCTGTGAAATGAAAGCTTTCTTTATGACATCTAATGATTCTTCATAGCCCTTACAACAATCTGTCTCATCTTGAGCTCTAAAATAATCATCAGATCTTGAAAACCACCATCCTCTCTGATCTGAACAAAAACAAAATCTAATTAGTCATATGAAAAATTTAGTACAACCTATGTCTATGTTCAGACAATTGGAATGGTGCAAAACAATGCCGTTAATGTCCCTGTAACAAATAAAAATTTAATAAAACCCTCAATTACAATCCCTTCAAGAGCAGATAACGTCTATCTCACTCTATGCATTTTGTATAAAATGTCTTAAATTATAACTGACTTTCATCATTCATCACATGTCTTGAAAAACAATAGAACTTTCTCATTAAAAAAAGATATGGTTATAACACTTAGTATTACTGCTACATTTTTCAAAATATATAGAATTTCATATGCTTAACTTGTTTTTTTCAAAATGGCTAAGTAGTAGTATCTGCTCACCATCATTTTTTGTATCTGTTGAATTTTCTTCCAAACTCTCTAATGGTGGTACTACATTTGGTGCTGTTATAAATACTGAAAATTGATCAAATATATCCTGTTAAAGAATACAAATCACTGACAATGGCCAATTAAAATGTATAGGGACATATCTAAAATGTCATTGTGACAAGACTCTATGTTCTTAATGTCTGTAGCTTATACTTACCAAGTTCTGCATACTTTTTGGTAAGTTTTCGGAAGGCACCGGTTCTTTCTCTAAAACTTTGTTCATTTTGCCTGGAAGGAATAAAAATATGTTTCTAATATATAGGTTTACCTATATTCTTACTGAAACTGTTAATATGTTTTGTGAGATATAGATGCAACAAAATATCCATCAGACTGAAATTCTTGCCATCTTTTGATACCCGGTATTTAATTTAGGACCTATAAAAGTAAAGAGGCGATATAGGATGAGCCTGAGCTACTAAAGTAGGTATGGTTTCGTAGTTAAGATTAATAACATGGCCTACCTGTAACCATGTATACATAAAATCTGCAAAATAGAATATAATAAATTAGGCTATAATGAATTGAAACTTAGTTGAATTATGTTCATTCTTTATCTTGTAGTAGTAGGACATTGTCCCCTCTTAACATTGTCCCTTTTAATATGTAGCAAAGTTTTTGGTTGGATTAAAATTGAAAAGGTGTCTGTAAAACTTCTTCATACAGGCATTAATGTATGGCTACAACATGTCTTGCCTATGTTCAACCATAGCTATGATTATCCTAGCTTCTACGTGGACCATGTAGGCACACAGAAAATGCTATGGAAATATTTCCTCTGTAACGTTTATCAAATTGTATGTTTTACGCTTCTTACTCTCTGACTGAATTGAATTTTTCTCTTATTTCATAAATATTCAAAATAAAATTTTCAATTGTCTTAGCATGTCTTCGGGTCAATAGAAATATGAGAGGTTCAGTGATTTTACATTTTAAAAAGACACACTTCGATCCCAGACTGAAAATTTCCCTCTGAAAAATCAGTGGTTAACATTTCCACCAACCCAAAGGCAATCTAAGACTCTCAGTACATTTAGTATTTTCTAGTTGGCAGGGGGCCTATTTAAATTCATAATAGGATAATGATTGTCAAAATTCAATTCAGTGTAGTCAGAGAGCAGGTCTTCTATAGACAGACTTTTGCTCGTATGCGACTAGTCTTAATACAAAAAAAAACATTATTAGAACAATACCCTTAAAAGTTGATTTGATGACATGACAATACAAATTCTAACCTGACTTTGGATTTTTTTTTTTTTATGGTCTAAGGGAGGTAATAGACAAAACGTCTTAAACAGAGTTATCTCCCTTAGACCTTAAAAGCTTAAACTCGAAGAATATCAAACATGGCCGACCAAGAATGTAATAAACAAGGTTCGGAAGGTATGCGACGTTCCGAATTCAAAATATGAAAGGAGTGTATGAGCTGACAATGCATGGTAACAAGGTCAATGAACAGTGTGCATAAATCTATGAAGGAGTTTAGGCTTGATGCTTACTTAAAATTTCAGCTGTAGTCAGCACCGATTTTTATTGGACAGGTTCTGCTTGTTTTGTTTCTAAAAATAAACTGACAGCTACTATTCAATTTGCTCTAATGAGTTCTTCTTTAATTTTTTAATCTTCTTCTTCACTAGAATCAAATGTTGCTAACTGTCATTGCCATAATATAGTTTGAATAATCAATCACATTTTACCTGTTAGGCCTACCTGTTAAAATTAACTCATTATATGAATTCCAGACACCAATGATGACACCAATGTTAATTTGCTGAAACAAGAGGCTGAAAATGGAAGTGGTGAACACCAATATGAATTAGGCAAACGTTATCTCAAGCTAGCTGATAGTGAAATCAATAGAGATGAAAATATTAGCTTTGCATTACATTGGTTAGTGAAATCATCTAAGCAAGGCAATGAAGATGCCACGAAAGAACTGCAAAAATGTATGGAGGATGATATAGGTAGGTTTAGACTTACTGCTCTACAGACTGAAAATAACAGGTCATGTAAATTCCATTAAATAATTCAACATAAATTAGATTAGAGGCAAATGAGGAAAAATGGTCACAGATACATTGGACACAGAATTTGATTACTGTAAAATGTACTTGTACAGATACGATTCGTACAACAAACGATTAAATAATTATATTAGATAGTATCATTAAATTACATAGAATCTTTCTATTTTCAGGTATAAATGAAGAAAATGGACCAGATATAAGATGGTGTATTCAAACCTCAAGCCTAGAGAAACAGATACGCCATGCCTCTGCACGACTCTTTCAATCTCTCAACACCACCCATAAAAATACAATTAGCAAAGATGAATATATGAAGGCAATTAAAAGTCTTCCTGGACAAAAACAACAAAAACTTCTCATGGCTGCAGGTTGGTCTTTTATGTTGTTCAGAAATTGACTTCATCTGATGTAAAAATTATTACAATATTTGATTTCAAAAGGTGCAGGTGATCAAACTTGATTATTCATAGCTACAAACACCACAACATCATGATTTCAAGAATAAATTAACACGTTGACTGCCGAAGCCATTTGATAGTCCCCACTTCCCTTGCCGGGCATTTAGCAATGGAAGTAAGTACGAGTCGTAGTTTGGTAACATTTACAGACTTCTGTTTCGTTTGCACTTCCATAACTCGCGTTATCGACCTTGCCGTAATACGATTCGTATCATGGCAATACAATAAATGTTCTGTTAGTATTGCCGAACTACGATCTACAACCACCAAAGTTATGATAATGAATTATTATACTCGTTCTAATTTTAAGCCAATAAGAACCCGACAGGGCTTAAATTGCGCATGCGCTCTGAATTTGCTTCGCCACGTGTTAGTTGCCTTACCACGTGTACTTTGCCTTGAAAATGGCAGCGTCAAATGTTTTTAGCGCCGAACAAATTGCTGACATTATAATGGAACAACCATCAACTGACGAGAGTGCTGAAGAATCTTCAGATACCACCACCATTATTGAAGATGAACTTTCTGATTCCGATTTTGGAAACCCTATGGTCTCCTCAGACTCAAAATCTTCAAGGTAAGTTTCATATGATTTTACGTCATGATATAGCCATGATGATATATGTAGATCAAGAATGATTTTAAGATACATAATATGGACCTAAGATTTCATTTCCTGGTATGGAAGTTTAGATATTGTTCTATTTCTTTGCAGTGATGGTGAAATGAAAACAACCCCCTGTGCACCAACAAGAGCTCTTGCAGGTGGTGACCCCAGGCCATTGTTAGAGGCTCTGGCGAATGGTGGTTTTGACGCTGACATTGAAAGTAATGATATAGATCATGTATTGGAACAAGAAGGTGATTCACAACAACCATTCCATACACATGAACCACAGACAATAAATGTCCGAAATGCTGAACCGGCCAAAAGACAACATACATGGTCTGATGTAGCAAGTGGTCCTCCTATATTTCAATTTGATGAGCAATCTGGTCTTCTTGTGGAGACGCACGATGATAGTCCAGGCGCATGTTTTGATTTATTTCTTACCGATGAACTCTTAAACTTAATGGTTGTTGAAACGAATCGATATGCTGGTATTGAAATCAACAAACAACGTCCGCTGCGACAAAAATCTAGATTCCATGACTGGAAGGAAACTAACACTGAAGAAATGAAACATTTCATAGCATTACTCCTTCATATGGGACCCGTTAACTTACCAACAGTGGAACATTATTGGAGCAATAATGCCCTATACAAATCCGTGTTTTTCAAGGGTGTCACTGGAAGAAATCGTTTTCAGCTTCTGTTCAGATTCTGGCACTTCGCCGATAACCGAGAACCATCTGATGATCGTCTTTATAAACTTAGACCAATGCTGGATAGTTTTAATCAGGGCATGGATAGAATATATTATCCCTTGAGGGAATTGTCAATTGATGAGTCCATGGTACTTTGGCGTGGTCGATTGATGTATCGTCAGTATATCAAAAACAAGTGTCATAAGTATGATATAAAACTTTATGAATTGTGTGAGTCAAGAGGCTTAGTTCTTAGAATTTGTATATACTCAGGAACTTCCATCGAAGATCCTCATTGTCTAGGACAGTCTGCTGCAACCCGTTCTTGATCTTTTACGAGGTTTTCTGGATAAGGGCCATGCTGTTTTTACAGACAATTACTATAACTCCGTCGAATTATTCAAGTTGCTGTCAACACGCTGTACTTACATCTGTGGGACATTGAGAAGTGATAGGAAGGGTAACCCAAAAGAAGTTGTTAACAAGAAACTGAAGAAAGGGGAGGCTATTTGGAGAGAATCAGAAGGGGTGGCAGTTTGTAAATGGAAAGACAAAAGAGACGTGCTGACAATATCCAACATGCACTCCGTAGAGATGGTCGCAGTCAGAAATCGCAACGGAAAAGAAATCCAAAAACCAAACTTAGTCAGAGATTATAACAGTGGTATGTCTGGGGTCGACAGATCCGACCAGATGCTATCTTATTACAGTGCATTGAGGAAAACTATGCGCTGGTACAAGAAAATAGGTCTTCATATCATAGAAGTTGCAGTGATGAACGCCCATATCTTGTACAATGACAAGCATTTGTAGAAAATGAGCCTTCTGGAATTCCGTGAGGCAGTGGTGATGCATCTAATAGGGGATCGTCTAACAAATGAACTGAAAATTCGAGCAAGACGTGGAGGAGTTGATGATTCAGCTGAATTTCATTTCCTTGAAGTAATCCCTCCTTCTGAGAAGAAACAGCGACCCACAAAGCCATGTCTGATTTGTTCACAGAATAAACAGAGACACGAAAGCCGTTACTTCTGCCCAGTCTGCATAGAAAAACCAGCATTGTGCGTAGATAAATGTTTTCGGCAATATAACGAGAAAAACTGATTATGTAACTCATTGTTTTCTGTTTATGTGACAATTCGAAATAAACGCAAATGCTCTTTTGACAACTCTATCGTCCCTCATTGCCCACCCCTACCATACCCAATCGCGCCTACAAATATTCGTGCTGATGCTTAGTCATGTTTTATTTATGATTAATAACAACATCCAGTGTTAAAAATCGCCAAAACTTTGAACCTTCCGTGTCAATAATGAGAATAAATAAATTATAGATGAATTCTGGTAGGATGAATTCTCGTAGGTCAGCAGTTAACTTGTTAATGCTTATAAAATGACTTGTATCTTATACTATTTTTTATTTTAATGCAGGTAAAAAGATAGGTACAGAAATAACAGAGAATGACTTTGTTAAGACTTTATCTAAAAAGATCCAAGGTACACTAACACTAACATCAGATGAAATTGAAGACACAACTGAAGCTTATAAAACTGCTACTATTGCTCAGAAGGTAAAAGGATTTTAGCATATCAAATTAATGTTGTAATGTCTTCTATGAGAGAAATATGTTTGATTCCTTCATCTGATAATTCAGCAACTAAGAATGTATGATAAAATTTCAGGTTTAATCTAACATTCATTTACTCAATAGTCTTATTTCTTTCTTTATTTCTTAGATATTAAGATATCCAAAAGAAACAGCTGGAGTGGTAACAGATAAAGCTTTAGAATATTTATCAAAGGAAGGAATGAAATGGGTAGTCTCATTCATTCCAACAAACCAGATCTATCTATTAATATTACTATTTATTTATAGTTATATTACACCCAAGTTTATTTTCTTTGTTATTCCTTTGTTTATATTTTTCTTATCTTATGCTTCCCTGGTTATATCATCCATGCAAATGTTCTACAAACGTCGGAAACAGTCTGATGCTGCCAATTTGGCTGGTTTGCTGAAGGAATATGATATGACCATTGACATAGAAAAAACTGAATCACAGTATTCTTGGAATTCTTTGACACCATATTTTGTATTTTTTGCAAATCTGCCTGTGGGTATTGCTAGTTTTTCATTGGCTAATAAGGCTTATATCCCAGTTTCAGAACTATGTGTTATTGCATTGTTTATGGCAGTGTTTTGCTTCATTGGTTTAGGAGATAGTCACGATAAAATCACATTTTTTACCCTCTTTGCTAATGTATTGGCCTCGTTACCAATATTCTTTGAAAATTTTCCCAATATCCCAATAATTAAATGGTTTGTGTATCTAATTTCCAAACCATTATTTAGAGTAGATTTATCTTATGGATTCTTTGTGAATATCAGTTTACCTTCAATAGCTTACCTCATTATACCAGTTTTCTTTATCAAAATGAGTATGTCTCATTCTTGGCAAGGAACCTACAGAGTCTTGATTCCCCATCTTGTCTGTTACTTTTGGTGGTCTATTATGACATCCTTTTTCCCGTTTACGACTTGGTTTGGACTGGCTCGAGCAACTGTTGGCTATCTTTTGATGCCAATTATTTTGCCTCTCAGTTTAGGTGCTGTTATAATTTTTTTTCTTTACGCTCTTATCAAACTGGTCCAAACTGAATTATTTGGAAAACTTCTGGTCACACTTGGCTTACTTTTGATACCAATTGCTTTGACCCAAACTAAGGCTGTGTTTGGTAAATCTGCTGACAAAAAATATGCCACTGTCAAAAAAGTGATTATGGTTTCATTCAGTTTGTTGGCCATCCTGCCATTGTTGTTTGTCCGTCTGCCAGCCTTGCAACCAGACACATCACCTGCTTTAAGCTGGGAAAGTTATCGCACACTCTGTATTCCAATTGGACCAGTCAACATTGCAGGTATGCAGCTTAGATGTGAACATTTCTCTGGGACAAAAGTCAGTTGGGAAGGTGAAGTTGTAAATACTCAGATTGCCAAAGTTGAAAATATTGCCAACTCAGTTCTAAAAAATCTACCCAATATCATAGCTGATCCTTTAAAATGTATTTATGGTACACACTTTCCAGAGTGTAATGAAACAACATCAAGTCATGAAGATTTTGTTTTTTGTCAATCTATAAAGAAATTAGGGAAAACATGTCATGTAGGAGAACATGCTACATATATATTTACCCTGACCGTTAAAATCGATCAAGTCAATTTGAACATAGAGGCGGGCAATGAGTTTAAGGATATTATTTTGTCCTTAAATCCTGCAATACCAGTGTCCTTTAATGCTACTTTAAATGGTGGTTTAGGCACTGGCGCTCCATCTTTGAAACTCTTGTCTCTGAAATCTCTAGATGAGAATTTGACTCTGATGATGGCAGTTGAAGAAGAGGATGGATTCTATTATCGTGCAATACATGAGGCATTGTCTTTCACTTTTAATTTTATTTGGTTCCCTATTATGGAATATGTTGTCTAAACTTATATCATGTTTGTATAAAACTTGAAAGAAGTTATTTAGCAAATTATCCATGACAATACCACACATTTTTTGTAATTCTTTACTTATCGAATGTAGCTAAAAAGAATTCTCAATGTTACCAAAGGAACAAATTCAACATTTTTGGGAGTTGATTTGAGTTCTGAATACATGTGAATAGTCTTCAAAAGTACCAGAAATGTACAATAAAAGCATAATTCCTTTAAAAATACTTCCAACTAGGAATTTTACTCTCTATTTCTATATATGTCTATATATCACAGAGTCTTTTTACATGGAAAAAACGGAAAATTATATTGTTATTATTATCATATTTTATAATGATGAATATTGTAGTTCAATTCCGTCAACTGTGACATGACGTGTAACTAAAAATAAAAAGTTATCTGGATAACTTTTCTCGGCAGTGCCAAAGCAAACCAAATTGAATTGAATCGAACAGAATAGGATTTTTTTATACTGTTAGAACTGAATTCAATTATCCAGTTTTGCAGTTTGAAAGGTGTAGAATGTGCATATATTCAACTGTCCAGACTTGTACATCATTTGATTTCTTGATGAAATAGCTGTTGTTGTATTAAATACATTTCCTTCATGAAATACTTCTTTGGTTATTTCAACAATATCTGTTTAATGATTTCAATTATTTTTGAAGAATCAATAGTTTATTGAAATTTTGTTTTATATGTATGTTTTTAAGATTTTATTGATCCTGATTTATTGATTGTTATAGTAACTAAAAAAAAAACCACCAATATCCTTAGTCAACTCTCTACTTGCATTTGTTCTAAATGATCAAAGAAAGGATCAAAATGGTCAGTTACAATTTCCCATAGATTGCAAACATGACTTCTTAATAAAATCAAAAGCATTTAGAGGAAGTGCTGAGAGTTATTTTTTACTTTTTAATGTTTTATTAGTCTTAGAATGTTTCTAGTTGATGTTATAATCTAATGATAGTGCGCAATTACGTTAGCCATAGAATTCTTTTTAGACTTTAAATTCCTTTTCAGATACAATTTTGTCCTGAGACTTCATATACGTTATATATAGACATATGTTAAGGATGGTAGAGCATAACTAGGACTTACCTTAAGTTCTGTCCTTTTTATTAGTAATTTGGCAAGTAATACTAAACATAATATCAATTTGGTTGTGATTATTAAGGTGACTGCCTATTGTCAATAATTACATTCTTTTGAATGTTGAACTTTGCACTCAAGTTGGTTAATCAAACAACTATTTGATGTATATGCAGATGTCAGTTGCAATGCAGCAATGATTTTTAAATTTTCTGTTATTTTTTTGAAGAAATTTCGGATTTTTTCAGTCTATATTTCTTGAAGGGAAGTGTAATCTAAGACTATCTACTGGTATTTTGAAATTCATGTACTATTTTGAAATTCAGAAAAACTTAAAATAGAGTAATAGGTATTATGTGTATGTGATTTACCAACAAAAGATGGAGGACAAGGTTTTGCTCTTATATTGCTTTTTCTGATCAGATATCAAGTGGTCACCTATGATATGTTTAGTTGATACTAGTTTAATATATAGTTTTGTTATTGATTTATCCATTTGTTAGCTTAAAATATTCAGTAAATGTATTAGTATAGCATTTAATTTATAAGAGATTTGTCTTTCACATTACAAACTGTTTTGTTCATTTTACAGTTTATGATTATGTTATGACTAAACTTTTCAGAACGTTATAGCCTGTAAATGTTGGTGCATTCATAACATGATTATCGAACATACTTCACCGTTTTGAAATGTTGGACAGCAGTTATCTTTGATTATCAAACAGATAGTAGTGCTTTATTAATTCTATATCAATTAACCAGTCTTTCATAATTTTATAAATATTTATCATACTAACAATTTGTTATTTTGTATCTTTAAAATAAAGTTTTCTTTCTTGTTTAATATTTTTTGCATGTTAAGATTTCAACATTGGCTTAAGACCCCTCAAGATTTAAAGTAACTGTGCAGGATGATTTACATTTCGCAATATTTAAATATTTTTTTCCGTATAGTTTTCATTAGAAAAAATAACAGATGGACAGAGTGGTGACTTAAGTTTTATTAAGGTCATTATTCATATCATTGACCTAATTTACTAGTAATAGGATAATACTGATCATTGACATACACCATTGATAGCAATGTATCTTATGACTTTCTGTAATCTGATTTTTATGAATTTGGAATCTGATTAACCTTGTTAAGGGTTTCATTAATAAATAGGGCAATATCATAAAAAAAAAAAACGGTATGACTTGGCATTTTTCCTCTACCTGTATACCATGATGACATCTTGATAATCAGGAATGATATCACAGTGTGCATTATATGCATAACAAGGAAATGCAACCCTACTTACCTTCTGCTTTGATAGACGAAAGTATAACTGTGTCTGGTTGAGAATAACCCAGCCTCATGACCAAATTGCTTGGCTTTTGCCATGTCAACATGTAACTTTCATAATGTGTGTTAGATTTCTGGCCTCATACGCCAGTTTTCAAATACTTTTACCCCGGTAGGCTGAAATAATAAACCAGATACTTTATAACATTAAAAAGAGTTTACTTCAGGAAATTTTCTATATCACTATATTAGAACCTATCGTAATAAAAATCTGTCAATATAGCGATACAAAAAATACCATTTATATATATTTTTGTAAATGGATATCTTTTGAAATTAAAGGGTGATTGGAATGCTGATTTCTATGGGGCGTATATTGTCATCACCCATGTCCTTCGACAATTGCTTGTAAACACTCTAGAAGGCACAATTCTTGATGGATTTTGATGAAACTTGGTGTGAGTGTTTATTGTCAACCAAGGATGATCCCTATAAAAAATCGAAAATTATTTAGTTTGAGTTATTGCCCTTGTTATTGCGTTCAATTTGATCCTGTAAACACTCTAGAAGGCCCAATTCTTGACAAAACTTAGTAATATTATCCAGTATCGCCCCAAAAAAGTTCAAAAGAAGTGTATGACTGAAGGTTGAATATTTCATACTGGTAATTGTTACTGTACTGCCAAATATTATTTTTTTTTTAAAATCAAAGCTACCAGTGGGCTTAAGTTACCTTGCTTGGCAAGCTATCTTCTATATCTCTTACAACTGAGTTTAAATTTACCTATTAGTCTCATGGCCAAGATGAAATAATACTTAATTTATTTCAATGTCAAGTAAAAATGCAAGTACAGTGAATTTTACTTAGTGAAATATACTTTCTCATGTGAAAAGTCTATTAGCTGCTACCAATACTTTGTCAAAATGTTGTTTTGATTTCGGGTTTCATTTTGCAGTTCGGATCATTAGTACTTGGTTTATTTATTTATATATGATATCTACAATGAAAAATTTAGATTTGGAAATAATAAGCTTTTACTGATACCATGGTATATTTTATTGAAAACAAATACTAGAGTACAAGACTTTTGAAGTCAAATTTCGACTACTTTCATTTTGATATGATATACACAACATAAATTAGAAAAAAAATATCTTAAAAGAAAGGTCAAGGTCATTACAACCCAGGCCATATCATAACATCACAATGACTATCTTAATGCACATTAATAATTCATCCTAAAATATAATTTGACACAAAAATAATCTTAGTATAGAGGCTATTCAGTTTGTCTTCTCAAAGCAGACGGACTATGTATAACATCTAATAATAACAAACACATATGAGACATTTTCTAATCTTAGATTTCCTCTCCAACATTCAATCTGAAGCATTGTAAAAGCAGACACTATTTAAGAATGATGCCAATTTGATTAATGGTAGGCAGTGATAAGCAGCAAAGAGCAAATATACCCTTTCTATGATGAAACACAAATTTTTAAAATACTGGTTAACATTATAAACATTCAAGAAGATTTTTAAAGTGTAGATTTTAAGCTACCATGTAAATCTTATCATGAATAGTTACTATTTACAAATTTAAATGTCAATGAACAAGAAACACAACAAATACTGTATATTCACAGAACACAATCACAGAACACAACAAGCACATTGAACACAAATCAAATAAAACCTATACTAGTCATGAGTTCAAATCTGAGAGAGCATACCTTGTGATCAATTAATTCTTTCATTCACCTAGTCATATTCATTCATTCTACATCCAATCATATTCATTCATTCTACATCCAGTCATATCCATTCCTATTCATTCATTCTACATCCAGTCACATCCAGTCATATCCATTCATATTCATTCATTTTACATCCAGTCATATTCATTCATACATCATCCAGTCATATTTAACAGTTGAGTTCAAAATTTCATTTAGTCAAATTTCACTTTTCATTAAGTCATTTATTACATTTGTATTCATAAGTTTTATTCAGTCATATTTAACATTTGTATTCAAAACTTTCTATTGGTCAAAACTCAAAATTACCAAAGAATAAAGATAAACATTACAAAAAAAATACTTTTAAAGTAATTTCAAAATTTCTAAAAGATGTGACTAGAAATTTATCTAAGTATTGCACTTTTCTACATTCAGTTCTAGGTAGAGTAATAAAGGAATTGTCATGTGTTCATTCAACCCAATGCGTTACAAATTTGTCATTTAATATTTTTGCTCTTGGCTCGATTTAAAAAGGATAACTGGAAACAGATATGAGCATGTGAGTTGCCTTTATTACTTTTGCTTGAGTAATCATATTTTATTAACTTATGTTGTCATCAGTTTAGATAAAAAGTTAGTGACTGATAACACTATCATGTGAATGGCTTACAGTAGATTGTACTTACAAAACTATCATTAACTGACCAAAATTCCATTTTCAAAACTTACTAGCAGTCTAATAAAAGCCTAATATTAGTCTGTTCACAATGAAGTGTAATTGATTAGGGAGTTATCAAGATGAACTAGTATCGAGTAATGTGATTCAAATCAGATGATTAGAAGTAGACCAAATCTAGAAATGTGATCAGAGTGATAACCTATTAACTGAATTTTTTTATCTTTTTGTTTCCTAGTCATGATCTTAATTTTGATTTGAAGGCTAAATTGTATGTTTTAAAATTCAGTTTGGAAACTTTTGCCATCATTGGATTCTAAATGTAATTGTTTCATATTCTAATAAAAAAATAACAAAGAATAGTTTTGATAGTTATATTATGCAGTTTTTAAAATGTCAACTCTTAGGGGAAAAAAAGTTATTTTTTCAACTTTCAACCCAGAACCTAGATTCTTTTAGTGATTAGAAGAAACATTATAAGAGATTGAATTGAAATTTGAATTCATACACACTCAAACAAAACAAACCATCTTCAAAATTTGATTCACAAATTATGCTCCCACTGAAAGTTTTCCTGCCAAATTATAGACTAAATCACAATATATAGAGACAAGCATTATAAAAACATTGGAGTCATGTGATGTTATATTATTTCCTGGGTAACCATGTTAAGATGCTGTCATGAATCTCAAGTATTGCAATGCGTTGTGGGCTGCATTAGCATGAGCATCATCTGGTGTAGGTCCTGTTCCTTGACAGACAGCTACTGGTAGTGATGACAACTGTACCAAACATTGATGCTGATCTGAAATTAATTCAAATTAGGATTTAGATTGCTGTATCCTGACAAGATCTTTTGCCCAGCAGTTAAATTTTAGAAATAGAAAATATAAATTAAATATAGAATGGTGAAAAGAAAATAGATATAAAAATATAATCGAATGTTAACACATTATGGAAATAGAAAGCAATAAAGGGAAAATTTTGATAAAATTGTTTAAGTGCCAAAACAAGAGTACTGGAACCGGGTACCAAAGAAAATGAGACATACTGGAATTGTTGAGTTCTTTAATGTCAAAGTAAGAAACTTCAAATCTCTGTACTTCAGCTATTTCTTGTAACATCTGGCAGTAATTGGTATTGGGTATATTCAATGTGTTTTTATGAAGTTCCTTCATTCGAGACCCACCATTCTTCATTATCTTCTGGTAAAATTTCTGAATTTCTTTTGCCTTTTGTGGTGTGGTTACAGCAATATTCCTCTTACCTTCTTTCAGGGCAGTGTAAGCACTCTGTGGCTCAAATGACTACAATGAAATAGTCCCAATAAACAATAAAAATCAAACTATACACAGGAAAAAATGATAATGATAATAAAGGAAAGAAGAACTCTATATTCTAATGGAATTTGTGTCTCATTTCTAGATATTTACATCATAAAGGTTTCCTTCTCCAAAATTTTACAAAAACAAGTATATAATTCAACTGTTTTAGACAAATGAAACCATATATTATACCTCTCATAATATTCATAATTAATGCATGGTAATAAAAAATCTCACCAATTGCAGATCTTCCTCTTCATCAGAATGTTCTATTTTAGCATTTTCATTGCTATCCAGCATCAATTTTCTGATTTCTTCCAATAACTGAGAAGCAGCAGCTCTTTTAGCTGCCTTCTTAGAGCGTCCAGTTCCTAGTTAAGTTAATTAATAAAATGTTAGAACAGTAGCAACAGTCTTATTCAAATTATAATTAACATATGTACAAGACTAATTTCAAATCAATTTCATAAATCAATTAGACGGTTCTTTACATGTAGTCAACAGAAGTAAATAATATACCATGTAAAATCTATTAATAAGTGATCTTCCCTGGTGAACGCATAGAAACTGTAGGTTGACAGGTTAACAATAGTATTTTGACTATAAGATATGGAACTAATATATAATGTTTAAAGCATTCACCTATTTGTTCGAACTTTCCAATTTTAACTTTACATTTGAATTCTTTAGAATGGGGTGGTCCTTGTTCACAGTTATAATCATAGATAGGTGGTTTGATGAGTTTCTTTTGAGTAAATTCTTGTAATTCCCCAATAGGATTACCTAACCCTTCCTCTTCTTTGTTGCCACTGAAATTATCAATGATCAAGGCATGATGTTCTACATTTCATGATACAAAAAAGCTTAAAGTATGATTATGATCAATCTGATTAAATAAAATATGCTTCAAATTCCACTTATCTTAAGTGGAGTCACTCACAAGAAAAACGATGCTTATCTCTTGTCATTGTATTGTTTGTAATATGCAAGTCATAATTACCTGGCTTCATTTTCTTCAGTCTTGACATTATTGTCTACAGGCATAACGCCAAGTATAGTATTCAGAGCAGATTGAGCAGCTGCATGCTTGGCCTTCTTTTTACTTGTACCTACAAATACACATGTAATATATACCTTAGAAGCAACTGGAATACTTTGGTTAATTAATAACTACCTTACATAAGATAGCTTGCCAGGCAAGGTAACATACGCTTCAAAGACTTTTTCATCTAAATCAGTCCAGAATTTTGTTTTCAAGAACAAGGGCAATAACTCATATTAAATAATTTTCGATTTGTCCGATTTTCAATAGGATTCATCCTTGGGTGATTTCTGCACAGTATTTTTGTGTTACCCTTTTGGTTGCCACCAAATTGAAGAAATTATGTGATTTTCATACATTTCTAATACTTCTGAAGACTATTTACATATATTCAAGACTAAAATCAATCCCCCAAAATGGCACACCTGTCCCTTTAATGGAGGAAAACATTCAATGATCTGTGCATGCTCAAGATTTTTGGCTATGTTAGTACATATCTTGTATTTTAGATGTGGAAGTTAGTTTTGTTATTAAGTGTGGCAATTGGCTATACAGTCTAACCTATATTATAAATCGGGTGAAATCAAGCAAGATGTAGCTGTCCAAGATAAAAGTCCAAAGTAGAACAAGCTTGTGTAAAGATACGTTATATCTTTTGTAGACTTACCTTTTCCAGTAGCAGTAATATCTCCAACGACAACACTCATCAAGAACATAGGTTCATGTATAGCTCCTTCATTAGCTACCAAATCATACTGGGGTGTTATTCCACGCTTAGTGCAAATCTCTTGCAAAAAACTGATGGGAGTTTTTCCTGCAGGTACGGCCATGTTAATAGTTCTGAAATAAAAAGGGTACCCTATCCAGTTAAAACAGTAACAAACCAAAAATGATAACAAATCTTGATAGTCGAAACAGACTTGGTACCGGAGACACAAATTTGGTTAAAACAGTAATAAATCTGCCGAAACGGTAACAAGACAATTTGGATAAATCAAGCTAATGGCCTTGTTCCTGCTGAAGGGGTTGAAGATGCTAAAATCACCACGGTATCGAATATGGACAGCAATTTCTGGAATGGCAGAAACCACAGGCATCGATACCCTTAAGCAGACTAGAAAAACACTTTACAATCTCTTTAAAACTCTTCGATTCAAAAACGGCAGTCACGACTCACGATGGTAAGTTTTTGTAGGCAGTACTAGTAGATATGATTGACAGCTGTTTTATAATTAAATATTTTTTTGAAATAATTGAATTATTACCGTACGATGTTCATTATCAGTGTTTTTTATTGTATTTGATCCTTTATACATTTATTTGTAATATAAGCTTATAGGCCTAATCAATAACAAAATAATAAAAATATTAAACAGTACATTATATTTTTTATGTGTTACAGTTTTAGTTGATCTGTTACCGTTTTGCACATTATTGTTGTGTTACCGTTTTGGTTGATCTGTTATGGTTTTGACTATAAAGATTTGTTACCAATATAGTTTGTTACCGTTCTGACTAGAATTTTAAAAAAAGCTGTGGTTGAACAACACATTTAATCCGCAATTCAAACACTACAACTACCAATGCCAATAGTAAAAGCAAAGATTGTTGGACTAATGATAAACAAAGTACTGCACCACTACCAGTACCTGTTACTGCACATCTTAGGTCCCTATAATATTCCTTCAAATTTGTCTATCACTGTGATGCATGGAAAAGAACCATATATCACAAGTGACTGAACTTTACTGAAAGAAGTTCAAGAAGCCTTCATTACAGAAAATATATTTATCGATTTATCGATAAATCCTATATTTACTCTTTAAATTACTTCAGATTCCAAGCTTCTTTAGTCCTTTCATTAGTGTAATAAATTTAACTATGTTGTAAGCGGCACTTACAATGCATGAACGCAACACCAACCATTACGACCTACTTATTGTCAGAAAACACCAAGTTTAAAACATCTGGAGACGAAAAAAGTTCATCTTATATTCTTTAGTCGCTTTAGGTCTCATCTACTCACACAAATAATTACCTGTCGAAATATAATCAAAGTTAAAATTGAAATATTCTTAGACGCTTCTCTAGTTCTATCGGCTTGTCACAACCGGAAATGAACTTTCTATCAGTGCAGCGTGCCGCTTATGATTTTTTATTTGTGGGCAGTGAGTTACCAAAAAAAAAATCAATGTTAAGTTTATTGAAATGGATGATAGTCAGATGTTAAATTCGTGAGAGGCAAAGTTAGGAAACCATTTTCGACAAAGCAGACATTAATGTAAGGCCATATTTAGTGTAAGGTCTTTTTGTGTCGTGAAGATCGAGAAAAAGCTAAATATCACATGACCGGCATGTCATGTGACTGATAGTCGTGACTGGGGGAGTCATTCAACCGGTTAACTAACTGCAGTGCAAGAGACAAGAATTACTTAACAAATTTCAGGGTGAGTTATATTAATTTATCTGTTTACACTGTTATTGGAAAATGTCACTATAGATCTACTACAATTGCAAAAGTAGGTCCATAATTTAAAATGGATCTGATATAGGCTACCGTGTCCTGTAGTGTAAAGGTAGGCAGGCTATCCTATGGAGTGTAGTTAGTATTGTAAATTAAATTTTAATTTGGTTCCTTGTTTTTGTTCACAAGTGCAATCTAATAATGTAGTTTTATATGTGCTTTGTATGGAATGCCAAAAAAACGGAAATTTCTTTTTTTTTACGACTTAGATTTTTCCTCAGATATTCTATAAAATAATTAAAATTGGTTTGTTTTGCTTTTCTTTATGAATCCCTCATTTTGACCCTGGATATTTCATGAGTAACCAACTCGATAACGGCGGCAAAATGCGTCACCTCTATTCGTGTACAATGTTTGATCTATAAATAAGTCAAGAAAAACACGTTGTATGGATACCAAGTGTTACAATTAACTTACAATTTATCTTTAATATCAATTCATTATAACTAGTGACAATTCCTTGAAATACCAACGATTTAAAAAAAAAATAGTGATTGACAAAATAAGATTAGTAAAACGTAAGAGTAATTTAGTCATTGAAACAACATAAGAATATGGTCCACTTTGTGTACCATAGAATTTTTCTGCTGACACAGAATCCGCTAGTTGATCACATGACTTCATTCCTTAGACTACATTCTAGCAGACGACACTTGGAATTCCGATTACAGCTAGGGATTATAAGGAAATTAGGCCGCTAAAAATTGTGACATTTGGTAATAACTGTATTCTGCCATTTTGTATTAAAAAGTACACATTAATACATTTTACCTTGCTTGAAACTACTGGATTCATTCTACTAGCTGACATTGTAGAGATAACCCATGTTTATCAAAACAAGCAAATGCAGAGGTCACGCGAGGTCGTATATGTAAATTATTAATCATTTCTGGAGATGCACGAAAAATAGGTTAGCACAAAATTAGGTTACTTGACTGTACCAAAAATACAAACCTTTAATTATTTTGTAAACAAAGTAAAAGGTTTTTAGATTTTTTCCGTCGAAATGTTGTAAGCTTATGAACATCGTTATAAAAATATACATCCACATGTCAATAATTCTAATTTCACTTTTGAAGATAAAAATATCTGTGTTAAATTTATCACTTTAAAAAAATTGTGATTGTTTACTAGTTTCGAAATTTCCCTTGTGTGAGTTAATTTCCTGTGGCGGAGTTCGACTGCGAGCAGAGGGTAGAGTAGGAGTACTATTTTTATGACGTCTTGGCCATAATGCACATGCCTACTCGAGGTTACGCACGAACTCAATTCAATTGCCAGGCCTATATTACTAAGCCTACATTTAGTGCAGTGTCTAGTGTATGTTATAATAGTAAACAGCACTTTGCCCATTACAGACTTTGTGATAGCCAGCAAAGTTTTTATACATTTGAAATGAATTGAATTCAGGGAATTGAAATAAGAATTTAACTAAGTTCTGCTACATTTGGTCAATAAGAGCACATTTCATGGCATATTAACCAGATATACTGAAGCTAAACAACGGCAATAAGTGTAAATGGGTAACTTTTTCAAAGTGAATTTGTTTTTTTCACACATGCCATTTTGTCACGTGGTTTGTCGGGTTCAACCCCCAATGCATGGAGAAACTAGAGTGAAATTAGAATTATTGAAATGTGGATGTAAGAATATTTTTAGCTACTCAATGGTATTCCTGTAACATTAGTAAGCTTACAAAATTGATTTTTTGTTTGTGAAGCATTTAATTGAAAAATTTTAAAAAACATTTGATTTTGTTTATATATAAATATAATACATACAAAAAATCCTATGTGACTAATTCTAATGTTCCACAATCTTTTTTATTTACACTCCTATAAATATTTTGTGTTACAATGTTACAAGTTTTTATTATTTACCAAGAATGTTATTTATATACCAAGAAGTTGAAATTATGTTGCAAGATATTTTTTGTCCAAGATTCACGTCATCATTCAAGATTCATGTGACCACACAAACTGATGACATCAACATCAAAACATAAACGGGAACTGAAGGCATTTTTTAAGCTGTAATCAATATAGAGTCTCAAAGCTTATCAGAATTTTTCAGATCCACGGTGGGCTGCATCAGAAACTCTGGTCTGGAATGGTCCATATAATTTCATCTAAGAGTAGAAAGTGTCCTCCCCATCTGTTACTGAATAATCAATAAAATTAAACACAGATCTAATTGTCTTTTACTCTTTATAATATGACAAATTACTTAAATATAACATAAATATCTTACTCTATCTTTTCACGGTCTTTCTGATATTTAAACAGGCTAGTATTCTGATTTCGCTATAAACATGTGATAAAATACTTAAATTAGGCTTAGACTATTAAGACATATTTTTTTACAATTGAATTTTTATTTTAAAGTTCAGTGATAGTTTAGGCATATTCAACAACAACAATTAATGAGGGTTGAATAGTTAAGACTAGGCTTAAGGATTTGATTAATTTTACTATTTTCCCATTATCTAAAACACGATAAATTTTTACAATATCATTACCGGTATGTTATATTTTATTTCGATTTGTTTTGATTATAAATAGGTTATCTGCTATTTAGCTTGTGGTAGGGCCTTCATCTAATGTCAGGTTTTAAAAATAGGCCTAATGAGATATTTTCAAATAGGCATTCAGCTATTACGCCTGTACATTCAGCTCGAACTTTAGAAATGATGTTGACTGCAAATACACATTGAAATTAACATTGCAATATATAACGTTATGTCAGAGTAGACTTCTTATAAAATGGCGACCACCAGCAAATTATTGGTATGGTAACTTGCCATAAGTAACTTCCTAGTTAAGATAACCTACTTCTCAGCGCCTAATGGGAATTTATTTAATCATATCATTGATTAAAAATGAGATTTTGTAATAACAATAGTATAGGTCCAATAGCGGTGTCTTGAATCTTCCACCAAAGGCGAACCGTCTCCACCATGCCGCCAATTCATTTGAGACTTGATATTCGCAAATTAAAAAGCACATTTTTCTGATGCAGACTGCAATCAAAGTTGGAATGTTTTTATTATAAATGACGAAAGGAAACAATAAATAAATCTTGTTCTTTTTCAACATGTAAATGTTTAGCAATCCCACTGTAGCGAGTTTGAACGTGAATTAAAGTAAGCGCGCCATGTTATTTTTTTAAAACTTTATCTAGTAGAGATAATGTCGGCAATTGCATTTGCGACTTTCTGTTGTTAAATCGTAAATAGACCTAATCATAGATCTGTATGCTGAAGGTTGCATAGCCAATATAGCTTTTTCTGACAATTTTTGCTCCACTTTTATCGCAATGTTACAATACTTGAAATTCGAGGAAATTAAGGTCATATAGGCTTTGAAACCTTCAGCTTACAGATCTATGACTAGGTCTATTTACGATTACTCACTGCATAGGGTTTCCTGTCCTCATTAGCAGGCTAAAAACTCCATTCATTTCATTAATTTGATAAATGTTCTGTATATGCTCAAGATATTTTGGCTATGTTAGTATATATTTTATATTTTAGATGTGGAAGTTTGTTTTGTTAGTAAGTGTGGCTACAGTTGTGTCAGCTTCTAACCTATATTTTAAATCGGGTGAAATCAAGCAAGATGTAGCTGTCCAAGATAAACTTATGGCTATTTTCTCTAAGTTATATAAAGGACACAAGAAGGTAATCATTTCATTGATTTTGTTTATGGCATGTTGATTTGTACCCACAATTGCACCCTTCACTTCATTCCTAATAAATTAAAGAATATGATTTTATCCCAAAATATGTTTCAGAAATCAGCATGCACCAAATCAGTTCTTAAAACAAATCAATTTTTAAAACATTTTCATGTTTCATGGGACGCTTCCGCCATTAAGCATGTCTGCTCCCTATTTGTACCCCCAGTCTCGGAAGGATGGTGCAGCCCCTGACTGTACCCTGAATACTGCTATAAATACTTTTAAATCAATTGTAGGGCGATATAGTATAGAAATATTGATATTGTATATCTACATCACTCTACAATTGATGTATTAAAAAATATTTTAACAATGAAAATATTGTGTTATGTAACTGTTAAATCTATCATCCATTCAAGGAAAAAGCAGAAAATGTTGTTTGTCCTGATCAACAATCTCAATGTCCTGATGGTTCAACTTGTTGTAAATTATCTACAGGACAATATGGATGCTGTCCACTGCCAAATGTAAGTAAATATTCTTCTTCAGTCTTTTTACCTTTTCATACATCAGTTTAACACTTAATCTGTTTTCTAGATCACAAAAATTATGAAAACCTAATCTGATACTTCAGCATCTGTTTAGATGAAGTTTTCCAATTCTTTCACTTGCTTTATATTCTTCTGTCTTCCTTTTCTGTTGCTGTTATTCTGTCTTTTTTATTTTTATACGCCCACATGGAAATGTGGACGTATATTGCTGTTGCCCCTGTCGGTCCGTTGGTCCATCGGTACGTCAACATTTCTTGTGAACACAATAGAGACTACAGTTTTCAACTGATTTTAATGAAATTTGCTGTGATCATTTATATTGATAAGATCTTAGTCAAGTTCGAATTTGACGATCTTTCGATGAACGGTTTTTGAGTTATTGCCCTTGACTTAGGAAAAACGTGTCAAAATTTGTTTGTGATCACAATAGAGACTAGTTTTCAGCTGATTTTAATGAAATTTGGTGTGATCATTTATATTGATGAGATATTGGACGAGTTCGAATTTGATATTTCAATGAACGGTCTTTGAGTTATTGCCCTTGACTTAGGAAAAATGTGTCAAAATTTGTTTGTTAACTCATAAGAGACTACAGTTTTCAATTGATTTTAATGAAACATGGTGTGATCATGTATATTGATGCGATAATTTTATGTGTTTGGATTATTGATATTGATTTTTAAGAATTTGGTGGTATTTCTCAGCATAAATATCTGGCAGTAAATATATTTTATATCAATGAATTCAAACTATTAAAATTTCTTTAACATGAGAAAATTCATACTATAGTCACTAAAGACTTTTTTATCATTTCTGACAGCTGCCAGTGGGCGTGTGTTACCTTGCCTGGCAAGCTATCTTTATTGTTGTTGTTGCTTCTGTACTATTGTTGTTCGGTCTTCTGTTGTTTTATTTGCAACTGTCCTCATCTTCTGTTGTTTTATCTGTAACTGTCCTCATCTTCTGTTGTTTTATCTGTAACTGTAATCTTCTATTGTCTAACAGTTATCTTCATCTTCTTTATCTTCTTTTGCAGTTCTTCTATTACTTTTGCCTGTTGTTACTTTGTTCCTTTGTTAATGCTTCATTAATTTCTGAAGCTTTTATTAGCTTTTCTTTCGTCTCTTTTTGGTTTAGATTTGTTCTATGTCTCCTTGTACAACCATTTTCTAAAAACAGATTCTTTATTTCAGGCTGTATGTTGTTCAGATCAAATCCACTGTTGTCCATCAGGAACAACTTGTGATACTGGAGCTGGTAAATGTAACAGACAAGATGGAACTAGTGTCATGTGGTCCAAGAAAACATCATCTCAATCTTTAAAAGTAGAAAATGTTGTTTGTCCTGATCAACAATCTCAATGTCCTGATGGTTCAACTTGTTGTAAATTATCTACAGGACAATATGGATGCTGTCCACTGCCAAATGTAAGTAAATATTCTTCTTCAGTCTTTTTACCTTTTCATACATCAGTTTAACACTTAATCTGTTTTCTAGATCACAAAAATTATGAAAACCTAATCTGATACTTCAGCGTCTTTTTAGATGAAATTTTCCAACTACGTAAGTCGCTTTATCTTCTTCTGTCTTCATCTTCTATTGCTGTTATTCTGTCTTCTTTATTTTTATTGTTGTTGTTGCTTCTGTACTATTGTTGTTTGTTCTTCTGTTGTTTTATTTGCAACTGTCCTCATCTTCTGTTGTTTTATTTGCAACTGTCCTCATCTTCTGTTGTTTTATCTGCAACTGTCCTCATCTTCTGTTGTTTTATTTGCAACTGTCCTCATCTTCTGTTGTTTTATTTGCAACTGTCCTCATCTTCTGTTTTTTTATCTGTAACTGTCCTCATCTTCTGTTGTTTTATCTGTAACTGTAATCTTCTATTGTCCAACAGTTATCTTCATCTTCTTTATCTTCTTTTGCAGTTCTTCTATTACTTTTGCCTGTTGTTACTTTGTTCCTTTGTTAATGCTTCATTAATTTCTGAAGCTTTTATTATTTTTTCTTTCATTTCTTGTTGGTTTAGATTTGTTCTATGTCTCCTCTTACAACCATTTATTACAACAGACTCTTTATTTCAGGCTGTATGTTGTTCAGATCAAATCCACTGTTGTCCATCAGGAACAACTTGTGATACTGGAGCTGGTAAATGTAACAGACAAGATGGAACTAGTGTCATGTGGTCAAAGAAAACATCATCTCAATCTTTAAAAGTAGAAAATGTTGTTTGTCCTGATCAACAATCTCAATGTCCTGATGGTTCAACTTGTTGTAAATTATCTACAGGACAATATGGATGCTGTCCACTGCCAAATGTAAGTAAATATTCTTCTTCAGTCTTATAACTTTGATCTTCTTTCAAGATCACATACTTGTATTTCTCATCTGATTATTGGACAATTCTTCCAATTACATGTACTTTTGTTGCTTTATCTCCTTCTTTTCTCATCTACTGCTGCTGTTATTCTGTCATTTTGTCTGTTTCTCTGGCTTCTATATTTCTGTTGCCTTATCTACAGCTGTCCTCATCTTCTGTATCTGTCATTTTATAACCCTTGCATGTTTTTTTAAGTTTTTACTTTGTTCTGTAGGTACTGCTCCCAGGTCTCCTTCAAGTTTAGAAGCTTTTATCACTTGTTCTTCTGCTTATCTTGTTGTCATTCCTTTGTACTTTTCAATTTGGTGGCTTATAAATAATTGTACTTACCATATATAGTCAAATATTAAAGCTAGTATAAGTGGATACAAACATTTAATGTTTCTCCTCTTCACAACCATTTATAACAACAGATTCTTTATTTCAGGCTGTATGTTGTTCAGATCAAATCCACTGTTGTCCATCAGGAACAACTTGTGATACTGGAGCTGGTAAATGTGACAGACAAGATGGAACTAGTGTCATGTGGTCAAAGAAAACATCATCTCAATCTTTAAAATCTGCAGATGTAAGCTATAGAATATAGCTATATAATACTTTTTGATCTTTGAATCTCTTTTGTGCTTCATTTGTCTTATATGACTTGATTATTATAATGACTTATTTTCAATAAAAGAAAATATGGTCACTATATGTGAGGAAATTATTGATTATTGTCCTGCCAAACCAGAACAAAAACTCTAAAATGTCTAATTTTTATACGCTGTCACCCATTTCCGTTTGTCCGTCCGGCCGTCCGTCCATCCACAATTGCTCGTAAACACTCTACAAGGCACAATTCTTGACTGATTTCGAAGAAACTTGGTATGGTTGTTTGTAATCACCCAAGGATGAACCCTATTGAAAATCAGACGAATTGAAAAATATTTACTATGAGTTATTGCCCTTGTTCTTGAAACGCTCGTAAACACTCTAGAAGGTGCAATTCATGACGGATTTTGATGAAACTTGGTATGAGTGTTCATCATCTCCCAAGGATAAACCTTATTGAAAATCAGAAAAATTGAAAAATATTTAGTATGAGTTATTGCCCTTGTTCTTGAAAACGCATTCAATTTTAGCTTGTAAACACCCATAGAAGGCACAATTTTTGACGGATTTTGACAAAACTTGGCATGTGTTGGTTATCACCCATGGATAAACCGTATTGAAAAACTGAAAAATAGAAAAATATTTAGTATGAGTTATTGCCCTTGTTCTTGAAAACGAGTTCAAATTTTAGCTTGTAAACACTCTAGAAGGGACAATTCATGACAGGTTTTAACAAAATTTGGCTTGAGTGTTAGTTATCATCCAAGGATTAAGACTACTGAAAATCAGAAAAATCGAAAAATATTTAGTATGAGTTATTGCCCTTGATCTTGAAAACTCGTTGAATTTGTAGCTCATAAAAACTCTAGAAGGCATGATTCTTGCCGAATTTTGACAAAACTTGGTTTTATTATTCATTACCGCGCTGAAGATTGAATATTTGTCTTCTAGAGTTTTCATGAGCTAAAGATTGAACACGTTTTCAAGAACTATCAATGTTATGCCTTTGAAATAACAAGCTCTGTGTCTTATTTTGTAGACTAAAATACCTTTACAAAAGAAGCCATCAATAGAAAGTTATGGTGTGATGTGTCCTGATGGAAGATCTCAATGTCCAAATGATAATACCTGTTGTAAATTAAATACTGGTAACTATGGCTGTTGTCCCTTACCAGATGTAAGTCTTTGTTGTAGATTTACATTCACTAACAATAGCTCTGTGCTGCTAATTTTCTGTCTCATGGTGTCTATAATATGCATCTTCTGTTCAACAAGTGCTTAAGTATTGTCGAATCTTGTTGATGTAAAACTCATTTCATTTCAATTACAGGCAGTATGCTGTTCTGATGGAGTCCATTGTTGCCCAAATGGTTTAAAGTGTGATTCATCAAAAGGACAATGTGTTGGAAGTTATACCACTAAATTATTTACTAAAAGTCCTCCCAAGCAAAAGGTTTGTAGTCTTAGTACATTGATCATTGATAGAAATTTTGAGTTATTTCCCCTTAGCAAGTTTATTTAAACCAATAAGTTTTCAATCTTTATACACTGTATATTTTTTATACATCCACATTATAATTGTTGTATATTGTCATCACCCCGGTCAGTCAGTCAGTCCGTCGCCAATTGGCTTGTGAACACGACAGAGAGTACAGTTCTTATCTGATTTTTAAGGAAATTTTGTATTGATTTATATTGATTTAGATCTTGGTCAAGTTGAAATTTGATGATTTTTCAATGGATGATGTTTGAGTTATTGTTATTGACTGAGTAAAAACAGGTCAAAATTTGTTTGTGAACTCAACAGAGACTACAGTTTTCAGCTGAATTTAATGAAATTTGTTGTGATCATCTATAACAATGAGATTTTGGTCAAAGTTATGGCTCTTGACTGAGTAAAAAAGCATCAAAATTTGTTCATGAATACTATAGACTATAAAGATATCATCTGATTTTAATAATACAAATTATGTTAAATGTGGCTAGTGAACGGGATAGAGGTGACAGTTTATGTCAGAATTTTATGAAATTTTGTGTCAACAATACCTTTAACATAATAAAGTTAAGGAAGAAATGGCTTCCGAAAATACCCTTTCTTAGGTATGAGTCGCCCAACCGGTTTCGTTCTGTTCGAACTCTTCAGAGACAGCAAGGCAAAAGTGAGAACTTCACCTCTATATATAGCTAGATTGCAACACTCGCAACATTGTCTACCTGCTCAACTGCAAATTCTGCAGACTGCAATATGCCGTAGAATCAAAACGCTGCATCTGCATAAGACTAAAAGGACACAGAGCCGACAAAACCATGTCTCCATTAGGCATCAATGAATTCATTTAGCTCCCCTACTGTCACTGGTCACCCTATCTCTAATACTTTTAACATGTTAGATTTTTGGTACCATTTGACACAGATTGATGACTGCTGAAATTTATTTTGTTTATAATTATTTTCTACTTTCAGCTAAGTTGTTGTGGTACCAAATGTTGTCCAGATGGTTATAAATGCACTAGAAGTGGTTTATGTCAAAAATTAAGAAATAAAAATTGGTATTTATTTAAAAATAGATTTTAATTATATTTAAATTATATTATAAATTTAGATATAAATATAATTGATCTTTTGTATGTTTCCAATAAATTCATTATTCCTGATTTAACAGAAAGTACCAGCTCTCATTCTTTTAAATAATTGTATGATCTTGAAATTGAACTGTAAAATTGGTATAGAATTAGATTTGTATTGTCTATTTCTAATGTATTTTGTCTTGTAAATATACTCACTTGTTTAAAATTATATTACCGTCACACATTTCGGTTGGTTTGTCCACAATTGCTCGTAAACACTCTAGAAGGCATAATTCAACTGATTTAGATGAAACTTGGTATGGTTGTTTGTAATAACCCGAGGATGAGCCCTATTGAAAATCGAAAAAATATTTTGGATGAGTTATTGCCCTTGTTCTTTAAACGCATTCAAGTTTTAGTCTGTAAACACTTTAGAAGGCACAATTCTGGACAGATTTTGACGAAATTTATTCAGTATCACCTCAAAAAGTTCAAAAGAAGTGTATGACTGAAGGTTGAATATTTCATTCTGGTGTTAATTGTAGGCTAAATATTTTTATTAAAAATGAAAGCTGCCAGTGGGTGTATATTACCTTACCTGGCAAGCTATCTTAAAAAAGAATAGTGCCAGAATATTTAATGCTTAATCAAAAGTAAAAATTTAAAGTATAGATTATTATATCTGTTTTAAAAAAACTTAATGTATCTATTCAGTGCAGGATAAATAAATCACAGATAAAGGATAGTATATTTCAAAGAAAATAATTATATTAGGAGACATCTGAGATTAAAAGAACTGAAAGAGAAATTGTTAAATATTCATGTGTTCCTTATTATCATACTTATTTCTTTTTTCACGCCGTATGTAACATGTTTGTACATGTATTCTATTACATTCCATAAGCAGTTATGGAAACACTCTTGTGTTAATTTTTGTAGTGTTATAAATATGATATAATCAAGCATTATAGTGCTACAGTTTTACATAATCATAGTGCGTTTTCTTGGTTGTTTAATGATGATTAAGTGTAATCATAACATTTGTACTTATTAACAATTGAATCTTTTTTATATGATTGTGTGAAATAAATCTATATTTTTTATGTCCATATGAAATTAACAGTGATGTACATATTCATTAATTTAGTACAAATAAAGTCTGATTAATATACAGCAAAAGCAACTTTATATTGCTATTTTTATACGCCCACATTGTGGTGTAAACTTCGTCTTTGGAATCCGAAGCGTTATTAGTGACACTAGTTTGAACAGTATAATGCAGTAAAATCAATGATGCTCTATATTGGGTACTATTATTAATTCCTTGTACTTTGTACTCAGGTAGATTGAATTTTAATTGAGTTTTGCTCGCATAATGTATTGTAGCAAACCCGAATTGTAGATAAATGTGAAACAGGTACCGTAAAGGCATATCAATTACGTGTATGTATGTGTCCATACTCTTTTCTGTTATGATAGTCGGTGATTAGGCTTTAAAGTGTGTATAATATTTTCATTGTAATTTTTACACATTTTGGTACGAGCTTTCATCAATATTGGAAACCATAATTTAACGCAAAATGTAACAAATGTATAGAATAACTTAGGCTAATAAAATTATCATTATCATGATCAAGAACATTTTAATGTCAGATATTTGCTGATATTATTTCGTATCAAGTAGTCGCTTATGATACATTATAGTTCCTCGTGGACGCAATAGAGACTGCAGTTTTCATCTTCTTTTGATTAAACTTTGTATATATAACAAATCCTCCTTATCTCGGATCCATTTCGATGCGTTTCAGATTGTGTGTACATTGTTGTCGCCGTATGAATTTCTAGTATGATTTCCGGTCAAGTTGATCGAAATCTCTTGCGTATTCTGTAACGGTTCCATTTTCAATCGACCCCAATATTCATATGCTGAAAAATATTATTTCACGAATAAACCAGAAGCAACCACATTGATTTTTAACATAACTTACATTGGGTAGAGGACAACAACCATAGCGGTCATCCGAGGTTAAGCAACACGTATTAACACTGGGACAATATGTTCGTCCTTCCTGACACGTTTGGATTGTTTCACTAAATTCCTTCATCTATAAATCAAAATTGAGTATTTAATGGAATGTCTTTTCAATTTATATAGCCTATACATACACACGCACACATCATTGCAATTTTTAACACAGATAGTGGGCACAGACAACGTGGTCGGAACCTGGAATAATACATCGGCCTTTTTCATTCAGATTCTTGCATTCATAACAATTCTACAGGACATATCACTATATTTTTATGTCGATAAAGGTTTCCTTCGCTCACCAAAATCTTGTCCAAAGTATACTAATAAATGTATAATAATGGACTTTTCAAACGAGAAGCGGAAAAAAAAAATCATTATCTACCTTGTTTAATTCTAGCTTAATAACATCTCGAAATGTTTCATTAAACTTGCGACTGTTGGCTAATATCAGTGTACAAGCCACCATACTGATAATATGAACCGTGCATCATCTTAAAAAAGAGTTTAAGGTGCTGCTGATTGATAAAAGCGATTCCACAGATACATATCAGAAAGGCTTGGGACCTATCTTGAATAGGTTACTACAGTAATTTAATGAACAGTGAGAATGCTTTTCAACATAACTTAATCCTTAATGATATTAGACATCTTGTGTAGAGTTAGTGGCTACCGTGTTTGAAAAAGTTTCAAAGCAGGATATTCCATAAACCATTAGGTATGTTTATAAGGAATGTGGACTGTCAACAATAACAGTATGCATCTGTATTCCTTTACACATACTAAGTGCCAATTTCATAATGCGATATAGCTTATGTGAAAACATTAAGCTTGTTCGTAATGTCATGTAATATTTAACGTTGAAATCTTATAAGCTATTATTACAATACATGCAGAAGAATTACGCCCTTCATATTTACCATGTAAATTCGATCTAAACCAAGCTGAAGTAACTTGAAGCGACTAAAATCAAACAGAATTTCTATATAGTTATGGAATAAAATTCTTAATTCTTATTCATTATGTTAATGATCCGACAACTAATAGTTAATTCTTGCCTATTTGATTAATTTGATGAGTTATTTACATACATACACACTTTGAGCATTATACTTTTATTGTTTCCTTCAACAAGTCGAATCAAGGTCGCTCTATTTCAAGTAAGCAAGGGCATTTTGCGGTTTCTATGACATTTAAGGTAATATTCACTCACAAAAAGTGTTTTGATTATTTCTCTTAACCCCGATCTTTGCGTCACTTAAATACTGCTATGTTACCTTGACTTCTCAAGTAGCCCTTGAGAAGGTTCTGGTACCCAAGGTTAAAAACATTGCAATAGAGGATACAGTTTTTAGGCACCAACAACAAACTGTCAATTATGAAAGCTCTTCTATCGCTCTGCAACAAACGGCATTCCGTAATCACTCTAGAAGGCACAAATCTTGACTGATTTGATGAAACTTGATATAGGTATGAACCCTATTGAAAATATTTAGTATGTGTTGTTCTTGAAATGCTCGTAATCCCTATTGAAGGCGCAATTCTTTACGGGTTTTGATGAAACTGTAATAACCCAAGCATCCTATTGAAAATCAGAAAAATCTCAAAATATTTAGTTTGAGTTATTGCCATTGTTCAGTTTGAGATTGTATACACTCTAGAATGTTTAATTATTGACAGATTTTGATGAAACTTGGTGTGAATGCTTGTTATCACACAATCAGAAAAATCGAAAAATATTGAATATGAGTTATTGCCCTTGTTCTTAAAAACATGTTCAACTTT